GTCTGAACTTGTGACCACTTTGCCACCTTGCTTCTTGTGGGTGATGGAGGTGATAGGGCAGGGAGCCCTCTCTTCACGGGCCACCACCCCTGCCACCCTGGTTAATTGGGAACAGCCAGGAGAGAAGGTGCCAGAATTGACTTCCAGGAGCTCCCTGAATGGTGCAGTGCTAGAACGTAGCAGGCATGCGGATAGCTGTGTGGATCTGGCTCCTTCTGATGTGAGTAGAGAGAGGTGAAAGGCCACCATCTCCCTGACTTCTGGGAAATTTGTCCTCAAAGATGTTTCCAAGATGCTTACAAAGACTGCCTAAAAATAGCTGGTTTCAACCCCCGTAAATGCACCCATTCCAGAATACCTCTTAACAAGGGATCAAGAATTGATGCACCGAAATGATGCAAAAACATTCCATCCCAGAATTTGCAGTAGCTCAAATTAATTTTCTAGCTATGGGGGAAAAAAAGAAAAAACCTCACCACTCTCACTTATAAGCAACATTGGATAGTTTTAAGTAGTTTGAGAAAATGTTTGTGGTTTGAGGGTCAGTGTTGTCCAGAGCCAGAACTATTATGCGGGAATTGTGATTGGCTGGATTTGGGAGGAGAAGCCCATGACCAGATTCCAACCCACTAAAATCCAAGCAGATTCTAGGATGCTGTTAGGGCATAGTGGGTGTTGGTTTATTTTATTCCTGAAAGAGCCCCTCCACCCCCCAGCAACTCTCTCCTGCTTTCAGCTAATCTGGCATTTTCCTCCTTTTACATTTGTTCCATGTTTGCATTCGGTGTCAGCGTTGCAGAGTACACGTCTGAAAATTCTCTAATCTGTGATGGTCAGACGTTGACTCTGTAATGCCTTATAGTGTTTCATTTTCAAGGCATGGGAGAGTCTCCTGTTTTATGTGGATGGGAACCAGGGAGGTCTTTTGGGCAAGTCTCCATCTTTTTACTGTTCCAAGAATTTGCTAGAGTATTTGAACCTTCACCTGTCAAAATCACTTTTGGAATGAGGACTGCCGTCCCTCCAGATACTTAAAATTGCAGAATGAAGGTATCATTATCCCAACGAGACCATAATGGAGGCTCTCCTGTTTGGACACACACCTTGGATTCATTGGAAACAGAAGTTCTGGGTATCATGTTTTTCATAAATTTGGTTCAGACTTTGCCTGGGTCATATTTCCCCCAAAGTCTTTGTGAAAAAGACTTGTGTCGGCCAGACACGGTGGCTCACGTCTGTAATCCTCACACTCTGGGAGGCCAGGGCAGGCGGATTGCTCGAGGTCAGTAGTTCAAAACCAGCCTGAGCAAGAGTGAGACCCTGTCTCTACTATAAATAGAAAGAAATTAATTGGCCAACTAATATATATAGAAAAAATTAGCCGGGCATGGTGGCGCATGCCTGTAGTCCCAGCTACTTGGGAGGCTGAGGCAGGAGGATTGCTTGAGCCCAGGAGTTTGAGGTTGCTGTGAGCTAGGCTGACGCCACGGCACTCACTCTAGCCTGGGCAACAAAGTGAGACTGTCTCCAAAAAAAAAAAAAAGACTTTTGTCTCATTGCTTTATACCAACATATATAAACTGGGTAAAAATAGAGTGAACTGGTTTCATGTTTTGATTTATGGATTAAAGTTTGCTTTTGAAAAGCATTTAATGTACAACTTGGGAAAGTTTGAGTTTTGCAGACTGATGCCTGTGGGGGAGTGAGACTTGCTAGGTTGTTCAAACCCCTCGTGGTGTAAGAGATCAGTGCCTGGAGGGTGCTAGGCTACCGCCGTTACCCTGAAGGTGGCATGTACACACTTTACTATGTATCCCTCGTTCACCTTCTTTTTTTTTTTTTTTAGGGTCTCACTGTGTTGCCTGGGCTAGAGTGCCGTGGCATCAGCCTAGCTCACGGCAACCTTAAACTCCTGGGCTCAAGCAATCCTTCTGTCTCAGCTCCCAAGTAGCTGGGACTATAGGCATGCGCCACCATGCCTGGCTAATTTTTTCTATATATATTTTTAGTTGGCCAATTAATTTCTTTCTATTTTTAGTAGAGACAGGGTCTTGCTCTTGCTCAGGCTGGTTTCGAACTCCTGACCTTGAGCGATCCACCTGCCTCGGCCTCCCAGATTACAGGTGTGAGCCACCACGCCTGGCCTCCTCCTTCACCTTTTTGAGGAATTCTCTTCTCCCTATATCTTGAATGAAGGAAACAGGCATGGAAAATTGTTTGATCTGAAATTTCTAATGATCAGTATGTGGTAACTCTGTAATCAATAGCACTTCAAAGATAATCACATAACAGGACATTTAATCCAAAAAATTCAGTGACAGTTGAGGACTTTCATCTGGAGAAATGTCTGGTCTCATGGGATGAATTCCTCAGCTATCTAAGTTCCGGGCATGGTCCAGGGTTTTATGCGGACCACTGATGCTTGATTGACTGCCGGACCTCAGAAGCAGGGCTAGCTTCGTGGTCAAATGTCCAGTGTGCTCAGAAGGGCCCTCTCATTGGTTTAATGCTCTGCTATTGCCAACTTGCAATTCTTAATTTTTGGACAAGGAGGACTGCATTTTCATTTTTCTCTGGGCCTTATGTCTTACTTGAAAGTTACTAGTTAAACAATTCATTACATAGAAAATCCCTGGGCACCTTAACTTTGGGTGAGGATTGCTTGAATTTACTTTTTTTCCCCCTGACACAGAGTCTCACTCTGTTGCCTGGGCTAGAGTGCCGTGGTGTCAGCCTAGCTCACAGCAACCTCAAACTCTTGGGCTCAAGTGATCCTCTTGTCTCAGCCTCCCAAGTTGCTGAGACGACAGACATGTGCCACCCATGCCCGGCTAATTTTTTCTATATATTTTTGGTTGTCCAGCTAATTTTTTTCTATTTTTAGTAGAGACGGGGTCTCGCTCTTGCTCAGGCTGGTCTCGAACTCCTGAGCTCCAACGATCCTCCCACCTCGGCCTCCCAGAGTGCTGGGATTACATGCGTGAGCCCGACCTCAAGGATTGCTTGAATTTAGTTTGTCTTACCAGTCAGTTCATGGCAATCTTTATTTTGTCCAGTTTAGATGATGGAGTTTTATTATGACTGAATGTGCAACTGTGAAATTACCACTGATTTCTCTGGGATTGAGTGTAGGCTTTTAAAGCAGGTTTTCTGTTGCAAGAGGGAGTAACAATAATCAAGTTAATTAAAAATAAAAAAGCCCTCACCGTTTTAGGTTTGGGTGGCATACCACACACTCCATATCAGTGTGTGCATATGTTTTTCATGTGGTTTGAATTGGGTTTCATTAAGTGCAGTTTGGTGTATGTTTAACCAGCATTTGGGTGGCTGGTGGGGCGTGGGGGGCTCTTAAGATGCAGATGGCTCAGTTACTCCCCTACAGGTGCTCATAGTTCTGGGGTAGGGGTGGGAGGCTGAGGAGCAGATAGCCCTTGTCCTCAGGGAGGGTTCCCGCCTCCGTCACATGCAGGGAGTGAGGTGTCCACAGCAGTGGGGTCTGGCGCTTGAGTGGTGAGCCAGGGTTGTCGACAGGAGGGCTGGGGAAGGGTCTTCCCGTCACAGGGATACAGAACACGTGGAGAGGTCCAGCAGTTCAAAGCAGGTTATAGTCCCCTAATGGAGAGCCGTTGAGCCCGGAATATGGGGTATGGTGTGTGGAGGCAACAAGGGTGGGAAGCCTCTGGGCTGCAGGTTCCGAAGGTGCTGTGCACGTAAGGAGTTTGACTGCGGGAAGCAGGGAGCTTGGCGAATTTGGAAGCTCAGGGGTACCCGACAAAAAAGATGGTTCTGGGGTTATGTGAGCAGTGATTCAACTTCTTGGCCAATGAAGACTCTGAGAGAGGAGAGGAGGGGCCACATATTTATTGGTGGGGGGTGTTGAAAGTGATTTGCTGAAAGATTTAGGTAGGGATAGAACTGTCACTGTGGAAGCTACACCTGGCATTTGAAAGAGGAGTTCTGGTATTTTCAGCTTGGAGTCCTGGTAGAATGGGAGTGGCTGTAGAGGATGTTTGGTGGAGGGGATGCAGAGAAATGTTGAGAGAGAGATCTTAAAGATAACGCTTGAATCTTTATGGGTGCAGGTGGAAGCTGGAAAGATGATGAAAAGCTACAGAGAAGCCACAGACAGGAGAAAGCAAAACAATGGCAGTGAGGTTCCTGGGAGGTGCTGGTTAGGGATGGCGTATTCTGTTCAGCGAGTGAGGACTGGCCACCACTTAGGCTGGTTCCTTCTCCTCCTGTGACGCTTTGCCCGATTGTGCTAGCTCGACCGTTGATGATTTCCTCTTATGTTTTTTTTTTTGAGACAGAGTCTCACTTTGTTGCCCAGGCTAGAGTGAGGCTAGAGTCACTCTTATGAGTGTCTGACTCATCAGCCAAGCAAAGATGAAAATGATTGACGCCCAGCATCGGTGAGATTTGAGGGGAAACTGGCCTCTTAAACTCATAGTTGGGAATGTAGACAGGAGCAGCTTATTGAGAAAAGAAGATGCCTACGACATAATGATTAGAGAAAAGAAAATGTTTTAGACTGGTTGTTTTGTATGATATAAATTCAGGCAGCAAACACATACAAATGCATGTACGCAAATGCACAAAACAGCAGGCTATGTACGCCACCGGGTTAGCAGGGGTTACCTCTGGAGATGAAGTCACCCCTTTTTATTGTCTACATTTCTGAAATGATTTCTTTAAGTTATTAAAAACCCTTTTTATTGAAAATTTTAAGCGTGCACAGAGGAAGAGACAGCACATGTAATCCATTCTTGTGTACCCGTGATCTGGTGACACCCGTCAACAACATTTCGGAGTCAAATTTCATCTTTTGTTGTCCTCAAGGGCTCTTAGTGTCTTAAAACAAACTCCAGCCTCAGGCCCTCTCGCCCCTGCAGGTCTCAGTGTGGCTCTCTAGTAGGTGAGGGCTCCGTTCACTTTACACGCAGGGCAACTCCCACTTGAGTAACCCAAAGGCGTGACCGAGCCTGTACCTCTCTCCCCAGACAGCAAAGCCATCGTGGATGGGAACCTGAAGCTCATCCTGGGCCTGGTGTGGACGCTGATCCTCCACTACTCCATCTCCATGCCTGTGTGGGAGGATGAAGGGGACGATGATGCCAAGAAGCAGACGCCAAAGCAGAGACTGCTGGGATGGATTCAGAACAAGATCCCCTACCTGCCCATCACCAACTTCAACCAGAACTGGCAAGACGGCAAAGCCTTGGGAGCCCTGGTAGACAGCTGTGCTCCAGGCAAGTGCCCACAGCTAAACCGTCTTTCCTGGAGGCTGGTGTTGGGGTAAACATCTTGGCTTTCAATGGGGACATGGCTTTGCCGTGACTGGCGTGTTTCTTCTGGTGTTAGCCCGTTGTAAGATAGCTAATGGAACTAAAAATGGCTCTGTTTGCCCTTCAAAGGACAGGTCTTCCAGGTATATCCATAGACATGTGTGAGTATTGAATTCAGTCATTTATCTGAATTCCCTATGAAGGCCTTGCTGCTTGGAGCAGGCCTTGGGTTTAGCTTCCAGACTCCAAAGCCGTGTGTCTTCCCACATTGGTGCCTACTTTCCTGTTGGCTTTGGAGAAATATGTGGCCCTGTTAGGTGGCTTGGCATGAAAATCTAAAAACTTTCATGGAGTAGAAAATACCCATTTTTATTACCACTGGTTTGACTATATATGGCTTTCTGCTCCCTTTTCTTTCTGCATTGCTGTGAGATAGTGCTTGGTCAGGATCCACTTGGAACCTCTGCTACCCTTGCTGGGCCCCTCTTTTCTGAGTGGTCAAGTGTATACCAAGGTTGTAATTATCCTCCCTGGGGGTTTAGATTGACGGGTAGAGTTTGCTGGTACACATTCAATGGGAAAACCAGAGCCAGTGCTTATACACACCCCCTAAAGTTAATTTTAATTTAAGAAATCTACTCTAATGCTCGCTTTGGCAGCACATATACTAAAATCGGAAGGATACAGAGAAGATCCACTGGCCACTGTGCAAGGATGACACATAAATTCGTGAAGTGCTCCATATTAAAAATACTACTCCAATAATCATATTTCCATTTGCAGGGTGTTCTGTGTGTGCTGGGCATTAGTATTTAGTAAGCTAGTGGTTCTTAACAAGCTTAAAGCAGAGCTAGTTATTGTCAGGTAGGGAAGGAGCTGGCTCAAGGCCTCATTCTTCCTTGAGAGCTGATAAGTAGGCATCGTCTAGAAATAATTCAAAGTACAGCAGTAGTTGATTTCCTAGTTCCTCTTCCTTACTTTCATCTAAAGACACATTTCAGGATACTTCTTTCCAATTTCAACCTGGGAATTTTTACTCCAGTTCTGCACTTCTTGTGCTTACCAGGACTCTTAAGAGAATTCTAAGTTTGTGCCTTTGAGCAAGTAGATTTTTGCATCACACAGAATGCTAGTCTAGTATTTTTAGATAAATCCTGGAATAGAGTCAAAAACATTTCTGCTATAAAAAGATACCAGGATTTTTATAAGCTTTATTTATTTGTTAATACCACACTTTTCAAGAATGTATAATCCCTATCTTACTGCAAAAAGATGGTACCTCAAGGAGAAGTCTCAGCTAGTGTAGGACAGCTTCCACCCAGCATGCTCATCTGGGAGACTTTCTGCCCATTCAATAAATAACTCACTGAGATTTTTGGCAGGAATTATTCTCTGAATTAAGAGACCAAACAGGTTTGGTTTAGGCACTTGGCTTCCTATAATCTGTTCGGGCAGCTAATGCTAAAAACACCCTTTGTGTTGTGTTGACAGGTCTGTGCCCAGACTGGGAGTCCTGGGACCCACGGAAGCCTGTGGACAACGCACGAGAAGCCATGCAGCAAGCAGACGACTGGCTGGGTGTGCCACAGGTACATGCGAGCGTGCCGTGTCCCTCGAGGCTGCCCCCACCCACTAGCTTGTTCTGTCACTCTGTGGTTGCCTTTCTGGGTCAGGCAGGTCTTCTGACCTTGGCATTGAACTTCAAAGAGCACTGCCTGTGGTGTACTCCCATCTTCCACATTATACCCATAATAATAGGTTCTCATTGACTTAGGTGCTTGTAGATCATCCAAAAAAATCTTTTTTTTTTTTTTTTTTTTTTTTTTTTGTTGCAACAGGGTCATGTCACTCTGTTGCCCAGGCTGGAGTGCAACGGCACAGTCATAGCTCACTGCAGCCTCAAATTCCTGGGCTCAAGCAGTTCTCCTGCCTCAGGCTCCTAAGTAGCTAGGACTATAGGCATACACCACCACACCTGGCTACTTTTTTTAAAACGTTCTTTTTGTAGAGATGGGATCTTGCTATGTTGCTTAGGCAGACCTCAAACTCTCAGCCTCAAGTGATCCTCTGTGTCACCCTCCCAACGTGGTGGGATTATAGGCGAGAACCACTGCACCCAGCCCAAAAATCTTTCTGTCTCTCTTCTTTGCCACACACTGGCAAATTTTCTATTATTTCTGCTCTAAATATTTTAAAGACTATCTTTAAACCCCAGACTACAAATGTGTACCTTAACTATTAGGTTGAGCCATAAGAAATTGCCAGTATTTGACCATTTTTTAATCTATATAAAAATAGGTAATTTTAATCCATTATCTTAAAAAAAAAGTCCTAGAAAAATATATGCACCAGAATAACCTACCATTAATGGAAATTGTTGGAAGAATTTATATATAACTATATATTCCTATCGCAGGAATATAACAAGAGCACTCAGAAATCAAATATGTCTTGCATACCATCTGCAGTAGGCATATTGCCTAGTTGAGGTCCAGTCTTCCTGGCAGGGAGTGAAACTAGTGTTTTCCTTCTAAAAACTCCCCCGAACAAGTAAGCAACATCAGTCCCACATTCAGTGCCCTGGTAACTTGTAGGTAGCTGGTGCCATGGGATTGATGACTTTGCTATAGGCTCCCTTAAGGTCTGAGTTGGTGCCCAGACCTGAGTTCTGTGTATTTTGTAAGAGGATTCCTTAGAAACAGAAAAACATGCCTATTTCTTTGGTTTGGTTTTGGAGTCATGTCTCTGCTACATGGCCTATTTATTAGCTCATCTACCCCTCAGGAAGTGGTGTGGTATGTTTTTCATCTCCACATGAATCTGAAACCATCTCCTTTTGACGTTCATGTGATGTTGGCATGGTAAAGTTGTTGAAGGAGCTGCCCGGAAGAAATGCCAAATCAACACACATCCTACTTTTTGTGGAATGCATTGAAGGCGACTGTTCAAACTCAAGTAGCTGTTTTGTGCCTGCAAGCTAATCGTCAGAATGGTTTCTGGTGATTTTTATCACAGGGAGAGGGAAGTTGGATGCATCTGATGTTCATTGCCCTTGGTTAACCTGGTTTATGAGACAGTCTTCTGTTCATATGAGGAAGTGGGCTTTAGCTTCTTAGCACCTTTGTTGGAGGCAGGGAGGACTTTGCCTGCTGTTTAGGGCTGAGTCAGGTGATGGAACTGAGGCAGTGACACAGTCAGGGAGGTCACCTGTCTGGTGTGGGTCCAACCCTTCTCCTAACTGAATGTCAGGAAAAATTCAACCCCTCCCTAATTTTTTAATAGCTCCTAATCAATTGAGACAAAATATCTAAATATCTAATATGTTATGTATTGCATCTTTATTTTATTTTAATGTTTTTATTAGAGTTAATAGAGTTTTAATAGAGTTAGTAGAGATACAGTCAATGAATATATGAGAGCAAAGGAAAAAGCCAGTTAATTGGTGCTTTTTTTTGTAATATGCTCTAATCCCATATGTGCTTGTTTCTTCTTCTTCCTGACTTGCTGTAGCTTATCTCCTTATCATTTCTGGAAAGTTTGACCTGGGGAGTAAGTAGACTGGGGGAGGGGGAACAAACTCTGGAAATTACATGCAGAATTTTCTGGAGAGGGATCCGCAGCTTCCAAAGAGGCTGGAGGACACCTCTAACAGGTTAAAAACTCTCATCTTGATGTGTTGGTTTAATGTAATTTTATTTACTGAGAAGCTGACTCAGTTTCTTAATATTTGTAGTGCTTGTTTAAGATACATTTACACAAACGTCCTTAGTTGCAAAGCAAAAGCAGTGTGTTCTGGGTGCTCATCTGCCATGCCATCATTCTAGGTCATCACTCCTGAAGAAATTATCCACCCAGATGTGGACGAGCACTCGGTTATGACTTACCTGTCCCAGTTCCCCAAAGCCAAGCTCAAGCCAGGGGCTCCTCTTAAACCCAAACTCAACCCGAAGAAAGCCAGGGCCTATGGCAAAGGTAAGTTCTGGTGCTATTGATCTGTGACTTGTCTCTGGTGTTGGCGACTGTTGCGTGGCTTCGGGAGGAATGTTGTCAGAGTGAAGAATGTATGGGCTTAGTCCTTAAAGACACTCCAGGCCTCATTTTTTTAAACCTAAAGAAGCTCTTATTTATAACCATTTTATTCTGCCTTAAAATCTTGTTGTTTTAAGAATTGCTTCTGCAACTGGGTGTGGTGGATTATGTCTGTAATACTTCACTTTGTGAGGCTGAGGCAGGGAGATTGTTTGAGTCCAGGAGTTGGAGGCTGCAGTGAGCTATGACAGTGCCATTGCACTCCAGCGTGGGAGCTGAAGTGAGCTATGACAGCGCCATTGCACTCCAGCCTGGGAGCTGCAGTGAGCTGTGACAGTGCCATTGCACTCCAGCCTGGGAGCTGCAGTGAGCTGTGACAGCGCCATTGCACTCCAGCCTGGGAGCTGCAGTGAGCTGTGACAGCGCCATTGCACTCCAGCCTGGGAGCTGCAGTGAGCTGTGACAGTGCCATTGCACTCCAGCCTGGGAGCTGCAGTGAGCTGTGACAGTGCCATTGCACTCCAGCCTGGGAGCTGCAGTGAGCTGTGACATGCCATTGCACTCCAGCCTGGGAGCTGCAGTGAGCTATGACAGTGCCATTGCACTCCAGTCTGGGAGACAGAGTGAGACCCCATCTCAAACAAAACAAAACAAATATGCTTCTGCTTTCATATGATGGAGAATGATGCGTTTCCTGTGTTGTAGTTTTAGTGTAGTAACCCTGGGACTAAGAAAGGGTTGTTGCTTCCATTTTGCAAAAGAAGAATGAGAGACCTGGTTCACAGGGGCTCGGTCTTGACCCAGATCACCACAGTCAGTGTTGGGGATGGGGCTAGAGCCTGGGTCATCTGCCTGCTGATTCATTTATGCTTAAGCTGCCCCAGATTTCCAGAGGGGGTGGGAGCTATTGTGATCCCTGGTAGACACTTCCTTGCCAAGACATCCTGTTTATGACTGAAGCAGCTGCAGGCACCTTCTGCTCAGAACACTATAGTGGGTTGAAGCATTCAGAGGCATCTGGCGTTCTGATTGGCACTTAACTTCAAGCCCTCCTGCTTTCTGAAGAGAACAGTAGTTACATGGTTGTATAATGTGGTTTCTGGTAAAGATCAGCACAGCCAAATACAACTTTTCCCTTTTTTTATGGGGAGAGGAGGGAGTGTGTTTTGTTTCATTTGTTCGCTCTTCTTTTTTTTTTTTTTTTGCGACAGAGTCTCACTTTGTTGTCCAGGCTAGAGTGAGTGCCGTGGCGTCAGCCTAGCTCACAGCAACTCAAACTCCTGGCTTGAGTGATCTTCTGCCTCAGCCTCCCGAGTAGCATGGACTACAGCGCGCACATGCCGGCTAATTTTTTATATATAATCAGTTGGCCATAATTCTTTCTTATTTTATAGTAGAGACGGGGTCTCGCTCTTGCTCAGGCTGGTTTTGAACTCCTGACCTTGAGCAATCCGCCCGCCTCGGCCTCCCAAGAGTTAGGATTACAGGCGTGAGCCACAGCGCCCGGCCCTCTCTTCTTTTTGAGATAGGGTCGCATTCTGTCATCCAGGCTGGAGTGAAGTGCCCCATGATAGCTCCCTGTAGCCTCAAACTCCTGGGCTCAAGCGATCCTTCTATTTCAGCCTCCCATGTACCTGGGACTACAGGCACGTGCCACCATGTCTAGCTAACTTTATTTTTTATAGGGCCAGGGTCTCACTAGTTACCCAGGCTTGAAATCCCGGCCACCATGATCCTCCTGCATTGGCCTCCTAAAGTGCTGGCATGAGCCACTATACTTGTTTTCTTTCTTGATTTTCATAATTAAGAAAATGTTATCACAGCTGGGATAACAGTTATACGCACACAACATCCTGTATATCCTCTCCTAGCACTGACAGTTGTAACCATTCTAACTTAATAGTTTTCTCTTGCCTTTCGTGTGTGCACATGTGTGAAAGTACATGTGATTGTTGAATTATTTGAAAATAAATTATAGGCATGGTGACAGTTCAGTACATCAGTAAGCTTCTTCTAAGAATATGATATCTACGATATTAATTATCACACATAAGAAAATTAATGGCTGGGCACGTTGGCTCACGCCTGTAATCCTAGTACTCTGAGAGGCTGAGGCGGGTGGTTTGCTCGAGGTCAGGAGTTCAAAACCAGGAGCAAGAAGGAGACCCCGTCTCTACTATAAATAGAAAGAAATTAATTGGCCAACTAATATATATAGAAAAAAATAGCTGGGCATTGTGGTGCATGCCTGTAGTCCCAGCTACTTGGGAGGCTGAGACAGAAGGATCGCTTGAGCCCAGGAGTTTGAGGTTGCTGTGAGCTAGGCTAACGCCATGGCACTCACTCTAGCCTGGGCAACAAAGCAAGACTCTGTCTCAAAAAGAAAGAAAATTAATAATAATTTCCTATCATCTAATATCCAATTTGTAGTCAGATTTTCCTATTCTAAGATTGTCTTTTATAGTAGTAGTTGTTGTGTTACAAACCAAGGTCTGATTAAGTTTCCCTTACTTCATTTGTTTATTTGTTTGTTTTTTTTGAGACAGAGTCTCACTGTTTTGCCTGGGTTAGAGTGCTGTGGCGTCAGCCTAGCTCACAGCAACCTCAAACTCCTGGGCTCAAGTAATCCTTCTGCCTCAGCCTTCTGAGTAGCCAGGACTACAGGCACGCGCCACCACGCCCAGCTAATTTTTTCTATATACTTGGCCAATTAATTTCTTTCTATTTTTAGTAGAGATGGAGTCTTAGTCTTGCTCAGGCTGGTTTTGAACTCCAGAGGACCTTGAGAGATCCTCCTGCCTTGGCCCCCCAGAGTACTAGGATCACAGGCGTGAGCCACCGCACCCGGCCTTGTTATTTTTCTTTAGACTCTTTTAATCTAGAATAATTTTCCCAAAAATTACCCAATCAGGATCACGCAAGCAGTGTGGCCCACAACAGGCAGCAGCATGCGGGTCTGGGGGCAAGCCAGCACTCGGGGCCCCTGGCGGCTCTCTGCCGGGGCCCCGCTCCAGCAGTGTGCCCTCCAACTGGCCACACGCAGCGCTGGCCCACGGAGATGCAGAGCAACAGGGAGGTGGCAAGCGGCCTTGTTCTGGCACCGGCCATTTTCCCTGTCAGAGGTTGTTTGCAACTAAGTGGCTCTGTGCAATCACTGGTGTTGTGTGGGGACTGGGGGCTGTGTTTGAAGACCTCTGCCCATTTGCAGTCACTTGACTGGCATGTCTGTGCTTAAAAGTGCTTTCTCTTGGCCATAACCAAAGGCAGTGGCTGTAATGAGAAATCTCTGATTTTAAAGATTTTGCTTCCTTAATGGCAAAAAGGTTGCAAACAGCCAAATAAATCTCTTGTCAACAAAATTGGTCAAACGGACTGAATCTAATCAAGACACAAAATGCTTGTTAGTAATAACCTTATCACTGGCTGTCCAGTTTCCCCATTGTTAATGTGAGACGGTTTCCTTTCATGGGCTGTTTTCTAGAAAATGACCACTTGCTATGGTTCAGGAATGTGGCTGGTCATTGCCATTTCCTTCATCTGCCTGTGTCTTTGTAAGAGTTGTGTGCTTATGAGGAAACACCCTTTTTTCCCTTTTATTTATATATGTGTGTGTATTTATGCATTTTTCATTGTGGGCAAATATACATGACATCAAATTCACCATTTTAACCACTTTTAAATGTACAATTCTGTGGCATTAAATACTTTTACAACGTTGTGCAACCATTACCACCATTCATCTCCAGAACTTTTTCAACTTCTCAAATGGAAACTTCATACTCATTAAACAATAACTCTCCATTCTCCCCTCCCCTTAGCTCCTGGTAACCTTTATTCTACTTTTTTTTTGAGACAGAATCTTGCTTTGTTTCCCAGACTAGAGTGAGTGCTGTGGTGTCAGCCTAGCTCACAGCAACCTCAAACTCCTGGGCTCAGGCAATCCTGCTGCCTCAGCCTCCCGAGTAGCTGGGACTACAGGCATGCGCCACCATGCCGGGCTATTTTTTTTCTATATATATTAGTTGGCCAATTAATTTTTTTTTTTTTTTTTTTTTTATAGTAGAGATGGGGGCCTCCCTCTTGCTCAGGCAGGTTTGGAACTCCTAACCTTGAGCAATCCGCCGGCCTGGGCCTCCCTGAGTGCTAGGATGACAGGTGTGAGCCACCGCGCCCAGCCCTATTCTACTTTCTGTCTCTAAGAAATTGCCTATTTCTAGGTACCTTATAGAAACGAGATCATACAATGTCTATTTTTTTTTTTTGGAAGTCAGAGTCTTGCTCTATCTCCCTGGCTAGAGTGCAGTGGCATCATCATAGCTTACTACAATCTCGAACTCCTGGGCTCAAGTGATCCTACTGCCTTAGCCTCTCGTACAGGTGTGCACTACTACAGTGTGTGCACTACTATGCCTGGCTAATTTTTCTATTTTTAGTAGAGACAGGAACTTGCTCTTGATCAGGTCTTAAACTCCTAACCTCAAGCGATCCTCCCACCTTGGGCTCTCAGAGTGCCAGGATTACAGGCATGAGCCACCTTGTCCAGCCAACGTCTATTTTTTTTTGTCTTGTTTACTACACTTAGCATATATATCATCCATGTCAGAATGTGTCAGAATTTTATTCCTTTTTATGGCTGAATAATATTCTATCACATATAACATATTTTGTTTATGCATTCATCTGTTGATAGACATTTGGGTTGCTTCCATCGTTTAGCTGTTGTGAATAATTGCTCCATGAACATGGGTATACAAGCATCTAGGTCCCTGCTTCAAGTCTTCTGGTTATATACCTAGAAGTGGAATTGCCGGATCATATGGTAATTCCTGTTTAACTTATTTTTTTTTTTTTCCTTTTTAAGTGGGAAGATAAAATGTTCATTTTAAGTGATAGGGCCACACTGTGAGGCCACGTGGATGGGACTGTGAGATATTATTCTTGTCCTGTGGTGAGATGAAAGTTAGGGCCAGTTTTGTTCTCTCTCCTATGTGGCCACATTGCTTCATTTCTGTTACCTGAGCCCAGAAAGAGAGGACATTTCATCTTTTAGTTTCTAAAAGAGTTGAGAGGTTTGTTATATTTTGTCTTTTGGATGTTGAATAGATTCCAGTTGTCAGCCAGTTAGCAATTGTAGATCCATTCACAGAGCTCTCACTTGCTTAGTTCTAGTGGGTTGAAAGGAGAGAGGGCTGGGTGAGGGGGATCTGCAGCCACAAATAAATCTCTATGGAGGGCACCTTACAGGGTTAGGTAAATTGAAAGCATCCATCCATGAACTAATCAGAAACATTTTCCAAAACCTATGTTCTGTATGAAGTGTTTATTGCATAGCAAGCCTTAAGCAGCCTTCAATCTGAGTAGTCAAAGAGACCAGGTGTCTCTGTGTGGTGAGCATGACTGCTCTGGTCTGGAGTTGAGGATGCGGTTCAGCCTCCTGACCAACAGTAGTTAGCCGCAGGAGATGAGCCTATGCCAGGCCTCTGACAAGCTGCAGATTACGTTTCTCAGGCTTACTCAGATGGAGTGGGTGTTTATCCATATTTTAGGTGCATGTTTAAATCTATTTGGTTTTTTTATTTTTTATTTTTTAAAACTTCTACCCCAGGCCAAGCCCAAGAATCCTTAAGCAAGTGGACTCTTATATTTGTTAAATGACATGATTATTATGTAAATTTTTTGTTGTTGTTTTAGAGGCATTTTATTTAGACAACTAAAAAGAATTAGGCCGGGGGAGGTGGCTCATGCTTGTAATCTTTGCACTCTGGGAGGCGGAGGTGGGCGGATTGCTGGAGGTCAGGAGTTCAAAACCAGCCTGAGCAAGAGGGAGACCCCCCATCTCTACTAAAAATAGAAAGAAATTAATTGGCCAACTAACATATATATAGAAAAAATTAGCTGGGCATCGTGGCGCATGCCTGTAATCCCAGCTACTCGGGAGGCTGAGGCAGGAGGATTGCTTGAGCCCAGGAGACTGAGGTTGCTGTGAGCTAGGCTGACGCCACGGCACTCACTCTAGCCTGGGCAACAAAGGGAGACTCTGTCTCAAAAAAACAAAAACAAACAAACAGCAATTAGATGTTCAGAAGCAGTGTACAATGAAAGAGAAATTAAACCAGTTACTTAATCATGAATTCCCTCTTCTTTATGACTAAAGCAAAAAAAAAAAAAAAGGCATTCTGCTGTAACGGAAAAGTCAGAAAAATAAGCCAATATATTTTTCTTCTCCATAATAACATAAACAGCTGTGAGAAATCTAATTGTAATAAGAGAAATTGGTTGTTGGCTTACACATATTCATTTTTTAAAAAACAGCCCATTGTACTACAGGAGCATAATTCCACCTGCCTTCATCTGCTCTTGAGTTTTCACTTACAGGTAACACCAAGTTAGTTGTTCTAGCACTGGAGCTAATTCATATTCCCCATTATTTACTGCTGTGTTTGCCTTAAGCAGAGACTAACTCTTTGTTTGTTGTTTTAGTGCATAATTTTTATACTATCTGTGGCATATATTTGATGATCAAGTTTTAACTTCAGGAGTTGAAGAATAGATGGAATCTGAATTCTCTGAAGCAATTTCTTCCAGCTCCTCTTCTGTTGTCTCTGGAAAACCAATCTTTGGTTTTGCCAACTCACCACTATCTTCTTTAGGAAGCACACATTTCCAAAGGCCATATGTTTTTCCTACCACAGTCTGCCATAGTCTCAGTGTTCCATCTTCAGAACCACTGGCATAGAGTTTTCCATCAGGACTAAATCTCACACAGTGAATAGGACCAAAGTGTCCTTTGTAGGATTCTAATTCTTCTCCACTATTATAATCATAAAGTCTAAAATCTTCACCACCTGCAACAAGAAATTCTTTCTCAGGATGAAGAGATGCAGAATTGACGGTTGCAGGAGCTTCAAAGGATTTAATTGTGTCCAAACTTACTGCACTATGAAAAGCAATAGATCGTCCATAAGTTATAACCAAAATCTCTCCCTCAGGAATATATTCCATACTACTCACAGACATACTAAAATTTAGAGATTTCACTTCTGTCATAGTAGCATGACCCCAAAGGCGAACAGTTTCATTGTCAGCTGAAAGAATCTGTTCATCCTCACTGCATCATACAGCCTTTTTAATACGAGAGGTGTGACTACTAATTTCCTTAGGTTCTGCTTTAGGTTTGTTCAAGTCATATATGTGTAATAGTTTATCTTGTCCCCCGGTTAACAAATAATTACTATCCTGTGTGAAATCCACTCTTTTTTTTTTTGAGACAGAGTCTCAATCACTCACGGCTAGAGTGAGTGCCGTGGCATCAGCCTAGCTCACAACAACCTCAAACTCCTGGGCTCAAGCAATCCTGCTTCCTCAGCCTCCCGAGTAGCTGGGACTACAGGCATGTGCCACCATGCCTGGCCAATTTTTCCTATATATATTAGTTGGCCAATTAATTTCTTTCTATTTATATATTTATAGTAGAGATGGGGTCTCGTTCTTGCTCAGGTTAGTTTTGAACTCCTGAGCTCAAATGATCCGCCCGCCTTGGCCTCCCAGAGAGCTAGGATTACAGGCGTGAGCCACTGCGCCCGGCCTACACTCTTGACAATGTGTTTATGAGCCAGGGTCATCAGTTCATCTCCTCAGACCGCATCCCACACTTTGACTGTGAAATCTGGAGCTGCTGTAGCTGCTTTGGTGGCATCCTTATTCAATGTTGCACCCCAAACAGTACCTTTATGACCCCAAAATTTTCCAATCCAGTCTCCTGTATCTCCCTGGCATAGCATAGGTTTACCATCTTTGCAAGTGCTGATTAAAAAATACCCATATGCGTGATGCCACTGAAGGCCAAATCAGCCACGGGCCGTGCGGAGCAAGTGAGCTGTGCCGAGCAAGTGAGCCGAGTCTGCCTCATTGCCATGGAGGCCTCGACTTTTCTCTCCTCAGCTGCACAGCCTCAGGCTTTTCAAGGCTGCCCCCCCCCCACGCACACACACTGGGGCTGGACTGGGGAAAAACAGGGGGCTGGGAAGACAGGAAAAGGGGCCAATCCGGGGACACCGAGGTCAGGGAAGGGTTAGGGAGGGGTGAGGGAGTCTGCAACAAGCCAAGGGAGCGAGGGAGGAAAGTAGGGGAGGGGGAGAACCGGAGAACTGGCCCCACCAGGATCCACACCTTCCACCGATTTTATGTAAATTTTTAGCAAAAGAAAAATGTTGAAAATAAAAATTAAAAGCTCACTTCTCAACTGTCCAGCTCATTCCTTCCTTCTAAGTCTAAGGTATTTCTTTCTAGCCTCTTTCTATGCTGAAATGAGTTAAAACTGTATTTCTTCACTTTGAATTTTTCTTTCTCCTTCACCTTCTCCTCCCTGCTTCTCCTCTTCCTTTGGTTATAACATCTTTTGTGTATTTTTCTTAATTTTTTTTTCTTTGTAGAGACAGGATCTTTCTGTGTTGCCCAGGCCAGTCTTATACCCTCAAGTGAACCTCCCACCATGACCTCCCAAAGTGCTGGGGTGAACCACTGTACCAGGCTTCCACTTTGAATTTCTTACCTAGCAGTGTTGGAAGGTTATCTTTTAGTATAGCAATTTACCACTATTTTGACCCAGTGTTTTTAACAGTTGTTGACAGGAAAAAGAAGAGATGGAGAGACATGTGGAGATTAAATGAGACTTAAGAGACTTAGCAACCATTTGTAATATGTGACCCTAACTTGGATTTTAGTCAAACTGACTCTTAAAAAATTCATGAAACACCTGTGATCCCAGCACTTTGGGAGGCTGAAGCAGGAGTATAGCTTGAGGCCAGGAGTTCAAGATCAGCCTGAGCAACATCGTAAGACCCTAACTCTACAAAACATGAAAAATTACCCAGCATGGTGGTTTATGCCTGTGGTTCCAGCTACTTGGAAGGTGGAGGCAAAAGGATTGCTTGAGCCCAAGTGTGGGAGGCTGCAGTATGATCGCACGACTGCACTCCAGCCTGGGTGACAGAATAAGACCCTTTAAAAAAAAAGTTAATGAAATTTGTAAGATAATTAAAAATTTGAACACTAGATATTTAATGATAATAAGGAATCATTTTTAAATTTTTGATGTGATATTGATGTTGTGGGTATTCTAAAAGTATCTTTTAAAGATACATAGTAAATATTTATGGATGAGAAATGTGAGTTCTAGGATTTAGTCAAAATAATACAGGAGGAGGGGAAAGGTGGGAATGAAGGTGAAACAAGACCAGCGATGAGTTAATAGTGGTTGAGGCTGCGTGACAGGTACATGGGATTCATTGTATGGTTCTTTACACATTGTGTTGGTTTGGAATTCTCTGTAATAAAAAGCTTCTTCAAAAAGTAGTAAGCCAGGCATGGTGGCTCATACGCATAATCCCAGCTACTCGAAAGGCTGCAGCTTGGAGGATCCCTTAGGGTCAGGAGTTTGAGACCAGCTTGGGCAACATTGTGGGATCTTATCTCTGAGCATATGAAAAAAATGAGCCAGGTGTGGTGGTGCACACCTGTAGTCCCAGCTACTCAGGAGGCTGAGGCAGGAGGAGAGGAATTAAAGGCTGTAGTGAGCTATGATTATGCTACTACACTCTAGCCTGGGTGACTAGAGTGAGACCACTATCTCATCCATCCATCCATCCATCCATCCATCCATCCATTCATCCATCCATCCATTCATTCATTCATAAATAAATAAATAAAAATAAATAAATTTGAACTGCTTCTGGCAATATGGAATAGAAGTACTTTTCCTGATTCTTCCTGCTAAGTCCAACTAAAATCCCTGGGTATGAGGTAGAAGACAGACATAAGGAGACTGTAAAAGAGAACAAGGCAGACCAGCTAGGGACCCTGGGATCCAGTGAATGACACAGTAGTGAGTTCCTTGAGTTTGCTTTTGCCTCATGTATCTCAGACTTGGAGCTGAAGAAGGTAAGAACCTATGGGCACAAACATATAAAGTGCCAACAAAAGCCCGCTCTCTCTATCCAAAAGACCAGGAATGGGCAGCCTATCCCTGTCCTGGTGAGTTGGTGAGTGAGTAGTGCTTGGCCCTTTATGCTGTTGAAGGCTTTTTCCCAGTGAAGGGCGTGCTCCTGGGTCATCCACCTATGGGCCGGACAGCCGGACAGTTCAAATACAACTTAAAATGTTGCTGAGACAGGGTCTTGGGGGCTGAATTTTACTTTAAAAAACAATTTAAAACTTTTTGCAGTTAAAAGGGTGAATAGAAGGCCGGGCGCGGTGGCTCACGCCTGTAATCCTAGCTCTTGGGAGGCCGAGGCGGGGATTGCCTCAAGGTCAGGAGTTCAAAACCAGCCTGAGCAAGAGCGAACTCCTCTCTCATAATAAAGAAAGAATTAATTGGCCAACTGATTATATATAAAAAATTAGCCGGGCATGGTGGCTCATGCCTGTTCCCAGTTACTCGGGAGGCTGAGGCAGAAGGATCGCTCGAGCCCAGGAGTTTGAGGTTGCTGTGAGCTAGGCTGACGCCACGGCACTCACTCTAGCCTGGACAACAAAGCGAGACTGTCTCAAAAAAAAAAAAAAAAGGGTGAATAGATAAACTGAAAGACTAGGAGAAAATATTTTCAAACCACATATCCAACATCTAGAACATGTAAGAAACTCTCAAAGTTCAATATTTAAAAAACAACCAAACAACTCAGAAAATGGGCAAATGATGGGCAAGAAACATGAACAGTTTCACTGAAGAGGATGCACAAATGGCAAAGAAGCATTGTTCAGTGTCATTAGCCATGAGAGAAATGCAAATTAAAAATCAATACACATTATCACAATTGCTAAAATAAAAAAGAGGGATAACACCAAATGCTGGGAAGGATGCAGAGAAGGTGGATCTGGGTGACCCATGCATTGCTGGTGGAATGTAAAATGGTACAGCTACTCGGGAACACAGCTTGCTAGTTTCTTTAAAACAAACAAACAAAGATACAAGCAAACAATGCATGCAATAATCATATGACCCAGCAGTTGAAGTTCTTGGCATTTATCCCAGAGGAACAAAAACTTATTGTGAGCCGGGCGCGGTGGCTCACGCCTGTAATCCTAGCTCTCTGGGAGGCTGAGGCGGGTGGATTGCTCAAGGTCAGGAGTAGAAACCAGCCTGAGCAAGAGCGAGACCCATCTCTACTATAAATAGAAAGAAATTATTTGGCCAACTAAGATATATATAGAAAAAATTAGAGCCGGGCATGGTGGCGCATGCCTGTAGTCCCAGCTACACGGGAGGCTGAGGCAGGAGGATTGCTTGAGCCCAGGAGTTTAAGGTTGCTGTGAGCTAGACTGACGTCACGGCACTCACTCTAGCCTGGGCAACAGAGTGAGACTCTGTCTCAAAAAAAAAAAAAAACAAACAAAAAACTTATTGTGCAGGAAGAGTGCTATTTTTCCTTTAGTATTGTCACTCACAACTAAAGGAAAAACATCTTTTCTGCTCTACTCAAATACTTCACTTCTGGTCACCAAAATCTATGATTTTTTCCTCACACTGACCAATTCTCCAATTCTCTGGAACACCAAGTGGATATCCTATAATTCCATTGAATTCTGAGAATGTCTACCTGGAGTTAGTGTAGACCCTGCAGTTTAAGGACTCAGTTTCACCCCCCCCCATTTCAGGTGCCAGTCACAAGTGATGGGTCCTCAGGCAGCCCACAGCTTCCGTGCAAGGTGGCTACAAATCAGACCTTCCCATTACCCCCACTCATGGCAGATGGTTTGCTAGAATGGCTCACAGAACTCAGGGAAACACTTACCTTCACCAGTTATGTGCCGAAGGGTGTGTGTGATAAAGGATGTTCTGAAGAGGTGTGCCAGGCTGAGTTCAGAAGGGTTCTGGGCACTGGAGTTTCTGTCCCTACAAAGTTGAGGTAGGCTACCCCCTTGACACATGGGTGTGTTTACCAGCCCAGAAGCTCCCCGAGCCCCATACTTGAGGGGCTTTTATGGAGACTGAATCACTTAGGCGTGATTGAGTAAACTCAATCTCTAGCTCATCTCCCCTTGCTGGAGGATGGGGAGTGGGCTGACAGTTCTAAGCTGCTGCTGCTTCTTTTTTTTTTTTTTTTTTTTTTTTTTTAGACAGAGTCTCGCTTTGTTGCCCAGGCTAGAGTGAGTGCCGTGGCATCCGCCTAGCTCACAGCAACCTCAAACTCCTGGGCTCAAGCGATCCTCCTGCCTCAGCCTCCCAAGTAGCTGGGACTACAGGCACGCGCCACCATGCCTGGCTCATTTTTTTTCTATATATATTAGTTAGCCAATTAATTTCTTTCTATTTATAGTAAGACGGGTTCGCTCTTCGCTCAGTCTGGTTTTGAACTCCCGACCTCGAGCAATCGCCTGCCTCGGCCTCCCAGAGTGCTGGGATTAGGCGGTGAGCCAACCCACGCTGCCAGTTCTAAGCTTCTGATCATGACTCAGTCTTTCTGGTGACCAGCCCCATGATAACGCTGTCTAGGAGCCACTAGGAGTCACCTCATTAGAACAACAGGCTCCTTTCATCTAGGAGAATACAAGGGGTTTAGGAACTCTGGGTAAGGAACCAGGGGCAGAGACCCGTATATAATTTTATACTTATATTCTCGCACAAACCTATATACAAACATTTATAGCAGCTTTATCAGTAATAGATGGGTAGAAACAACCCAGGTGTCCTTCAGTGGGTGAATGGCTAAACAAACTGTGGTACATCCACACTATGGGATATTACTCAGCAATAAAAAAGAACAAACCATTGATATAAGCAACAACTGGGTTGAATCTACAGAGAATTATGTATAGTAAAAAAGGGCCAATCCCCAAAGGTTCCATGATATATGATTCATTCATATAACATCATGGAAATTATAAAATTACAGAGATGGAGAGGAGATTAGGGACTGTCAGGGGTAAGAATAAGGTGGCTGAGAGGGAAGTAGGTGAGGCTATAAAAGCCAAGGTGAGGGCTCCCTGAGGTGGTGAAGCATTCTGTGTATTCGCTGTGTCAGTGTCAACACCCCAGTTGTGTAACACTGTGTCTTAGTTTTGCACAATGTTACTCTTACGGAAACTGGGTAAAGGGCATTTCTTACACCTCCATATAAATCTTCCTCAAATGAATTTGCTCAAACATCTTAAAATAAGAAGTTTCATTAAAAAAAAATAATCGAGTATAATTTTTAAAAATTTCAAGCAACACAAAATGTTATTTTATGAAAAGTAAGCCTTCCTGCTACCTCTGTGTTGTTCCCTCAAGGCAAACCCCTCTGCTAGTCATGGCATTTTCCACAATCGTGTAGACTCTTGACCGACAAGCTCTGAATATTTCAGAATTGAGTGTTGCCTAAATAACATAGAGAGAGCTACTTGTCATGGCAGTTTGTCCCTGTCTTCCACGTGAGATCTGCAGGGCTGGGTCTCATCTCTCTATTCCCTGAAAGAGCCATCACACAGCGTGTGATGACTGGTGCCATGGCCTCACCCAGCTTATAATGTTGTCTATCCCTGTCAACCCATGCCAGGAATCGAGCCCACTGGGAACATGGTGAAGCAGCCAGCCAAGTTCACTGTGGACACCATCAGCGCCGGGCAAGGAGACGTGATGGTGTTTGTCGAGGATGCAGAAGGGAACAAAGAGGAGGTATGTTGGAGGATTCTGCCTCTGCTGTCCAGCATCCTGTGGGGCCTTGGGGGCTGTAACAGGACCAGGGACTGTGCCTCCATTTTCCCCATTACAGCTCACAGCCAAAATTGTTTTTTACCCAAAGGATATACTGAGGCTTACAGCAGTTGATTCCCAAGGAGAGCAGTTGTGTCCCAAGGACACAGCGTTTAATAGAATAAAGGATACTTTGGCTATAGCAAAGGCCTTCTCAGTTGAGGTTCTTGGTAGAATAACAAGATGATTCCTGCCCTACTCTCTTCCCGTATGGACCTCCTTTGGGTCCTCCCTCAGGGCCTGTACACATACTATTCTCTCTTTGCACCTATTTTCTTAGAGCCATGTCTTGTTCCTATCACTTAGCATAATCTGAAATTCTAAGTTTTCTAACATATTGTCTCTTTTCCCCACTGAGGCAGGGATTATACCTGACTTGCACATTGTTTAATTTTTGGTCTCTAATACCATGGCCGGCATTTCATAAGCTCTCAGTAACCACTGTGCCAATAAAGATTCATGTTACTTGCTTCCATATTCTCTCTTACCTAGAGAGTGACAGCCCTGAGACAGTGGAGAGGCCTGACTCTCTCGTGCCTTTGTGCTGTGTGGTTTTGTTTCTGTGACTCTGTGGTGCTTCTTTCCTGGAGTGCTCTGTAGGGTGGTAGGATAGGAAATAAAAGGATAGTGTTCCTGACCAGTAGCTGACTGCAGGGCCTTGGCTGGCAGAGCAGACTCCTTACTGCCAGCACCTTCTCTGACTGTCACCCCTCTTCCCTCCTAGGCACAAGTGACCCCTGACAGCGACAAGAACAAGACATACTCTGTGGAGTATCTGCCCAAGGTCACTGGGTTGCACAAAGTAAGAAACATCATGGCCATGGCTTGAACTATTCTTTGGGCTTGCTTCAATATGTATATAGAGGAAAGATCTTAGGAAGAAGATTTTTTCTTAAGTTAACTTCTGATTTTCCTTTCTGATTATAAAAGTATCTATGCTCATGTAGAAAATCTGAAATCCCTGTGAATCAGACTTAGTAAGCTAATACATCTCTATTGCTCCTTTCCACGGATGGATTCTTTGCAACTTCCTAAGACTTTTCCAACTCCATCTAGGTAACTCAATGGTTGCAGCTACATGCCTGGGGTGTAGATGCTGCAGAGACCGAACTGCGGACTCTGTCCGTAGTGCTCCCTTAGCGTCCGCTTGGCGGTGCTCTGGAGCGTCTGCCAGCATTGGAGCCTGAGTACGGTGCAATCCAGCGGCTTGGTGGAGGGAAACGGCCCTCTCAGCACCTGGAGAAATGATGGGGGTGGAGTCCCAGGTCGTGTCTTGGCAACATTTTGAGTTCTGTTTGAGATGTTCTCGTGGCGTTCTGGTGGCCTGTGGGGCAGGCACGAGGAAAGCCTGTATTGCAGGTGAATGGGGTGACTCAAGAGTGTACCCTTCATGGGAAGAAAACCTTCAACAGCACATAATGGCCAGTCCCCACTTACCGTGTCTGGACTTTGAGACACAGACCTTACTCGTGACCTTGGGCTTTAGTGAATTCACCTGGAACAATGGCCTTAGATTTTTCTCTTATACTCTTAGAATATTAGAAATTTGGAAAAAAGTATTAGGAATAAATCGTCTTGAAGGGAGCATTTATGATGTAATTAATTCATTCTAGTCAAGTATGGGATCACATGAAACCCAACCCAGTTTCTCCTGAAAAATTTCAAAGATGACAACTGTGACTCAAGTTTTGGGTGGAAATCATTGTACTTTGTTTCAAAGCCATGTTTCTAAGGATGATCTTGATCCTTTGAAAAACACTTTCACATTGAGTTTGAAATCCTGGTACTGCACATTTTATTCTGGGGGGATAGTGGCCCCTTCTGCAGTTCCTTGAAAGTACCCAGTGTCTAGAGATTCAAATGTGTGTGCTCATTTCCTGCTAGAGAGGCCACACATACCTGACACAAGCATCTATCTTGCTGCGGGCGTGGTGTCCCAGACGCATCTCTGTGGCTGAAGGGGCCAGGCAAGAGTCTCATTCAGGCCACTTGACTTGGTCCCAGCCACCTTTGTGTGTGTGTTCAGGCTTATATAGCCTGCTGTGGTCTTGCTGGGCAGAGAAGCAATTATTTATATCTCACCTGTCTTTCGCCTATAGGTCACAGTCCTCTTTGCAGGACAGCATATCTCCAAGAGTCCATTTGAAGTGAATGTTGACAAGGCCCAGGGAGACGCCAGTAAAGTCACTGCAAAAGGCCCAGGGTTGGAAGCTACAGGGAACATCGCCAATAAGCCCACCTACTTTGACATCTACACAGCTGGTAATGTGCTTCTCCTCCATGGATCAGATCTTTGAGCTCTGCTTCCAAAGGCTGAAATATAATCCTGAGAATAGTGAAGGCTTGGGATGCCTGGCCTTTTATCTTTTAACTTGAATAAACAATGACAAACAAATGTTTTGTGTTAGTTGTATTTTTAGGTTTTTTTTTAACACCAGTTTTTCCTCTCTAAAATACTCAGGCTTGACTTTGATTGATTAATCAGTTTCTGTATATATTTCTGATTTCACTAAATGTTCCAAAGAAACTAAGTTATTTATTATTTTTTTTGTTGTTGTTGTTGTTGAGACAGAGTCTCACTCTGTTGCCCCGGCTAGAGTGCCATGGTGTCAGCCTAGCTCACAGCAACCTCAAACTCCTGGGCTCAAGCGATCCTCCTGCCCAAGCCTCCCGAGTAGCTGGGACTACAGGCATGCGCCACCATGCCCAGCTAGTTTTTTCTATATATTTGTAGTTGGCCAATTAATTTCTTTCTATTTTTAATAGAGACAGGTCTCGCTCTTGCTCAGGCTGGTCTCGAACTCCTGACCTTGAGCGATCCTCCTTCCTCGGTCTCCCAGAGTGCTAGGATTATAGGCATGAGCCACTGCGCCCGGCACCAAAACTAAGTTTTAAGAATCATCTACTAGACCTAGTTCTATGCAAGATCCTGTGGGGATTTTAAAAAAAGGACTGAATAAAACATACTTTTTGAATTGTTGGCTCTGTTTTCAATGTAGAAAACAAAAAATGTGAAAAAAGGAAAAGTTAATCATAACCCCAACTACCCAAGAAAATAGTTAATGTGGACCTTCCTCAGTGCCTGCCTGTCCCCTCCTGCCTGTACTTCGTGCTCAGCAGCAGCGCGCTCTCCGAGGGTGGCTTGGGCTCATGGAACGCTCCTTCTCTCCTAGGAGCCGGTGTAGGTGACGTTGCTGTGGAAGTCGAAGATCCCCGGGGGAAGAGCCCTGTGGAGCTGCTTGTGGAAGACAGAGGAAACCAAGTGCATCGATGTGTGTACAAACCCGTGCAGCCTGGCCCCCATGTGGTCAAGGTCTCGTTTGCTGGGGACACCATTCCCAAGAGCCCCTTCGTCGTGCAAGTCGGGGAAGGTGAGTGCTGGATGGGCCGACTGTTTCTGGCACAGAGGCTGACTGTGCACGGCCAGGAACTGAGGCCCGGAAAACGGGCCCCAACACCGACCTCGTACCTGTCTCCTTTCTGCCAGGGCCACACTTCAGCAGGAACTGGCTTACTTTGTCCTCAAGATATTAATACTAATATCTTCTATAAGCCATGCAGAAACCTAAATGCTTTGCTTGTACTAACACGTTTAGTCCTCCCCAAGACACACATACAGGAGAGTCATCCTCACTGAGCGATGCAGGGCTGATGCGCTTGGAGGAGCTGGCGCCACGGCTGATGGTGGCAGCAGCACGGGCCCTGCAGCCTCCGTGGCTCCGCCTCCACGGCTGCCAGGCACTTGACACAGCTGCATGAAGTCTTCATACCAGCCTGTGTGCAGGTGGTGTTGTCTCCACTGTGCAGGTGGAGACACTGAGGCTTAGGTAACATGAGGTGTCAGTGGGGCTGGAACTGGGGTCTCTGTTTACTCTGCCCTTAACCACTCTGCTGAACTCCCTCTGCAGTCAGGAGCATGTGTTTTCCTCTAGGGTGAGACTCTCTGTCCTTCTCACTTCGTTGCCTTTTTTCTCTGTTTTGTTTTGTTTTCCAACTGTGCTTCCTTTTCTAACTAATACTTGTCTTTCCCCATTCTGTCCTGCAAATCTGCCTCTGCAGACTTGGCTTCCTCTTCTGAATCCTGCCTCTGGGCCAGCCTGGATCCCGAAGCTGTTGGCTTCCTAGTTGAGACCACTGGGCCAGAGGCCTCTTACTTGGTAAGGGCTGGTTGGGTGGGCCTTTTTTTTTTTTGCCAGTTCTTTGTACTGCTTGCGAAGGTCAGCTGTGCTTGTGTTCTTTGTGACTTCAGGAAATTCCTGTGCAGGTGTTACTACAGCTTGTCCAGCCAGACCCTAGACCCACGGCCTAATTGCATTTCAACACATCTAGGGCTTTGCTAGATGCTGGAGAAACTGTTAGTGCCCTTCAAACTCTTTAGCCTTATTTAGAGTTTATATGAACCAAGCAGTTACCTTTTGATGTTGAAACTATTGCACATGTTCAGAATTTCCATGAGTGTTTTATGACACATTAAAACCTGCCGAGGAAGTCCTGTCATCCTGCTGTGACTTATTTCTGGTATGACCAACTTTTCTCCCCTTGACAAAGAAAAAACAAACAAACAAAAAATCCCAATGTATTCATTAGCAAAACTTTCTGACATAAGGTAAGAAAGACTTAAACAGTGTTCCTAATTCTACTAGTGTGTTCCAGCCTTCCCTCACTCATGGACTATGTTTTTCATTTCTGGCATATCCATCCCACCCATATTGTTTAATTAATTGATAGACATTTTCTTTCTTTCTTTCTTTCTTTTTTTTGTTAGAGACAGGGGTCTCACTCTGTTGCCCAGCCTGGAGTGCAGTGGTGCAATCATAGCTTACAGCAGCCTCAAACTTCTGGTCTCAAGTGATCCTCCTGCTTCAACCTCCTGAGTAGCTGGAACTGCAGGCAGGAGCTATGTCACTCAGCTGACTTTTTTTTTGATTTGCTAACATCCCCTCCCTGCCTTAAATGATTTTATAGTAAAGGAAACTTTATATCAATCTCACAATAGCAAACTAACATCACTTGTCTTAAAGTACAACCATAAACATACATTCATCCATAAACCATCTAAAACCATTTCTAACTCTAAGTGTGTGTTTGACTCTTTTGGAATCAGTTGTTTGCCACATAGCCAGTGAGGACATTGCAGGGAGGGAGAGCCAGAGGCGGAATGACCTTCCTTCTGTGGAGTAGACAGAGAGTCTTGTCTTCTGGAGTCTGTGATCCATTGTGTATAGAGGGCTGTCAATATGCAGTGTCAGATTTGGAAAGGAACAGCCACTTGAACAATATGACATCTCACATACTAATCTCCTATTTCTTCAATGGGAAGGTTACCCATGCTGAGCAAAGAATTCCTGGGGCATAAAGGCATCTTCTGTCAACCCCTGAACACTGTGGAACAGCTACGAAACAGTAGTTGTTTGGACCTCTCAAGGTGCACAAAGATATCAGAAGCTATTTTATCCTTAATTTTTGGACTTGCAACCTTAAGTTTTTAAACTAGGCCTGAAAATCAAGCCAGGAGTGGTGTTTACTGCTAGTTGTTGCTTTCATAGCCACTCACACTCTGAGAGCCTCGCAACAGACAGCACTACAGTGTCAGTCTACCCTGGCTGAGGTGGGGTTGAGCTGGTCTCTCTTTTCTCCACCCCCCCTCCAAAAGCTCTTCTGGAATGGTCTCTTTTTTAGCTGTTTTGTTTTTGCCTGGTTGTTCACGCGGAAGGCAACAATATTTTAGACTTTTAGAAATGGCTGACCGAGGGTTTGGAACCCAGACAGGCAGTTTCAAGCACCGCATTTTCTAGTCTTCCAATTAGTGAGCATTGAGGATGGCAGTGAGGTTTGAATAGCGTCCAGCACTTGGTCTTAACTCACACACAAAAAAGGATAAACGCCAGTACCAGGAGCACAGCATGGATTCGCCGCACTCTCTTGTTTTCTTTGCCAAAGTAACTTCTCCCGAGTCCTTCTGTGGTGTGGCTGGACAAAGTTATGTTGTTTCCTTATTTGCTAGTCTGGTGTGTTCCCAGGACCCTTGGTCTTGGGCCACTACTGCATATTCTTTGTGTAAAACAAATATTTTCTTGGCCCATGGCTCCAAGTTACCTTGGCTTTTATGACTGACTAAAGAATGAAAGGTTGAATTGATGTTGATACTGTGCTTGCAGCCTGCAGTCCAAATGCTTGCCGGGCCAGTGGCCGAGGCCTGCAGCCCAAAGGTGTCCGTATCAGGGAGACTGCAGACTTCAAGGTTGACACCAAAGCTGCGGGGAGTGGGGAGCTCAGCGTAACCGTGAAGGGTCCTAGTAAGTGTTCCTTTCTTTCCTTATTTCAGGTGTGGTTTTGGTTAATTTTGTAGCCATGGCATACGGATTTCATCGCATAGCCAGCTCTCTTCGATTATCCCAGAGAGCTATGTCAATGATTTGAGGCTATCTGGGCTCCATGGAGAAGGGAGCAGGGATTGATTAGTAATGTCTGCCCTGGATGTGGGCAAAAACTGTGGGTGGCCTGACAGCTTTACATTACATTAAGGCATCTGGTAGTAGAAAAAGGGAACTGGGGAAATGTTGCTGTTGGAACAACAACCAGAAGACCAGAAGTGGACCTTTTTTTTAAATTTAATCAGAGGAAACCTAGGCTCAGAGAGGAAGGTTCTCGCCCAAAGTTATACAGATTGTAGGCTTTTGAGGTGGAATTCAAGCAGAGTCTCCAAAGCCAGTGATTTTCCCATTACAGGTTACATTTTATAGACTATGAAATTATGTCAAATGCTTAATTACTATGATCAGTGCTTATAGAATAAAATTACCAAAGAGTAAGTTTTCTTTATAGATAAATGCCATTTGTGGATGGGCAGGTTACACCCTGCAACCCATTCTCCCTCCCTCTTTTGGAGAAGGAGACAGTAAATGTGGAAATGGGTGTCTTCCCTGTTCTTGTTTGCCCCTAGAACAGAGAAGCAGCCCAGCATTTCTAGTCTCAGGTGTAGCAGCCCTTGGTGGTCATATTCCCATGCCTTGTAGAGTCTTGAGCTTCCTGTGCCAGGATGGCTCTCAGCCTCTGTGTTCCCAACAGGCTGGGGCAGGAGTGTTCTGAGCTCCAGAAAGTTAATATTTGATCTCAGGGCACCAAGCTTTGGGGCAGGCTGTGGCCGGAGGGCAGCCAAGGTTCTAGACTACCCAGACCTGGAGCCAAGCTGCTGTGGGGCTGCCCTCCTTCCCACCTCCTCACAGCAGGAACCAGGGAGGTGTTTTTTTTTTCCTGACCTTGGATACTTGTTTGACTCAGTAGCTTTTCTGGCCAAACCTCAGGCATAAAACCTCAACATAAAACAAGTTCCTGCCTGATGCCTGGGTCTGGCGTTTGCAAGATAGCACCTAAAACCTCTCCTCTGGCAGTTAGCATCAGATGGCTATCTTGCTCTTGTTGTCCAGCTTTAGTTGAAAAAGATGTTCAAACACTTAACCTGAAACTCATGCTAAATACTCCTAAGGGTTCGTGCCCTCCCCAGTTTTTGTGGGTGGGCTGAGAAGGGTGGACACAATTGTTGGGAAATACTGAGATGTGATTGGATTTATCTGTACACAGACCAAGGAGTTTGTCCTTAGGGCTTTCTCGTGGCCGAGAGAGATTTTTAAAGCCAATTAGCTTGGAAATCCTTCACTTCCTCACACTTTAGCAGAGGTGGACCTGTTTTTACCTTAGGAGTAATCTCCCAGGTTTGGGGGCAGGAGTTCCCACACTCTGAGGCAGCTCAGTTAGTTTTCTTAGGTGGTTTGTGTTTTGTGGATGTTGCTGTATTACTGTTCTCGTCCTTTTGATTCTCATTCTGAGTCTAAGATCGCATTGGGAAGATCGTCTGCTTTCTCCCCACAGAGGGTCTGGAGGAGTTGGTGAAGCAGAAAGGCTTTCTGGATGGGGTCTACACATTCGAGTACTACCCCAGCACCCCTGGGAGATACAGCATTGCCATCACATGGGGGGGATACCACATTCCAAAGAGGTGAGGTGCGCTCAGCCCAGGGGAGACTTGTAGGCGGCTGCTTCCACGGCTGCAGGAGGGAAAGAGATCTGCTTTGTTGGAAACTTTTTTTTTTTTCTTTCAAAACAGCACAGACATTTGGCTTGTTCTCAAAAGCAGCAGAAAGTTGCTGTGGTTTTAGCTGACTTGCTTTAAATCAAATACTGGCAGTCGGGGGCGGGTGGGAGGCAGGGAGTCAGAAGGAGCAGTAATGGAGAGCAAATGGGCTGGGTTCTGTCCCCTTGTATAAACCAAGATTCCCTTTCTCAATGAAGGCCTCTGTTCATGAAAGCCGTGGGGGCAGAGTCTGCTGTGGTTCACAGTAAAGCCCGTCTACGTGAGTGTTTCAGAGGCCAAGGGATGCAGTCTACAGTTTTGCCTTGGGGGTGTTGCAGTTGCCCCCTTGTTTTCCAGCTCTCCTGGGGGCAACTTTGAATAAATTTGGTTTGCCTTGAGAAATATTTGGGTATTCTAGGGTTATGAGTATCTAGGCACACTTTTTTTAAACCTCCTACACCAAAGTTAAACCATGTTCATTTATGTATGAGATAAAGCCTATTCAACTTAGTTTCCTTGTTATAGCATAGGCAGGATACAGAGAAGTGTGGAGTCTCTTACCTTCCAGGGCTCATAATCTGGGAAGCCCTGCACATAAAAGGTGAATGACCAGGAGGATAGTGCAAGACGGTGTGGTTTGAGTGCCCACCCAGTGGCCACCTGAGCTCCCAGAGGCAGCCACATTACATGATATTGTTGACATAACAATGGCTGTCGGGGGGACCTGTGGAGGAAGGGCTTGACTAGAGTTTGGGACTACAGGTGAAAGGGTCAGGTGAGTGGAAAGAATGCGTGAAGGAACCACAGTTTATGGCTGTGGTTAGCCCTTTCTTTGTTCTTCTTCAGTGTTTCTTCTATTCCTTTCCTTCTAGCCCCTTTGAAGTTCAAGTTGGCCCTGAAGCAGGCATGCAAAAAGTCCGTGCCTGGGGCCCTGGCCTACATGGCGGGATTGTTGGGCGGTCAGCAGACTTCGTGGTGGAGTCCATCGGCTCTGAAGTGGGGTCTCTGGGTAAGTGGTGGCAGCTGACCAGCAGCTTCTGGAGGGCTAAGGATTACGGGGCACCTGGGCCTGGTAGCAGGCTGGGTTTTGCGGCCTTGCCCAGCCTCACTACCCTTTGCCCGCTGGCCTCCTGACCACCCGGGGCATCTCTGTACTCTGCTGTGGATTGCACGTCCTATTTCCCTTCTGCCCATTTGGTTGCCCATTGCTTCTGGCACCAGAATTCATTCATTTGCTAGACCTTGACCGCAGAGGTTTTATGTGGACATTGTGCCTAAAACAGTGCTCAGAACGTAGTAAGCACTTAGTAAATATTGTTGATAGACCCTTAGTTTATGTGAATGAATTTTGCTAAAATTTGGGAATAAATACATTCTTTGTTGCATAACCAAGTATATTTTAAACACATATCTGATAATACATATATGATCATTTTAGATCAGGAGTCTGCAAACTTTTTCTATAAAGGGTCAGATAGCAAATATTTTTAACTTGTGGACCACGTGCACGTGGTCTCTGTCGTAATTGTTTGACTCCACCCATTGTAGCTTGAAAGCAACCATAGAAAATATGTAAATAAGTGGGTGTGGCTGTGTTCCACAAAAATTTTATTTACAAAAACAGGCAGTGGGCCAGGTTTGGCCCTTGGACTATAGTTAAGTGACTGCCATTTTAGGTAATAGCAATAAGCAAAAGGAAAAATAAGAAATCACATTTCTTTCTCTCATCTAGAGAGATGATATTAATCATTGTGGTAAATCCTTCTAGTCTAGAGATAATATTAAACTTTTTGGTATATCCTTCCAGACTTTCTTCCTATATATACACATGCAAACGTTGATTTGCCACATAAAATATCTTGGGAGGTCTTTATGTCTTTATGCCTCAAATAAATATAGGGTATGCCTTCATTTTTCATGGCTTCCATGGAATTCCATTGTATGGTTGTATCTATTGTTAGGCTCTCCAGTTATTTCCAGGGTTTTGCTATAAAAACAATGTTGAATGCATATCCTTGGTAATTTCCTTTAGAAAAATGCCCAGAAATTGAATTAGGCATACAAAGAGTGGGTGTTGGTTTAAGGCTTTTGGCACATGTTACCATATTGCCAGCAGGAAGGTTTGCTGGTTGGACCCTTCCTGTTAGATGATATAAAGACAGAAAAGTACATAATCCAACCCTTCCATTCTAGTGAGGACCCAGTGGGCCTGGTTTTGTGGAAAAGGGACACAAACAGATTTCAATCTACTGGCCAATACTTAGTTTTTAGGGAGGCAGAGGGAATGAGTTGGTAGTTATATAGAATATGTACTTTCCATCATGTAACCAGGGAGGCCTTCTTGCCCCACCCTCCAGGGTTTGCCATTGAAGGCCCTTCCCAGGCAAAGATCGAATATGATGACCAGAATGATGGTTCGTGTGATGTCAAATACTGGCCCAAGGAGCCTGGCGAATACGCCATTCACATCATGTGTGACGACGAAGACATCAAGGACAGCCCGTATATGGCCTTCATCCACCCGGCCACAGGAGACTACAACCCTGATCTGGTGAATCAAGTTGTGTTTGTTGTGTCATCTCTTCCCTGGCTCCTGGCACACCCTCTCCCCCACCCCAACCCCATGCCTGAAGAATTGCCTTAAACAGCATGTTGAGAGAGGGCAGAGAGGAACTATTTAGATTTTAGTCAGGAAATGGGCTTGAATTTGAATCCTGGTAGTACTCCTTAGCATTTTTATAATGTTGGGTAAGTCACTTACCTCTCTGACTCTTGGTATCTTCCTCTATAAAATGGGAATGGAGTATGTCTGCTTCCTAGAGCCTCTGGCATGATTTGGGGGAGGCAGCAGGCACAAAGGCAGCCTTTCGCTCAGTGCCTGGGCTGTGTAAGCTGCTATTTTCTTGTAACCTGGAGCATCATTTTTCAGTCTTCTACTTTCTGTAGTTAGTTCAGGATGCTCCGTAGATAAAGGCTATTTTCCCCTGTAGCCCCCTTTCTCTTAAATTGGAGCAATGTTTTCAAAAGCTTCCTTTCAAACCCTTAGCAGGCTGGTAAGCATCAGGTCTGAGCCAGCCTGGGTGACAGGGTGGCCACGCACACTGCATGTGCTGCTGCTGGCCCGCCTGTCTGTGGCTGACACCACTTTGGACTGGGACCTGCCCGTCTTTGGGCCAACTGCCAGTCCTTTGTTCTCTGGGGACTGCAAACTTTTGGAGTGTCTTCTGTAGCAAAGATTCCAAGTCCCCTCAAACTAGGAACATTGAAACTTGGCATAGCTGGCAGTCCCCGCCCCACTTACTAGAAGTTCTCTAGGTCAGCTCAGAATAAGGCAGGAAGCCTGGGTTTGTTTGGGCCTGATTTTAGAGTTTGCTCCCTCATGAGACATTAATGATACTATTTATTTTTAAGTTACAGCCTACTTTAGCATTTTCCTTCCCATAACCATCCTGCTGTGTGGATACTATAAAACCAGACACAAGTCATTTTATTCTTCCCCCATTCCCTGGTGACCAGTCTTCATCTAGGGGTTTAGTTGGGGCATCACACAGGAAGAATCATTATTGGCTCTTTGCTTTAGGTCCAAGCGTATGGGCCAGGCTTGGAGAAATCTGGGTGCATCATCAACAACCCCGCTGAGTTCACCGTGGATCCCAAGGATGCTGGAAAAGCTCCCTTAAAGATATTTGCTCAGGTACATTTCTGGGGGCTATCTGTGCAGGTAATGGTTGGTAACAAGATCTGCCAGTGTAACAGCAAGGCGCTTAGTCCGTCTGATCCTTGGTTTCCTCTACACTTGAGAAGGATAAGAATGTTATCTTGTGGGTTGTGTGAGGATTAAGTGAGACTAACATGTAAAGCAGGATGTGGTTTGTTTTTTTTAAATCATCTTTATGATTTGTAATTTATAAAAATAAGGCTTGATTATTTCAGATTACTCTGTAATGTCTTTCTGTGCAGCTGAAGCTGCTTAGGTTAGGATAGGAGGTTTGTAAACAAGGATTTTAAAAATATGCTTATCTAATTTAATTGAATTAGACAAAGGGACTTAAATGCAGGAGTTGAAAAGAAATTAAGAAGCATCGAGTGACCATGGTTTTGTTTTGGGGCCATTTGTTCTTAATAACCAAAAATAAACAAATGCATGTAGTATTTTGTCACCTGCTGTCCTTGCGTAGTGAGAACATGGCACATTGTAGTTGCTCCATGAAGTTTTGTTGGGTAAGCAGGTGGTGACTTGGTTGCCTTGGGGTGTGCCACAGGGACCCCGTTTGATGGAGACCATGGGAGGGCTGCCTTTGTTCCTAGCTTTGGCTCTTTTGCAGGATGGGGAAGGCCAGCCCGTTGACATCCAGATGAAGAGCCGGATGGATGGCACATACACCTGCTCATACACCCCAGTTAAGGCCATCAAGCATACCATTGCCGTGGTCTGGGGAGGTGTGAGCATCCCACACAGCCCCTACAGGGTAGGTTGTGAGGTGGAGTCCTGGCCCTTTCACGGAAAGACCCAGTCATGCGTCAGGTCTGGCTCCATGCCTGATGGCCAAAGGCAGACGTATGGAAGGGACCCATCCTTGGTGACCTTGGAAAGATGGGGTGGCCTGAGGGGCAGGGCACTCTGGACCACCCAGAAGGGCTGTTTCTTACAATGCTTTTTTTTTTTTTTTTTTTAATACTGTTATACTTTTATTGGATTTATTGCATCACAGATCTCATGATGCTTTTTAACAGTGTTTTACTGGGTCATAGTGGAGGAGAACGTGACTTTCTCTACATCATCTCCAGGTCAGCATTGGGCAAGGCAGCCATCCCCAGAAGGTCAAAGTGTTTGGACCGGGTGTGGAGAGAAGTGGCCTGAAGGCAAATGAGCCTACTCACTTCACAGTGGACTGTGCTGAGGCCGGGGAAGGTGAGAGGGCTTTGCTTGATCCAGCGACTGTTGCTCCTTGGGAAGAAAGTCTTTTTTATAACATTTCCAGGGCAGTTAACTTTGAACTATGAAGTAGTCCATCTGAAGAGGTAATTGTTCATCTGTTGAGCCTCTGTATTAGTTCCTTGGTGATATCTTTGCTAATTCTCCATCCTGTTTCCCAAATCCTGACTTATCACCATCCCTTTCCCAGGTTTCTTACTGGAAACTTTTCAGTATTTTGGGGCGGGTGTTAGCCTGAGCTGGAAGTGACTGCACAGGGCATGCAGTTTCTTGTAAGCTGGTGCTAATGAGCTGGTCTGTTTCAGGTGATGTCAGTGTTGGCATTAAGTGTGATGCCCTGGTGTTAAGTGAGGATGAGGAAGACGTGGATTTTGACATTATTCACAATGCCAATGACACGTTCACTGTGAAATACGTGCCTCCTGCCGCGGGGCGGTACACCATCAAAGTGCTCTTTGCGTCTCAGGTGTGTTGGGGCGTGGAGGGGCGGGAAGGGTGGACCTGGATTCTTGTTGGCCACCTGTGTGCATATCTCCTTTTTGTTCTTTCAGTGACAGGGAAGGTATCTTGAGAACTCTGCTCAATTTTCTTCTCTCAGATTCTTTAAAACCCAGAACTAAATTTTTATCAGTTTCTTAAAAAAGTGAGGCAGTGTATTCAGTGGGCTCTGGAAAGAGACTGGTTTGTTATAAACATCAAGTTTTTGGTTGAAACATAATTAACTTATAGATATGTTCCATTTTAATGTCTTTGAGTCTGTGTCTTTGCTTCCGCCCTGTAACTCTCATAGGGAGAGGCGGTTCGAAGTCTCAGAAACCTGATAGTGAAACAGGGCAGGCAGAACCGTAACACAGGGAACTTTGAAATCCTGGTGATTAAAATCAACCTTATGTGAAAGTAGGACTCTCAGGAGAATGTTCTGTGCCTAAAGGGAATGGTCTTGAGTTGACTTCATGCAATTAACCTATTCTGCCTTTATTCTAACAGTCTGCGATGTTGTTTTTGAAGAATTATAATCACTGTTTCTGATTACTTTCTTTCTTTTTTTTTGAGACAGAGTCTCACTCTGTTGCTCAGGCTAGAGTGCTGTGGTGTCAGCCTAGCTCACAGCAACCTCAGACTCCTGGGCTCAGGCAATCCTTCTGCCTCAGCCACCTGAGTAGCTGGGACTACATGCATGTGCCACCACGCCCGGCTAATTTTTTCTATATATTTTTAGTTAGCCAATTAATTTCTTTCTATTTTTAGTAGAGACAGGGTCTCGCTCTTGCTCATGCTGGTCTGAAAATTCTGACCTTGAGCGATCTGCCCACCTTGGCCTCCCAGAGTGCTAGGATTACAGGCATGAGCCACCACACTCGGCCTCTGATCACTTTCATGTATTCCTCAGACCTTAGCTCCAGCTGTCCCTAGAGAATATTTTCTTCCTCCCTGGCCCCATATATTATTGTTTTTGGTTTCATTCTTGCAAGTATTTTTTCATCCCAAGTACCCAACATTTGGTGTTAAAGGCTTGGGAGCTCTCAGATTTGTTTGTGATACCAAGGATCCAGGCATTAGTGAGTGGCCTATTCCATGCGGCCCTTACCAGTGCTGGAGTATGGAGACTTGCTCTGTGGTAACAGGAGTTTGCTCGCTACCCCTACATAAAAGCCATACTGAGGTCAGGGCATCCTAAGCTCTGGCAGTTGCTGTGGGGCTTTCCTACTGAGATAGTGTTTCTGCTACAGGAAATCCCCGCCAGCCCTTTCCGAGTCAAAGTCGACCCTTCCCACGACGCCAGCAAAGTGAAGGCAGAAGGCCCGGGGCTCAGCAAAGCAGGTGAGATGGTGTGTAGTCCAGGTTGTCCGGAGGCCTTCTGCTGGCCAGTGGCAGCTGGGCGGGTTTGCTCCAGGGTCTTGAGGCACTTACCTGCACCAACAGCAGGTGTTCTAAGTGACTCTGATGTAGCGATGGCTGTGGCCCTGCTCTCAATAGACCTGGTGCTGGTGAACCTGTCAGCCTGGTTCTGATAGTGAAACCACTCCTGCTCACCTGTCTCCTCTCCTCACTTCCTGGTATGTCTTTCCAGGCGTGGAAAATGGGAAACCGACCCACTTCACTGTCTACACCAAGGGGGCCGGGAAAGCCCCGCTCAATGTGCAGTTCAGCAGCCCCTTTCCTGGTGACACGGTGAAAGATTTGGATGTCATCGATAATTACGACTACTCCCACACCGTCAAATACACACCCACCCAGCAGGTAGGGTCTTGTCCCTGGCCTGTGGGCCCGGCAGGCCCCTTGCGCACAGTGTGGACGTGGCCTTGCCTGCTGAGCCCCGGAAGCACTAGCAGCAAGCCGATGGGTTCTGCCAGGAAGTCTCCAGTGCTCTCAAAAACAGGCGGGAAGCTAGTCCCATGTCTCCACCTCCATTTTGGGTTTTATCAGAGAAACGACGAGTCCTTGATGTTCAGGACCTAATACCTACCTTTCTCGTACACACACGTGTTCTCTCTCTTTCTTGCTCTTTTTTTCTCTTCTCTCCGCCCCCCCATCCTTACTACCTGCCTATTAATCTTTCCATTAATTACTCACAGAGAAAGAGCTGCCACACCTTTGTTATTTCTTCCTGGCCCTTTTAGCTTAGTTTACCTTTTTTATGAGGTGTTTGAGTGGGGTCTGTTCTCAAAGAGCCAGTTCAGCCTTAGTCCCTAAGGCCCAATGTACTATTTAGGGCAACAAAGTCTTCCCCTTTACAAAATGCAGGATTTCAGATGGGATCTTGCCATCCAGGCTGGTTTACTCTGATTATTTTAGGCATAAGGGCCTAAAAAACTACCTCTCTGTATAAGTTCCTGTTTGTTTTAAAATTTGAAAAAAATTATTGTGGTAAAATACACAGAACATAAAATTTACCATTTTAACCATCTTTAAGTATACAGCTCATTAGTGTTAAGTACATTCATTATGTTGTGCAGCCATCGTTAGCTCCATAGTTCTTTACATCTTGTAAAACTGAAACTCTGTGCACATTGTATTTGCTTAAAATTTTGTTTTACTTCATGTCCACACCTCCAGGGTCTGGAGAGCAAACATCCTGGCAGAAAAGCCTGGGTTTTACTATTTACACCTACTGTACTAACCAGTTGTTCCCGGCCTCTGAGAGTCCTTCCTTCTTGAGGGAAGTCCCTGTGTGAGAAATGCCCTTTGCAGGGCAGGAAGGGCGACGTTTTCTGCAGGAACTTCCTGAGAAGTGTTTCTCCCGCCGGGCCTCCCAGCATGGAGCCAAGCGGGGAACATGAGGGGTGCAGGATGAGGGTGCTCTGGGGGCTGTGCGTCCTTGCAGGTGGACTCTTTGCTCTGAGAACTTTCCTGCAGTGGAGGGGCTCTCTGGGACAAGTTCCACATGCCAAGTTATAAATGTGGCCTCTTATCTCCAGACTTCTGCTTTTTTTCCCCCTTAATTTTTCAGGTGTAACATCCACATGACACAAAATTTACTGTTTTAACCTTTTTAAGCGTACAGTTCAGCAGTATTGAATGCATTCATATTATTGTACAACCATCACCACCATTCATCTCCAGAACTCTTGTCATCTCACAAGGTGAAACTTTGTGCCCATTAAACAGTAAATCCCCATTTCCCTAACCCCAGCCCCTGGCACCTACCCTTCTACTTTTCTATCACTGTGACTTTGACTGCTCTAAGTACCTCATATAAGGGGAATCAGTATTTGTCTCTTCATGACTGACTGGTTTAACTTAGTATAATATCCTGCAGGTTCATTCATGTTGTAGCGTAGTCAGAACTCTTTTCCTTTTTAAAGCTGAATAATAGTCCATTGTATATATAGACCACATTTTGCTTCTCTATTCATCTGTTGATGGACATCTGGGCAGCTTCTACCTTTCGTCTGCTGTGAGTGCTGCTGCTGTGAACGTGGGTACACACATATCTCTTCGAATCCATGCACTCACTTGTTTTGAGTATACACCCAGAAGTGGAACTGCTGGGAACATATGGTAAATCCATTCTTTTCATCGTAACCATCCAAATGAATATATTATAATACCTCATGTGGTTTGGGTTTGCATTTCCCTGATAATCAATTGTGTTGAACATCTTTTTATGTGCTCATTGGCCATTCGTATATCTTCTTTGGAGAGATGTCTGTTTGACCACTTTTGAATCAGGTTTCTTTTTTGTGTGTTGAGTTTTAGTAGTTCTCTGTGTATTCTGAATATTAATTCCCTATCAGATATGAGTTACAAATATTTTCTCTCACTCTGTGGGTTGCCTTTTCATTTTACTCTGTTGATAGTTCTTGTGTCACCTCATAACTGGCCTCTTATCTCCAGACTTGCTTCTTCCTGTGCTTTAAAAAGTCCTGATGAGGGGTTCGTTATTAGTAATGGTAGAACTAATCCTTTTGCAGATAGAGCTTCCTTTGCTCATTGGGCCACTCAGTGGTAAATAGGTAATTATTTTCCTGCTGAGGGTTCTGAGGGCTGGTGTGAGCCTTAGCACTGGGAACGTTGGCTTGACGTCTTTTTGTTGCCAATTGTCCGAGTTCCTCAGCAGAAGGTACCAGAAAGCCATGGCCGTGCACACTGATCAAGATCACAAGGTCATAGGCTTTTCTGAAAACATTTTGTGACTTTTGCTTTGTCCTATATCTATATACTGTTTTGTGTTTTGGCTGCCATTAGAAAGTAAGTTGCAGACATCAGGACAGAGTCAGAGTTTGGCCTGCACCCCTGAAAGGACTGCAGAACCCATTGGCCTGGATTCCTCAACCGTCTGGCCAAGACATAGATGGAGATTGGCAGCCTAGGTCCAGTTCTGTCACATTTGCAGTGATGCCGTAGTGGGAGACTCCTTACTTTAGAGTTACCCTGAGGTCAAGTTCATTCAGTTCTCTGATAGCAGCAGGTTTGAGAACTGCTGGCACACCGAGCAGCTACTTGGGGTTGTTTGTCCAGATGCTGCCCGTTGTGTTCCACAGAGTCTGGCAGAGTCTTGTTGTCAGGGGTTGCCTTTGGTGTGAATGACTCGCAGGGCGCCTCTCTCGTCCTTCTTATTGTTTGTTGTTTAGAGTGAGGTTTATTGTTTTGTTATTTGGGCAGTTTACATTGCTGCATATTTCTCTATGGCAAAGACAAGTGATTAAGTCCCTTTTCTTGGACTGTGAGTTCCCCAAGGATAGGAAATCATGTCCTGTGTGTGTCTTCCCCTCGCCTGGCCCTGTGAGTGCTCCGTATGGATTAGTGGCTGAGAGAGTGACAAAATGATGGAGTGCTGGGATTCACAAGCAGAGGCGGCCTCAGAACGGTGTAATCTGTTGAGTTGGGGCCGGCACCTCCTCTTTGTCCTTTGAACTCTCTTTGCTGAAGAGCAGCTCAAAGTTCAAGATTGGGTTAAGGAAGCCTTTTGAACTGTCCCCCTGGGATGTGGTTAAGAGGCCTGGGTCAGCCTGGAAGGCCATACTCTGCGTGGAGGAAGGGAGCATATTTGAGGGCTGCCGCCCATGGCACACCTTCTCCCCGTGGTTTTAGGGAATAGCAGGCTGGAACTTCCCAGCAAGGCGGCCGCTGGGGGGGGGCTGTCCTGGCTGGGGCGCAGGCTCCCCGCACAGAACACAGACTATGCCAGGTGAGGAGCCATGGTCCCACCTGTCTGAGCAGCTCAGGTCCCCGATTGGCTTGTGCTCCGGACACCTGCCGGGCTGCCATTCCAGTCCCTGCATGACGCAGGGTGTGCATGGCTGGGCGATCCTGCTCCCCCTTGTCAAGAAACAGTGGTGAGAGCCCTTTTGCCTTGAAGGAGTAGGCTTGGGGCAGGGCTTCAGGGCCTGCTGAAAGCTCAGACAAAAGCTTGATTTTATAGATGGGAAGTTACTTCCTGGAGGACTTGTGTGCCTTTGGCTGTGTGTGGTCAAGTGGCTTAAAGTTCTCAACCGCTTACTCCCCCGAGCAGCACAGTCGAGGAGCGGCAGCGGCAGCTCCATCACACACTGTGTCAGGGCCCACAAGGAAGAGAAACTCCTCGTACTGCTGTGGTGCCTTGAGGGCCTCACAGGGAGCCTCACAGGTGACAGTCTCTACCTTGAAATGCTCTTACCACAGTGGCTGCGGCTGCTGTCAGAGGGCTCTGGAGGAGGGGCCTGTGGGTGACACTCTCCGTCCCATCCTGTTCTGAGCCATCGGGTCAGTGTCTTGTGTACGTGTGTTTTGCAAAATAAGATTCAGGCTTCAGAAGCACATGGGGGGTGGGGGGACAGTCCTGCAGCCTGCAAAGTCTTGGGGACGTGCACTGGTGGCCACCATGCAGACTCACTGCATAGCCCTGTGGAGAGCAAGCCAAGTCCATTCCTTACCAGGGCCTCAGGGGACGCCTTAAAATGCTATAGGCGTTGTAGGTGTAAAGCTCTGAGGCTTTCTTTCCTCCTCCTCCTCTTCCTTAGGTTATTTAAGGTAGAGGTCATTTCCTATCTGAGTTTTTATGACTGGTAATGAGAACATACTTCTTTTATGGCATGGGTGGGCTTAGCTGGAAGAGGATTTTTCCCTCTCTTCTTTAGCACTTCAGAGAAGCAGCCAGAAAACTTTATGGGAATATGGGAGAAGGTATTTCCAGGACCCCTGGCTAGACTGAGGTCTGCCTAGCTAGTCCGCGAGGAGCTTGTGGGCAAACTGAAGCCCAGGAAGAGTTAGTATGTCGGAAATGCTGCGTGGGCTGAAGTAACAAGGTAGCCCTGCCTTAAACAATACAAGGAGGAGACCTTTCCTGTCCCTTGGCCGGCTCCCAGCTCTGTTGAATTTGACCTGTGTGCATTCTACCAGGAAATGTTATACCCTTGAAGCAGGGGGCCAATTGGTTTTGTGTGGAGTGCTAAAAATCCTGGAAAATCAATCCTTCCCCCTCCACTGATGCAACCAGTATTTCTCCTTGGCTTTTTCCCCTTTTATTATAAATGGAATGTGAGAAAATATCCATAGGCCAAACGCTACATCCTTTTAACACTTTATCAGCAACAACTTTCAGCAGGGCCTGCACCCCAGCAGTCCTACTGGGTTCTCAGGGGGGAATCGTCTCTTCTCCCACTTCCCTGTCACTTGGTGCTTGGACCACTGAGGTGAGGGGATCTTGATCTGCTGAGGGGGCTATGGGCTTGGGAGTGCCTGGGTTTGGAGGAAGGGTACTTGGCCGACTGTGGAGAGGTGAAGCCCGTGGGGCACCATGCCAGGCCTGGCCTGGGGAGAACAGCAGCAGTGCAGGATGCCGAGGTGCACCAGGTGGCCCCGAGCTCCAGCAAGGGGGCCTATCAATCCCATAGGCACTGTCTGCCTACACACTTGCCCCTTTTCCTTCTTCCACGTAGAAATGGGAGTTCAGATACTGTGCAATGAACAGCTCCAGGTAAACTCTTACAAATCCCCTTTGCAGCTTGGTGGCCTGAAACTGATTCCCAGAACATAGAAGAAAGGGTTCTGTTTTGTTAGAGGCCTCAGGCTCAGCTGCTGCACTGATGGCCAGGGGTTGGGTATGTTGGGTAGAGAGGATGGTGTGGCAGAATAGGTTTGGGGGCCAGCTTGCACACTTACCAGGTTTGTGGCTTGGGGCATGTTCCTTTACCTCTCTGAGCCATAGTTTCTTTTCCTGGAGAAATGGGAATGACAGTAGGAACTAGTTCTTAGGACTGTTTTGAAATTGAAATGGGGAAATGCATAAAAACACAGTGCTTGGCGCGTAGTAAATGCTCACTAAGTTGTTGTTATTAGCTGCTCTTATTTGATCTGATTTCTCTGTTCTTGCTATGTGGTCAAAAGCTTAAAGAAATATGTCTGAGATGCTTTCTAAATCCATTGGAGCCAAGTTCCCTGTGTCTCTGGGAAGAAGGAAGGATGGGGATTGGGAGTTTGAACACCCTGGTATCGGCACCCAAAGGCATACTCAGCCTTCTTTCTCGTTCCAGGGCATCATGCAGGTCCTGGTGACTTACGGTGGTGATCCCATCCCTAAGAGCCCTTTCACTGTGGGTGTCGCTGCTCCGCTGGATCTGAGCAAGATTAAAATTAATGGGCTGGAAAACAGTAAGTGTGTGAGTAGGATAGGTTGTCAGAGGCCGTCACATGTGGCTGTGGGTTAGATTTCTTTCAAAGGATGGAATCTGCGGAGAAACAAATTCTATTTTAAGAAATTTTGCCATGAATAGACTGGGGTTTGAGTTAGGGTGTGCTGTGAAATAGCTCTATGACCCTGTCTGCCACTTAGCCTCAGCAAGCCTCAGTTTCCTTATTTGTACGATGTGGGGGTGGGGTGGTCAGGAATATTTACACACATGGGAACATAGTGAAGATTAAACGCTCTGAGAATCCAGAGGCTGGCACGCAGTCAGCCCTCAGCAACTGCTGGCATCGCAGCAGGAAGATTTCGTCAACGAGAGAAGCCGCGCTGCTGTCCAGCGAGTTTCTAGCTGTGCCGCCCGCCCTGGCAGCTGCACCCACACAGCCTCCAGAGTGCAGCCCAAAGCCAGCTCCCTGGCACTCGGAAACCACAGCCACAGTGACGCCTTCTCGCTCTCATCCCAATATTTCTTTAGCTTGTTAGGGATTTTACTAGTGTAAGCTCATTTTGTTTATTTTCAATTTTTTGTATTTTTTTATTATGGAAAATTTCAAACCTAGAAAAATAAAGAGAGTAATATAATACGAACACTGATGTACTTATCACTCAGCTTCAGATGTTCAACACATGCTCATAAAATTATTTTTTACACATGTAATACATAATTCCATTTCTCATCTAAAAAACATTATATTAAGAGTAAATTCCATCTTAACCGTCACCTCCCCTCTTCCCACCAGTTGATCAAGGTTGTCAGTTCAGTTTCTCTCCTCCAGACCTTCTGTCTGCATCTGTACATATAGCTGTGGCAGCAGGAAATATTTGGCAGTGTTTATTTTGCATTAAAGTCATCCTGCCATATAAACCCCATGTCTTCAGCCTGCCTCTTGAAGTCGGGCGTGCATTTTGGGAGTCATTCACACCTAGATCCCTTTTGTTGGTGTTAACTGTGAGTTGTCCCAGACCGGGTGCACCGCAGTGGCTCACACCCACACCAGCGGGGCGCGCATGCCCGAGGGGAGGCCTCCTGTGTCCACCCGCGAGGCTTTCTCCAGAGTGTTGGCTGTGCCCTCCATGAGTGTCTTCCTTGACTTGCGGCCCAGATGCACAGCTTGGAATGAGGCCAGCTCCCAGTTCAGGAGGCTCCAAAGCAAGAGCTCAGTGTTGGCTTTTGTGGCTTGGGAGGGCAACCAACTCTGAGCATATGAAGGGTAACTTCCTAACCCTTTCATGTGTCCCCTTGTCATTCCTTCCCCAAGATACCGAGAGTTTCGACTCCAGAACAGGAAAAAGCACCATGCCGGTTAGGAAAACCTCTTTCCCTTTGGGGCACAGAGCTCCGAGGCCTCCTTGCTTGTGGTTTTGCAGTGTTCATCTTGGCAGGCTGCATATTGCCCCAGAGTCAAGATGTCCCTGGGTTGTGGCAGGGCCCTGTGTTCCCAGTGCTTTTGTTTTGGTTAAAGTCCTTTCCCTGTTTTTGTCAAATATAACACTTGAGTTTCCTGTGGCCCTGCTTTGCAGAGACCTTTCAGAAACCATCACGGCACAGAGTCAGTTCCCAGTTGCATTTGCCAGCTCTGTGACTTTTGGTGGGGAGGGGTGGCTGTAGGATTGAATTTGCTGCCAAGAATTAGTAACGGATTGACTTATAGGGGTGTTTCGATTCGAAGTTAACATCAAAAGTAAGTAAAGAAAGAGGGGACAGCATTAGATTAGATAACTACTGGTCAGCAAAGCAGACTGTGGGGTCCACTAAATTTCGGTTTGAGTCCTTGCTTTGCAGCCTGGTGGCTATGTCACCCTAGACAAATTACTTAACCTCTCTGAGCCTCAGTTTCCTTAGCTTTTAAAGCCATTGGTTAATAATAAATGCCCCATAGGGTTGTGGTAAAAATTAAAGGAGACAATATGCCAAATTTGTGCTTGGCATATAAAATGCAGCCAGTAAATGATAGCTATTATTATTATCATCAATGATTAATTATTGTTCTTATGCTGCTTGTTATTGAGGCTAAAATGCTGAGTATTCTTAGTCTTGCTTCATGTCCTTTGTATTAGCTATTGCTTGTTGTAGAGACTAAGTGTCCAAAGAGCCCTCACTTCTCTGCTCTTGATTGTTCCTGCAGCTGAAAAGGGTCAGCCCTTCACTTTGGCTTGTGTCCCTCTTCCAGGGGTCGAAGTTGGGAAAGACCTGGAGTTCGCCATTGACACCAGAGGGGCAGGCGGCCAGGGGAAGCTGGATGTGACGATCCTGAGCCCCTCTCGGAAGGTCGTGCCATGCCTTGTGGCTCCTGTGACAGGCAGGGAGAGCAGCACAGCCAGGCTCGTCCCCCGGGAGGAGGGGCTGTATGCGGTGGGCGTGACCTACGACGGGCACCCTGTGCCTGGGAGCCCCTACACGCTAGAGGCCGCCCTGCCACCGGATCCCGCCAAGGTCGGCTTTTGTTTCTGTTCCAGAACTTGCCCCATTGTTGTCAAATATGGCACCGTGGTCCTTCTCTGGCCCTGCCTGATGGAGACCTTTGTGATGGAAGTCCGTTCTCAGTAGCTCACGGCAGTCCTGCTGCAATTCGGTGTGAAGGGCCCCTGGCAGCTGGGTTGCAACCTTGCTCTTCTTCTTGCTTCTGGCTGCAAGACTTTGGTTAAGGGCTCCCTATCCCTGAGTCTTCTTCCTTGATTTGTTAGCAGAATAACAGTACTTGTTCCAAAGCCAGCCTGTAAGGGTTAAGGGAGAGAGTGAATGTGCAGGCTTCATTCCAACCTCCAGCAATCAGACTTTACTTGCTTTATAGAAGGTATATAATTAATATGGAAATATATTATTCTCTAGCTCAACACCTGTAATCCTAATTCTAGCACTCCGAGATCAATGCAGGAGGATCGCTTGAGCTCAGGAGTTAGAGGTTGCAGTGAGCTATGATGACACCACTGCACTCTACCCAGGGTGACACAGCTAGACTCTGTTTCAAAAAAAAAAAAAAAATTGGCCGGGCGCGGTGACTCACGCCTGTAATCCTAGCACTTTGGGAGGCCAAGGCGGGTGGATTGCTCAAGGTCAGGAGTTCGAAACCAGCCTGAGCGAGACCCCATCTCTACCAAAAATAGAAAGAAATTAATTGACCAACTAAAAATGCATATACAAAAAAAAAAAAAAATTAGCCGGGCATGGTGGTGCGTGCCTGTAGTCCCAGCTACTCGGGAGGCTGAGACAGTAGGATCGCTGAGCCCATGAGATTGAGGTTGCTGTGAGCCAGGCTGACGCCACGACACTCACTCTAGCCTGGCCAACAAAGTGAGACTCTGTCTCAAAAAAAAAAAAAAATTCTCATAGTCCTGTCTTCCTAGTTGCTCTGACTCAGGGTTTTGGAGTATTTCCAGTGATCTGAATGGCATGAAGCCTAAAAAACTGACTTATTTGTTGAGTCCGAGATGAAAGTCTCACCCTCTCTTAAAACTGGTTGAGGCCGGGCGCTGTGGCTCACGCCTGTAATCCTAGCGCTTGGGACGCCGAGGCGGCGGATTGCTCAAGGTCAGGAGTTCAAAACCAGCCTGAGCAAGAGCGAGACCCCGTCTCTACTATAAATAGAAAGAAATTAATTGGCCAACTGATATATATATAAAAATTAGCCGGCGGTGGCGCATGCCTGTAGTCCCAGCTACTTGGGAGGCTGAGGCAGGAGGATCGCTTGAGCCCAGGAGTTTGAGGTTGCTGTGAGCTAGGCTGACGCCATGGCACTCACTCTAGCCTGGGCAACAAAGTGAGACTCTGTCTCAAAAAAAAAAAAAAAAAAACTGGTTGAGTTTTTTATTACACAGAACTTTCTGAGTGAGGTACAATAGCCAAAGCCATCCAAGTGAGTTCCCTGAGAGCTTTTCTGTGAGCTCTCAACCCAGGAAATCTGTGTGTGTTGGACTGGACCTTCGTTCTCCAGCTTCAGCCCTGTGCTTCAGAAGAGCAAGGCATGGCCGGAGAGACAACAGTGTGGAGGGGCTCCTCTTCCTCCTCCATGCTGCCAAAAGCCCACGCCTCTGTCCTGTGCCTTTCAGTTGGTGATCTAGCTCTTAGCCATTTGCAGCAGCATCTGCGTTGTGGCTCTAACTGCATGTGTGCGTGCATGCATGTGCGTGGGTGACACATTAGGCTCTGCAGAGAAGGACCACTTGGCTAGGATGCACTTCTGTGTTGATCTAGGCTTGGTGTCAAAAGCAGTGCTGGCTGGACAGTGATACCAGTGCCAGGCAGAGATTGACTTTCATTCTTTGCTCATATAGGTGAAGGCCCACGGTCCTGGCCTCAAAGGTGGTCTCGTGGGTAAGCCCGCCGAGTTCACCATTGACACCAAAGGAGCTGGAACTGGAGGTTTGGGCCTAACCGTGGAAGGTCCATGTGAAGCCAAAATCGAATGCTCCGACAATGGTGACGGGACCTGCTCTGTCTCCTACCTCCCCACAAAACCCGGGGAATACTGCGTCAACATTCTGTTTGAAGAAGTCCACATACCTGGGTCTCCCTTCAAAGCCAATATCGAAATGCCCTTCGACCCCTCTAAAGTCGTGGCGTCGGGGCCAGGTCTGGAGCACGGGAAAGTGGGAGAAGCCGGGCTCCTCAGCGTTGACTGTTCCGAAGCTGGGCCCGGCGCCCTGGGCCTGGAGGCTGTCTCAGACTCAGGAGCGAAGGCCGAAGTCTCCATTCAGAACAATAAAGATGGCACCTACGCCGTGACCTACATGCCCCTGGCGGCTGGGATGTACACGCTGGCCCTGAAGTACGGCGGCGAGCTCGTGCCGCACTTCCCCGCCCGGGTCAAGGTGGATCCCGCCGTGGACACCAGCAGGGTTAAAGTCTTTGGGCCAGGAATTGAAGGAAAAGGTGGGTTTCATAAAAAAGAGATGCTGGGATTTTAAGGGCCACCAGAAATTCACAGAGCAGGAGCTGCAAACTCAGACCCTCCGGGGGCCAGGCAGGGTGGAGGACACCCCCGGCGGCCTGCCTCAGGTAGTGGCTTGAGCGCTGGGTAGGGCAGCGCCGCTGCACGGCCCTGTTTCTGCGTGTCCGTAGGCAGCAGGGCCCAGCATCACCAGGAGAGTCCCAGTTTTTCTGGCAAAGCCAGAATTCTTAATTTTTGTGTGGAAAGTCAACATATTGCATTGGGAGAAAGTTTAAGATGCGGTGTTGGCTAACGCCACAGATGCTGTACCCTTTAACCAGCCCTAGGTCCCCGCCTTTGTGGGAGCAGCTGTGTTGTCGCTTGGCCAAGATTGCCCTGGAATAGGGCTTCTTTGGGGAAGAAGAGGATTAATACTCTCGATTTTGAAAGCCAGAGAAACCAGTTGTCTGCTGCTGCTCAAATTAGACTTAATGTGTCTAAAGTGCCAAAACTTTGGTCCTGGGGTTTGCACCTGTGTCCGAGGCCTTGGTGACATGCGTGTGTGTGTGTGTGTGTGTGTGTGTGGTTGCTCTGCAGATGTGTTTCGGGAAGCCACCACGGACTTCACAGTTGACTCGCGGCCTCTGACCCAGGTGGGGGGCGACCACATCAAGGCCCACATTGCCAACCCCTCAGGGGCCTCCACTGAGTGCTTTGTCGCAGACAATGCTGACGGGACCTACCAGGTGGAATACACGCCCTTTGAGAAAGGTGAGTCACCCTCTCCTTGGACGTGACCTCGTTCGCAGCTGCGCTTGGCCACTTCCTCTGGGCACTTGGTGCAGACCCTGGCCCCATGTATTTGGCCTGTCTCAGCGGTGTGCAGAGTGACAGGGAAGTGTCGGGATCTCCTTCCGAGCAGAGCTACCTGCCCGCTTAGTGCCTGCCTTGCTGGCCTTGTTGTGTGATAGGTGGGCTGGGCCTCAGCCTCATGCTCACTCACTTAAGCAGCTCCCAGGGTGATGTCATAGCATGTTGCTCATTTGTGCAATTTTTTTTTTTTTGCGTATGAATTTTTTCCCCGAGTATTAGGAATTATAAAAAATTTCAACAAATTAGAAAAGCATAAAAGAAAACCCAAAGCACTATATATATCCCATTATCTGGATATATGATCTGTAAATATTCTGGTATAGATATTTTCAGTCATTTTGTGGATGTCTCTTCTATTTCTTTTGGTTATTGGCTGGGTGGAGTTTTCCCAAGTCAGGACAATAGGTTGAGTGACTTGAATATAAACTTGGTGGTATTTGCTTCGTGGGAGTGGGGTGAGTAATGTGATTGCAAATAGTTTACATTATTCAAAAAATCAGATCATACCAACATAACTTTTTTTAACTTGCTTTTTTCAAATCACATGGTGTAGATGCAGACTTGAATGCTAGATAAAGCCCTGAAGTAGCACTCCACTTCATTTCCCACAAATAGGTGACTTGTGTGCAAATGTATGTTTCTGTTTCTTGTTTTGAATAGGCCTCCATGTAGTGGAGGTGACGTATGATGATGTGCCCGTCCCAAGTAGCCCCTTCAAAGTGGCTGTAACTGAAGGCTGCCAGCCATCTCGCGTCCAAGCCCGAGGACCTGGGTTGCAAGAGGCCTTTACTGACAAACCCAATGTCTTCACTGTTGTTACCAGGTAGGCAAAGCCCTGGGGTCAGTGTGGTGAGTCTCTACAAGGAGCAGCCCTAGGTAGTATAACTGTTTTTAAAAAGTTTTATGGCCGTATCCTACATATGTGTCATGGTCTCCCAACTTTTGGTGAGATGTGTTTTTATTTTTATGTACATTTTCTTCTGTAGAGACTCATGCTACTGAGAAAAACCAAGTGTACCTAGAAACGTACCAAAAAGCACTTGATAATGGTCATAAAAACTGCTGAGCACACTAGGACTAGATGGAAGCTATATTACGTGATAATGTAAAAAATTTATAGCCAAACTCATATTTAAGGGAAATGTTAGAAAATTCCTATTAAAATTGGTCACAAGGCATATGCCTGCGTTGTGCTTGTAGTCCTAGCGAATGTAGTCAGGTAAGGAAAATAAATGAAGGTGAGCATTGGAAAGGAGGAGTCAACACTGTCTTAACTTATATCCTGCTATTGAGAGATCCCTATGTGAGAGCTGTTGTCACGGTAGCTGAGTCAGGTTGGCTAAACGGGATAGTTTATAAACAGATTTTAAATGAATTTTGGCAACAGGCAGACCAGCATGGCCTGCGCACATTTCACTTTCTTTCCCACACTTCCCAGAGGGGCAGGAATTGGTGGGCTCGGCATCACCGTGGAGGGACCGTCGGAGTCGAAGATAAACTGCAGAGACAACAAAGACGGCAGCTGCACCGCCGAGTACATCCCCTTCGCTCCCGGGGATTATGACGTTAACATCACATACGGCGGAGCCCACATCCCTGGTAAGCTGTCCTCGGAGAGGAACCTGCAGAATCATTGATTTTGCATGAAAACAGGTTGGATTGTGCTTCTCTCTCTGACTAGGGAGAAAAGTCTGACGCCTGTAGTAGCCACAGGAGGAGAATTTTCCTGAGGGGCTACATCTCCAAGAGTACCCCAGCTCCCGGGAGAACTGGCAACACGGCAGGCAGCATTGGCTTAGGGTTTTGACTAGAAATGGTTGTTCATGTGTTGGAGGACCTAGTTCTTGATTTAAGGGAAAGCTCGTTTACGAAGTTGGAAATCTCTACCTTTTGGAGATTTTGTGCTTGGGTCTTATGCATCTTACACATGTGCCTCGTTTTCTTTTTTCCATCGATAGTCCCAGTAGCTGAAGAAAACACAGACTCAACTTCTCATTTACTAGTGTCTTTTTCTATTTAATGATGTGGGGTTCACTCCCTGTAAAACAGATTCTCAACCTTGGCACTGGCGACATCCTGGGCTGGGTAACGCGTAGCTGTGGCACTGCCCTGTGCTTTGTGGGATTGCCAGCATCCCTGGCCCACCAGATGCCTGTAGCAACAACCCCCTTTCCCATTTGTGATGACCAAAAACGTCTCTAGACATTGGCGTTTGTCCACAGAGACAAAATTACTCCTGATGGAAAACTACTGCTGTTCCACCTCAGCCCCAGGAGCAGGACAAGCCTCAGTGGGTCTTGTTCTCACCGTGGTGGCCAGTAAGCCAGAGTCTTGCTGAGAGGGGCAGAGGAAGATGAGGGACCCACTGCCGGGTTCTGGATCGACTCCCAGGAAGCTGGAGTGTCCACTGCCCACACACTTTCCCAATTCTGTCTTCTCCACCCCCAGCACATGGGGTGCGCATGCACACACTCGCCTCTCTCTCTCACAGTGATCGGCAAGCATTGATGTTCAGGTCACATCAGTTCTGCTCAGATGTTCATTTAAGCCTTAAATCCTTTAAACTGATCAGTTTCTCCTCAAATTTGTGTTTGCAGCTCATTCAGTATAGATTTTTTTCATTTCTTACAGCCACTAGGGGAGTTCAGCCATCGGCAAGACAAAGTCCCTGTCCTGTGGAGCTTACTGCCTAGTGTTTATGCAACTAAAACTGGTGATAACTGCTGCAGAGAATGAGAACAGGGCTCAGTAACAGATTGCAGAGCCACAGGTCCCTTTTGGAGTTTTGCAGCACTGCAGTGCTTGGGTTGGGAGAGGGGGAAAGCACAGACAGCAGGTGGAAGGCTGTCCCCAGGAGAGATGACATGGTGACTCTGGCCAGGCAGACGGCAGTGGAGATGAGCATCTCCTGGTTGTAGTGCAACAAAGCTGCTTTGATTATTGGGAAAGTCTGGTGGATGCCACCTGCTTGGAATTCCCCTCAGGAGAGGAGAGTTTGGGCTGACCTGTGAGCTCCACGCAAAGGGCCATCTTTGAGCATAACAACAGAAAGAGGCCTGTTTGGGTTTTCCCATTAGGTGTAGATGCTGCCTCTTCCTGTTTCAGACTCTCTGTTGCCTTCCAGAGCTGAATGTCAGCTTCCCTTGAACCCCAGAACTTTCCCAGACAGACATTTGGTGAAGCTTTGGTTGGTTGTCCTAGTGTCAGGCTTCTTAGCTAGGTAACTCATGGGTACTGCCATGAAACCTAAGTGACCTGCTAGCTTCTAACTTGCTTTCATGGGAATTCTGGGTAGCTAAATATTAGCCCAGTTTTTCCTGGCCTGGTACAAACTTGTGAGGTTATTTTTAACAGATTTTCTGTCTTACCCATAATGGCATGTCGGTTTCCTCTGATGGGCGGCCGGGGTCTATTGGTTGTGGCTGCCTGGATCACTGTGTTGACTGGGATTCTGATGCATCAGCCAGAAAGGCTGCAGGAACAACTGATGGTGTCTGCCTGGGGCACAGCAACAGAGGAGTGGCAGGTGATGCTTGCTTTTCTGGACCTAAGTTCATCTTACCTTTGCCTGCTGGTTCGTGGCTGCCCTGTGCTGAGTTAGGACGGCATCCAGTGGAGGCTCTGACTTAGAGCTTGGTCTCAGAGGTGATCAGTTGCCATTACCTATTGATTGGCGTTGAAATCCTTAACTGTCACTGTAAAGTAAAGCTCCCTTTTGTCCTTCTAGACCCCAGAGTGGAGGACTGTGCTTGTCTTTGCCAGGGTCAGCCATTTGTTTCTTGTTGCTAGAACCCTGGATGCCACTGGAACCCAGCTGCTGTTAGGAAGCCAGGGCCTCAGGTCTTTGTGGGGCTTTGTTATTTCCCACCCCAATGCAAGGCAGAGACCTTGGCTTCCATGGCAGTCGGATGCTGTTAACTTTGCCTGACATCACAGCGAGCACAAGGACCCTGTGCGTGGCCAGAGGTGCATGTGGCCCCTTGGCGACGAACTTGCAGCCCTAGGCTTGGTACGGGGATGTTGGGGCTCCTCTTTCTGGGGAGGCCCCCCTCCTTGAGGCAGTCTAGTGAGGGCCCTCGGCCTAGCCCTGGTTTCTCTGTTTAGTGCTTCTCTCGAAAATCTCAATCTCCTTGCCTTCTCCATGTTTCATCAGTCTTCAGAATGGACACCCGGGAAGAATCAGAGGCCCGTGGGGTCCCCTGTAGGGTCACCCATGTGACAGGACCACAACTTACACTCAGGGAGAAAACAGGCGTCACCAGATGGCCAGGGAACCAAGGGGGCCACGTGTGGTCGGAAGGTGCCAGGTGCATAGGAGGAGACAGGCCAGGGGCACACAGGAGCTGTCATGGGAGAGCAGGATGGATGGGGGCTGCAAGGCCCGCCAAGCTCCCACTAGCCCCCTCCACTCTGTCCTTCCGACACTCAGCTGCTCCCTTGGGTTCCTCCAGCAGCCTGTCTTTCCCACGCCTCTAGCCGTGCACGTGCTGAGCCCTCTGTTGGAAGCGCCTCTCCACCTTCTTCCCTCTTGTCTCAGCTGGGTCGTTGCTGGAGAGCTTGCTCTAGTCTCCTGCAGACCAGGTTTGTTGGCTCCTGGGAGCTCCAGCCTGTGTTCCCCCAGCATGTGTGTTCTGTGTGGGGTATCAGAACGGCTTGCTCGCCTCGCCCTTCTGCATGGTGGTTTCCTGGAGGGCTGTTACCCACTCGGGGCAGCGCACCTGGCACGGTAGGTGTTCTGTGATGGTAATTGTCGAGACGGTAAGTGGGCAGGTGGCATACACAGCGAGGCAGTCGAGGTCCCAGGTGGGGCGAGGGTGTGATTCTGTGCGGGCACTGCACAAGGCCGGTCTCCGTTGACAGGTTCCCTGACCTGTTTTCCAGGCAGCCCCTTCAGGGTTCCTGTGAAGGATGTTGTGGATCCCAGCAAGGTCAAGATCACCGGCCCTGGGCTGGGCTCAGGCGTCCGAGCCCGAGTGCTGCAGTCCTTCACTGTGGACAGCAGCAAGGCTGGCCTGGCCCCACTGGAAGTGAGGGTCCTGGGCCCACGAGGTGAGTGCACGGCCTGCTCTCCTGCTGATATTCACCTGCCCTGTGCAAGGGTAGCCATGACCCAGAGCGGGTACTATGCTTTTGAGTTCGGTCATGATCTTGAAATAGAATTTCTTTAAAGGTTACTTTATTGCTCTGCATTCTAGCTTAACAGTGGAAGTTCCTGCTTAAAAGTAGGCAGGCCTGTTATTTCCTTAGTGGTCTGTCTTTTTCCCCATTGGCCCTAATTTAATTTTTTTTTTTTTTTTTTTAGACAGAGTCTCAGTCTGTTGCCCGGGCTAGAGTGCCGTGGCATCTGCCCAGCTCACAGCAACCTCAAACTCCTGGGCTCAAGCGATCCTCCCACCTCAGCCTCCTGAGTAGCTGGGACTACAGGCATGTGCCTCCATGCCCGGCTAATTTTTTCTATATATTTTTTTAGTTGGCCAATTAATTTCTTTCAATTTTTAGTAGAGATGGAGTCTCACTCTTGCATCAGGCTGGTTTCGAACCCCTGACCTTGAGTGATCCTCCCGCCTCAGCCTCCCAGAGTGCTGGGATTACAGGCATGAGCCACTATGCCCGGACCCTAACTTTATTTTTAATTTCATTTTTTTTAAGCAGCTAGATGCAGCAAATAGTATCTGGGCTTTCATATGTAAAATTGTTGTGACTGCTTCATTATGTGTCTCAGCATCTGTGAGGAAGCAGGTTGCTCAGGATGTGGGTAGATGGTGGGGTTTGGAGATGATAACTCTTTGAGCTGCTTTGGTGCACATGTGGAACATACCAGAATCTCTGGGAATGCCAGGTATGCGGAGCACATGAGGCATGGTTTTGTCCATGTCTCAACTCCCCAGAAAGAGGGGTGTTTTTGGAGCATGGGCTTTGTTGGCAATTTGGCCTGCCATGTTGACAGCTTGGAACTTGGATCTGGTAATGCTAGCAGGCCACTTTGGGACAAAGTCCTGAAGTGCATGAAACATGCCTTTTTTGGTAAGTGACCACATTTCCTTGTCCAGTATTTAAAATGTGCCTTTCTCTCCCATATAAGACACTGCCTAATTTCTTAAATAATCTAGATTTTTTTCAGCAATCATGTGTTCTTGGCTTCACAAATGTGGCAAATGGGGGTTTCCTTCTTTGAAGAAGAATCTTCTCCTTAATGAGGTTCAGCAGGAGGTTATGCCCTTTGAAGCTCAGGCAGACTTGGTTTGGGGAAATGAGGTCATGGGGATGGAATCTGATTCTGTGAAGTTACTGAGCTTCAAGACCTGAGAGAGAGAGAGAGAGAGTAAATGAGAGAGGGAGAAAAAGAAGAGAAGAGAGAGAATCTTTACCTAGATATCTGCCTCTATTATGGAGGGCTCTTAAGTAACAGCCTTTTAATTTTAGCTGATGAGATGGATTCCCAGTCATGGTGCAGCTCCTTAAAAGCCATTTCAGAGTTCTTTAAAGGTGACCTGAAGGTTTGCATTTTCCCATTGGCTGCTGCTTAAATTATGTAACATGAATGCTTCCTCCTAGCTTCACTTCTAAAATTGGCTTGTATCTGTGTCATCGGCTTTGCCTAATGAGCATGTCACACTTTGATTAGCCTACCCTGCAGTTAACCCATCCTTGACTCTCATGTTCAGAGCTGGGATCTGGAATCTATCAACCCAGTGCATGCTGTGATTATGCTTTAACGTGATCTCCAACCAACCCCTACAGACGTCACATTGAGGGCCCCCTCGCTCCATGAGATTGGCACCCTTGCCTCCCCTGCACCTATGCTCTAGCATGATGGTACCATAGTAGTCTTTGCTCCAAAGTGGCCACAAGTCTTAAGTGGCCGGCTCAGTGGTTATTTTTTGCTGTTCAGAGTTCTGGACTCTTTAGCGCTTTCTCAGCTGCAGAATAAAATTGCCACATCCCAAGCATGCCTAACCAGCTTGAAAGGATATAGTGTGTCTACGACACGCATCTTTGCCATGCATTCTCCAGCAGCAAGCACGGGCAGTCTCCTTAATTATACTCTAGGGCAGACTGAGTGTACTTAAGCCAAAAACAAAACTAAAGGTGTCTCTTGGGGTCATTTCTACACTCATGGATTGGTGATCCTGTGATTTCTTAGGCCTATGATTATGGCCTGCTTGCCTTGATGTTATCCATCAGCAGAAACCAATAGCTCTTGGGAATAGAGGTGATCCTGTTTCTAACTCAGCTAAGGGTGGAGTGAAGGGAAGTCTAGGTAGCTTCTCAGACCTCGCATCTCTGTTCTCAGGCCTGGTGGAGCCTGTGAACGTGTTGGACAATGGGGATGGCACACACACAGTTACGTACACTCCATCTCAGGAGGGACCTTACATGGTCTCAGTTAAATATGCTGATGAAGAGATCCCTCGCAGGTAAGCTCCTGGCACCTGGGGAATGGGTCTAAACCAGCCTTAGGCCCACCTCCCTGTACAACTGGCAAGCACTTTTCCAATGGCCATTCTGCCCAACCATTCATCCACCCATCCATTGCTTCATCAATCCACCTACCCATCCATTCCTCCACCGGTCCATCTACCCATCCATTCATCTACCTGTCCATTCACCCATCGACCCACCATTCCTCCATCTGTCTGTCCATCTACCCATCTACCTCTCCATCTGTCCATCCCATCAGCAAGTATTACCTGGAGCCTGCAGGCTCCATACATGTGTTACTGTAAAGTAGCCTTGACATCTGTGGTCCTGCTCTCTTCCCCCGAACCCCTGTTTCTTTCAGCTATCTTATGATTTAAGGTGAGCTGAAATTAAGAAGTTGGGAATCTTTGAAGAAACAGGAATATATTAGTTTAGCAAAGGCTTCCTTTTGGTGACCCTGCAAATAGTTTTCTGATTAGGACAGAGGTGTTTACTTCTTAAGGTTTGTTTGACAATAGCATCTCAGAAGGTTTGGGGTAGAAACTTTGTTCCTTGTTCATATTAATACAAAAAAATGTTACATAAACTCTTTACCTCTTAGAATACCCTCCAGAGGTTTTTTTGTTTAATCACACCTCTTAAGATGAAAAAGTTTTACCCATATCCCCAATGTATGCATTTTATATAGAGATATGCATATAGCTCTATGTAAAAATATATAATTTATAAATTATATTTGTATATTGCTTTACTAACAGATCATGTACCACATAAAGCACGTTAAATATAGAATAAGAATAATTATAGAATGCAGAATAAGGTGAGATAAAATATTAAAACTAAAGTTCCAGTATTCTCTTTCCATTTTGGTGACCATTGTTTTAGCATGACAGAAGTGGGTTAAATATATTTAACCTCATGTTTCCCAAACTATAGAGCCCTTCTTCCCTAAACTATATCTCTTCGAATGCACTAGGGGCGAAGCCAGTTTATCATATGATGGTTACTGCCTCATGGTTCTAAATTTCTGCTGAACTCACAGCACCTTGACTGACTCACTGTTCTATCTGCTTTAGAAATGCCCTTTTCCATCCCAGTCTCTGTGTAAGAGAGGTCAGATGTCGCTAGGTTGACATGTATCCTCACTGACCAGGGGTGTCTGTGTCTGTCCAGTCCCTTTAAGGTCAAGGTCCTTCCCACATATGATGCCAGCAAAGTGACCGCCAGTGGCCCTGGCCTTAGTTCCTATGGTGTGCCCGCCAGCCTGCCCGTGGAGTTTGCAATCGATGCTAGAGATGCTGGGGAAGGCCTGCTTGCTGTTCAGATAACGGTAACTTTGACTTATTTTCTGAGCCAAACCTCATTATTAAGACTTAATTTCTTGGTCTTCAAGAGCAAGGGTTTTACTAACCAATTTCTGAGCTGATGCAATTGTTTGTTAGATCCCCACCTGCCGCCCCATCAAAGAGTCAGTAGTTGTGCAGGGGAATAAGCATGCTCACCTGAGAGGTTTGAGGGCATAGTTCCAGATGCCTCTTTTTTTGACTCTCATGTATTTTGTTATTATATCTATTCCTATGTTTTTATTTAAAAATGTTTTTAATAACTCATTGTATCACTTAGGACTAAGTTCTGCTGCATATCATAGTAAACCCTAAAATAAGATTGGCTTAAACACGTGGGATTATTCTCTCTTGAAGAAGGCCAGAGGTAAGCCACTCAGGTGCTCTGTGGCTTACCCAGGAAGCAGGCTCCATCTCTCTGCTCGCCTGTCCTAGTGTGTGGCTTCTGTTCTTAAGGTCTCCTCATGGACCACAGGGCTGCCAGTGCTCTGGCCATCATGTCCACATGGTAGTCCAGAAGGAAGAAGAAAGACAGCAGGGAAAAAAGGGGCCCTCTCAGCTCAGCTCTCATGGACTTCTAAGCCCATCTCATTTGTTGGGGCTCAGTGGCTGTACCTAGTGGCAGGGATGCTGGGAAGTGAAGTTAGTCCTCTGTTCAAGGAGCAGTGCACCTAGCCAAGAATTAGGACCCTGTTACTAGAGAAGAAAGTGTGAGTGTGCCAGTGTGTGACAGGAACCTCTGCCTCCTTACTTCTGCACATTTCAGTGGTTTGGAGCTAAAACACTATTTGTTCACTGGACAAAAAAATTACCAAAGGTTGACCATGTCCATCATATGGTGTTAAAGGGATCTATGACCCTCTCCTCTCCCTACCAAAAAGAATCCCAGCAGTAGATTGTGTTAACTGCTAGAGGCACTAATTAGAGAGCAAAAAACATCTCAAGGTTTTCCATGACTGCTTTCTACATCTTGACAACATCCTAAATAGCATTTCTTTATGATCCACAGGACCAGGAGGGAAAACCCAAAAGAGCCATTGTCCAGGACAATAAAGATGGCACATACGCTGTCACCTACATTCCCGACAAGACCGGACGCTATATGATTGGGGTCACCTACGGGGGTGACAACATTCCGTTTTCTCCGTACCGCATCCGGGCCACGCAGACAGGCGATGCCAGCAAGTGCCTGGCCACAGGTGAGTGCAGGGCTGCATCAGGGTCAGGAGTGTGTGTTTCAAAGTCAGAAAGCTCTAGCTCCTTTCTGCCACTGAATAGCTGTGTCATCCGGGCAAGTTGCCCAACCTCCCTGAGCTTCAATTAGAAGGAGATTGAAGATCTTTTTTGAGAACATTTAGATTCAAGAAGCTCTTTTAAGGATCAGAGAGTGTTTCCAGGGTTATTGCAAAGATTAGATGAGGTCAAGCATGGAAAATGCTTAGCATGGTGTCAGGTGCATAATAACTATTATTATATTACTTTTGAAGTGGGTACATTTGTTGAGATCTCAACTATGAGGACAACTCCCATGAAAGGCAACTTTCTACTTTTTATGAGTAGATGGTTTAGTTACTCAAGATTCATTCAAGAGCAGTTCAGGTCAGCATTACAGAAACACATTAAGGACCTAGGTTTTTCCTCAACCTCTATGTGTAAGCCTCTTAGGAATTCTCCATGAATATTTGAACATCACAGTTCCTTTAATTTCTAAGACGTGAATAGTTGGCTATTATGGGCCTTTCATTTTTTAAGAATAGTTCTTGCAGCTTGGTATTACTGCTGAAAGAGATTTTAAAGCATGAATCCCCATGTCTGCAATGAGACGGATTTGCTTCTGTTTAAATAAGAAAACTAAACAGGTCCACCCCCTGGATGTGTTCTATTTCTCTTCTATCTCATCTTCTTCTGAGTGGAGAAAATGTACGGGTTTTCAGGACAAGGTTGTAAACTGCCAGGCTTGGCCCTTTTTGGCTCACCCCTGGCAAAAATTAAGAAATTTTGAAATGCTGGCCAATCTACCACCTCCTGGGTCTATGCAGCTGCCAGTGACAACTGGATTGTCTTTGCTAATCTGAGGGCATATTCGTGTTGGGTGGGGGCTTCCTTCTTCTTTCCAGGCCCTGTTCCCTCCCCAGCTCAGGCAATGTCCTGAACAGAATTACTCTCGTTTGGGCCATACTTGGTCTGTCATTCAGAGCCTTCTGCAGACTGACTTCGGTCTTCTGCTCACTGAACAGACTTTTCTCACCACTGCCTGCTGTTCCAATACACTTTGCTTGCCAGTGTGCTTTCAGTTCACGCTTTTCCACATCCCTGACGTAGTGTGCCTCCTGGGTAAAGGGGAAGCCACAAGCCAGAGACTGGTCACTGGGGAGAAGTTGCAAGTCTCCCTGGCCAAGAGGACTCAACCTTCAGCGTTCAGCCATTTTCCCCTTCTTTAGGAAGTCCTTTGTTGATGTGGCAACCCTGGGATAGAAGTTCTTAGAACCTTTAAATGGCAATGCTACAGGGCTCTTCCCTGAAGAATAATTGATGATTTTTCTGTAGCCTGCTTCCTCCTCAGTGTTTCCACTGCAGTTTGAACTGTCGTTCTTGGTGCCTGGCATGTGTCCGTCTGCCTGTCAGACTGTGAGCACCTTGAGAGCAGGGACTGTGTCTTGCTCCCTGTAGATGTATATGCCTGGCACTTAAGGAAAGAAATGCCCGATATATGCTTGTTGGTGAAAGCTGACCTTCATGCCCACTCCCTTGAGTGCTGGCCAAGCAGGGCTCACCTTTAGTCCACACCCAGAGCTCACTTATTCAGTGAATAAGTGATGGGACGCTCCCTTGAGCAGCACCTTCCCCAAGCGGTCTTTGGGGCACCCCTGCATGGCGGCAGTTGGAAGCCTGACAGTTACAGATGCAGACAGCACAGATAAGTGTGATTTGTTCCTGGGCCTACAGGGCATGGATCCATGGCTGACCTTTCCATTCTCTTCTCCTGAACTTTTCTGCAGGTCCTGGAATTGCCCCCACTGTGAAAACCGGAGAGGAAGTAGGCTTTGTGGTTGACGCCAAGACTGCCGGGAAGGGGAAAGTGACCTGCACAGTTCTGACCCCAGATGGCACTGAGGCTGAGGCCGATGTCATCGAGAATGAAGATGGCACCTATGACATATTCTACACAGCTGCCAAGCCGGGCACCTACGTGATCTACGTGCGCTTTGGCGGTGTCGATATTCCCAACAGCCCCTTCACTGTCGTGGTGAGGAGAACCCCTTCTCAGGGGTTATCAGTAGATATCAGTAGAATAGTAATGGCTGCTTGTTGGGCCTTAACTGGGATACCCTCTCCTGCTTCTTCTTTCCTTAAAATATTTCTGTTAAGCAGTGATGACTTAGTGAGCCTTAGAGTCATCTCTAGAAATTCAGAGGCCTGAGGGGTTTTGGGGAATCTTATTGGCCACCAAGGTGTCTATCATACTGAGTGACTTAGGCAATATCCTGCCCCAAGTCCAGTTCAGAAAGATACACTTCACAGAAAAATACACTTTTAGAAAAATGTTTATAGGTAAGACATTAGAGTTTTTTATTCTGCCAGCTCGTCCTCCTTCTTCCGCCACCCTCATGGCTGTTCTGTATGGCTGGAGGAGGCAGCAGCCTGGAGCTGTTCTGTCTGGAGCCTCGACCCTGATACCCCAGCACTAAAATGCCTCCAGCTGCGTTCTGGAAAAATTCAAACTTTTCAGATGAGGGGGGATACCTTGTCTTTTGAAGGTAGCAACATCTGGAATAAAAGGAAACCATTATGTAAACATCTGGGTTAGCAAATGACCAGGGTTTTTAAACCAATTTCCTTTCCTTTCCCCTTTCCTTTCTCCCTTCTTTTTTCCTTTCCTTTTTCCTTTCCTTTTCTTTCCTTTTCCTTTTCCTTTCCATGGAGTCTCACTCTGTCACTCGGGCTACGGTGCCATGGCGTCAGCCTAGCTCACAGCAGCCTCAAACTCCTGGGCTCAAACAATCCTACTGCCTCAGCCTCCCAAGTAGCTGGGACTACAGACATGCACCACCATGCCTGGCTAATTTTTTCTATATATTTTTAGTTGTTCACCTAATTTCTTTCTATTTTTTAGTAGAGATGGAGTCTCGCTCTTGCTCAGGCTGGTCTCACACTCCTGAGATCAAACGATCCTCCCGCCTCAGCCTCCCAGAGTGCTAAGATTATAGGCGTGAGCCACTGTGTCCAGCCTTTAATTTCCAATTCTGAATGACTTATAGACAGACCTTACTCTTGAGTATAATAGACGCATGTAGCTTCAGGCTGATCTTCCTTTGATTATTTAAGTTCTTCAACCAGAAAAGGGAAACCTTAGGTAGGAGCATTACCTCGTTTAACATTCAAAACCAGGCATTCTTGGCCCTTTTACAAATGAGCTATGCCCAGTCTAGACAGACGCCAAGTGCCATGCTGTCTCGCTTGCTGGTGTCCTTTCATGCTGCAGGGAGCAGCCACCTTTGACCTCAAGGTTCACAGGCCCTTAATGACCTGGCCTTGTGCACAGTCTACAAAGTACCTTCTAATTATTTCACTCCATACAGCAATGGAGAGGGGCACAAAGACTCCATCCCAAACACAAGCCTGAGGACTCTCTTCCAAGCAGTCTATAATCTGTTGTAGCTTTTTTCCCTTTATAGAAATTTATCTGTAAACATCGCACCAGAGGTCTGGAGGCTCTTTTATGTCTCAAATCTATAAACACTGGTCAACTTTTGACATTGTTCATTTGGGAGTGTTTTTCTCCTGTAGGGAGAAAGAAATACCACTAGAAAGTTTTTGTCCTTGTTTACAGATAAAGGTCCCCATTGTAATTTTAGGAGTCTGTTGTTATCCCATAGTGGATTTTATGTGGCTGGTTAGAACTGGACAGGATGAAGAGCGGCCAACCACTGGGCGGAGGCCATGGCCCTGCTGGTGCAACGACCTGGGGATAAGAGACAAGGTTGGGAGGGTCTGAGTGAGAAAATCAGCGGGAAAATACCATTTTGGCAGGTAGACCACAGTCCTGAAGTGTACGCTTCCAAACTTACTAGGAATAATGTGCCCTTGGCCCTGAACACACGCAAAGCAAGGGTACTTTGTGTAAACACACTGCCCCTGGCCACTGAAGGCGGAAAGAGGTGATCGATCACTCTTGGCACCTGGTTTGGGTCTTTGTTTTCTGATTCCAAGCTTTCCCCAGTCCTACCTAGGTAGACTTTCTGTTCATTGCCTTTGACAAGGTAAATTCCCTGCCTCCTTGTCTAGGTTTGAAGCCAAAAGGACACAGGCATCCAGCACTGTAGTCACAGCAAAAGCCTCAAGGAGCCGTGCAGGCTGGTTCAGTTAAATACATCACACGTGCACACACACACACACACACACACACGGCACGTGGAGTCACGGATGAGCAGCTTACCTGCCTGTTGCCATTGACAAGTCCTAGATGAAGACCATGGCTTAACCATTGAAAGATCTTGGCTGATATGTCCCTGTGTAGCCGCAACCTGGGCAGGCCCTATAAGCAAAGGACAGGGCTGCTCCAATGTGGCAGCTCACAAAGCTGCCTTTGTAAGTGAAGCCCCTGCTGCAGATCCCAAGATACACAAAAAGGCGTTCGCATGGACACATAGGCCTTCCTCTGTAGGGGAGACCTTCTGGTTCCTTTTTCCTTTTCTTTTCTTTTGAGACAAGTGCTTACTCTGTCACCCGGGCCAGAGTGCAGTAGCATCATCATAGCTCCCTACAACCTCAAACTTCTGGGCTCAAGTGATCCTCCTGTCTCAGCCTCAGAAGTAGCTGGGACCACCACCATGCCTGGCTAGTTTATATATTTTTTGTAGAGATGGGGTCTCAACTCTTGCCCAGGCTGGTTTTGAACTCCTGGACTAAAGTGATCCCCCTGCCTTAGCCTCCCATAGTGCTAGGATTATAGGCTTGAGCCACTGCACACAGCCTTCTTATTGTTTGTTATGGCAGAAGGGGTTGTTGAGAGGGCTCTCCTCCCTATTGGGTCAGCTGAATTAGGAGTTTTAAATCTAAGATTTTTTAAAAATGAATTTATAAAACCATTTAAAACATTAACTATAGATATTCATCAAGTAAAAAGAGACCTCTCTCTTAATACCATGCTACAGAGATGACTAGTGTTAGTTTTTCTCTACTTACACAGCAGACAACCCAGTTTTTGTGCATGGGATGAAACCATACATACGGCTTTGCAGCTTGCTTCCTTTCTCAGTGTGCCACTGATACCCTTTCATATTGATTCATCAGACTTAACCACTTCTTTAGAATAGCTGCTCAGTGCTCCACTGGACAGACTTGCTGTGTTTATTTGATCAGTCCCCTTACAGGTAGACATTAGGTAGCTTCAGTTTTTCATGACCATAAATGGCTTCAGTCAAGTTCCTCACACACATCATTTACCTATAGAGTCTCCTGCCAGTGTAGGCCTGCTTGCTGGAAGTGGGGTTGCGGGTTCAAAGGGCATGTGCATTTGGAGAGAGGATATCAACTTGCCTTCCAAAGGGATAGTAAGAAAGTCACCCGGGCAGGGTGGCTCATGCCTGTAATCCTGGCACTCTGGGAGGCTGAGGCAGGTGTATCGTTTGAGCTCAGGAGTTTGAGACCAGCCTGAGCAAGAGCGAGACCCCATCTCTACTAAGAATAGAAAGAAATTAATTGGCCAACTAAAAATATATAGAAAAAATTAGCGGGGCATGGTGGCGCATGCCTGTAGTCCCAGCTACTCAGGAGGCTGGATCACTTGAGCCCAAGAGTTTGAGGTTGCTGTGAGCTAGGCTAATGCCACGGGACTCTAGCCTGGGCAACAGAGTGAGACTCTGTCTCAAAAAAAGAAAGAAAGAGGTCCTTGCCTGCGAGAGTGGCCACTACGTTGGTGCTCTGGGGCTTGGACCCTGGCTAGCCAGAAAATAAACCTCCTCTTGTGTGATTGCAAAAAAAAAAGAAAGAAAGAAAGAAAGAAAGAAAGAAAGAAAGAAAGAAAGAAAGAAAGTAGGCTCTCACAAGAGCCAGCGGCTCACTGTTGTCCAAGATGGAGCAGTGGCGCAGCCCCTCTCAGCTTATAGAATCTGCCGAGTAGCAGTATCCCTCCAATGTGATCCCAACTAATCTCCATTTGCCACCAACTAGGCCACGGATGGGGAAGTCACAGCCATGGAGGAGGCACCGGTAAATGCATGTCCCCCTGGATTCAGGCCCTGGGTACACTTTCGTTTCTTCCCTTTTTGCATTTCTGTGTTTACTCAGCCTTCATTTCAGAAAAGCTGCTGCCTGCTTCTGGGGGTTGCTTAAGCCCTGCGGGTGTCCTGGTCATTGGTATGTCCCCCACTGATCACAGTGATCCCGCTTTTTCTGTAATAAGATCACCCTTGCGTCACCATCCACGCTCCATGAATCGCCAGCCGTCATGTCTGTGATCATGCTCGGTGCAGTTTGTCTCTGTGTTTAAAGAGAAAGACGGGCAGCTGTCTGCAGCCCTCCTGCTGACTCTCGATCTGCACTTGCACATTCAGTTTCTGTTCAGGGGCAAGGCCCCCCCTGCTACTCTCTGCCACTTAAAACGCACCTTCTCTTCCAGGCCACAGGCAACTAAACCTTTCCAGGTGGAGCCTCTGGGGACACACAGACATTGCTGTCTCTCACTTTTCTACTTTCCCGTGGCACTGCTGGGAATTTTACACACAGACTGCCAAGTGATTTCTAGCAGCATGCCAGCATGCCTTGCCTAGTCCTCAGGTTCTGCTGTGGGCCCGGTGCATTAGACAAAGCCCATACCACCCTGGCAGCCACAGCCCAACTCCCTGCCTGCCTGGTTGCAGAATTCCCAGCAGCTCTGCCCCTGCCGCTTCACCAGCCCACACTGTTGTCTGCTTTTCCCAGTGACCACTGTTTCTTGTTTTTAGGTGACCGAAGAGGCGTATGTCCCAGTGAGTGACATGAACGGCCTAGGGTTCAAACCTTTTAACCTGGTCATCCCGTTTGCAGTCAGGAAAGGAGAGATCTCCGGTAAGCACTTGTCATGGAAGCTGTCTCGTTCGCACTCGCTCGCACTCGCTCGCCAGTCGGTGTTCCATTGTGCCCCAGACCTGGGCTCCTGGGTCTCGGTGGAGGGTGTGGTCTGCGGACCCCTGAGGTTACAGAGTGTTCCCTGTATATGTGTGTGTTTCTCTGAAGAAGTGGTTCCTTTACAACTTGCATTCCTTGCTTGAGAGGGCCTAGATTCCCTCTGGGTTAAGAACTGCTATGTTTAGACGCCTCTCGACTATCAAGTTACTGTTCACCCTTTTTTCCTGCCTTCTCTTATTCTTTGACTTTTCCTGATATGACTTTGGCACTGAGGTATGTTGTACAAGAGTTACTTTCTCTCCCCAGCTTGATTTTAATGCCTGCTTTCTTTGTGTTGATGCTGTACTAACTCTGTATGAACTTGAATTTGCCAGTTATACAAAACTCTTTACTCTTATGAGTTAAATGCTATACTTTGTGGAAAACAAATAGAACCTGGAAAAGAAAGCAATTTTGTCTCTGTTTTCCCATCATGGGACGTGGATGTTTTAGATAACAATGAATGTTCTTGGGCCTGCAAACCTTTATTTTGAAGACATCCACACCCTGTGCTCAGCTGCTCTGGGGAAGGTTGCTGGTGGCCTCAGTGCCCTGTTTCCCTGTGCTCTGTAGGAGAGGTCCACATGCCTTCTGGGAAGACAGCCACCCCTGAGATTGTGGACAACAAGGACGGCACGGTCACTGTGAGATACGCACCCACTGAGGTTGGGCTTCACGAGATGCACATCAAATACATGGGCAGCCACATCCCTGGTAAGTCGTGCTTAGCAGTCTGGTCGGACACCACGATTCAGGGCCCTGAACATCTGGGCAGCTTGAGACATTCCCGTCAGCCCTGTGTGCAAAATGGCTCTTGGTGGCAGGCGTGGGAATGCAGCGATGACATCCCTGTGAAACCAACAGCCTGGGACCCCAGCAGACCCAGTGGATTTCCAGAAGGGACGATGCAGCTAGCGTCCAGGGTCACAGTGCGGGCCTTTGGGTCTGTGGTGGTTTGTGTTTGTCAGGATGTCTACTGTGGCCGGAGGATGAGCTAGGAGGAAAGTGTGGGGTGTAGCGGGGCCTCTCCAGCCTGGCCTACAGAGCCCCGAGCGGCGGGGCAGAGCGGGGGCAGGAGAAGAGCACGGGGCCCTTGACAAGGGAAGCCAGCTCAAGTGTCATGGCCATCAACCAGTAGTGTCAGTCTTGCTCTTTTTATGTTTTATAATTGTTCAAATATTTTTTATGTTTTAATTTAGTATTTTGAGTAGGTAGCACATTCACATGGTTTAAAAATAAAAATGGTGTGGAGAGAGGTTTCCTTCCCATCCATATCCTCCATCAGCCCTCTCCTTGAACCTGATTGTTGTTAATTTTTTGTTCAATTTCAGAGTATTTGTAAGACTCCCTATGCAAATGGGAATACAGATTTATAAGCAAATGTCTTCACAGCCCTTCCCCATTTGGATGAGCCGGTCCATGTTTGGCCGGTTCCCGAGAGAGGACATTCGGCTCTTCCTGCCTTTTACTGTCACTGGTCTTGCTGCAGCAAATAGCCTTTTGCACCTGTTGCCTCACACTCATGAAGACATACCTGTGGGATTTAGTTACCTACCAGAGGGGGAATTGCTGGGGCCCAGTTGTTGGCATCTATGACTTTTATTATTTTTTTTATTTATTTATGCTTTTATTAGAAGGCAGAGTTTCTTTATGTCGCCCAGGTTGGAACGTGGTGGCACGATCATAGCTCACAGCAACCTCAAACTCCTGGGCTCAAGTGATCCTCCCACCTCAGCCTCCCGAGTAGTTGGGACTACAGGCATGTGCCACCACCATACCCGACTAATTTTTTTAAATTTTTCTTAGAGATAGGGTCTCGAACTCCTCAAGTGATCCTGAGCTTCCCAAAGTGCTATGGTTACAGACGTGAGCCACCACGTCCAGCCTATGATTTTGAGAGATCTTGCCAAGTTGCCTTCGCAAGGGCTGCTCCAGTTCACAAACCCACCATCCATGGAAGACAGAACCTGCTTTTGCACAAATTCACTAGTGGAATATGCTTTCAAATTTTTGGATCTTTGCCAATCTGATTGTTGGAAAAAAGTCTCTCAGTGTTGCTTTATTTGTATTTCTCTTATGAATGAGATTGAGCAACTTTCTGTATGTTTAAGTGCCATTTGTGTTTCTTTTTCTGTGAACTGAACGTTTGGATCCTTGGACTGTTTGGTATTTGGTTATTGGCCATTGTCATATAGTTTCTAAGAGCAATTTAAATATTGGAAAGATTAGCCCTTTGTGATAAGAGTTGCAAATATTTCTGAGTTTGGCGTTTGCTTTAGTTTATGTGTATATGTGTGTATAATATTTGTTTAAACCAAAAAATGTATTATCTGGCTCTATTTAAGTGTCCAAAAGATGTAGATGTGGAGAGAGGAAAGTCTTTTTCGCATCTGCCTTCCACTTCAATTGCTGGTGTGAGAATGTATCTTTTTAGATGTCTCTCTCTTGCCTATACATATGCATACAGTCTTGTTTTGTTTTTTCTTTAAAGGAATGGCATAATGGTATTAGTATTGCATAGCAAGTTGCTTTTTCTCTTTCTAATGCAGGACATTGTGGATAGTCTCTCAAGTTAGTACACACAGATCTCCCTCATTCTTTTTAATAGCCCATGAGTAGAGCTGCATTTATTTTACCAGCCACCTAATTTTTGGACACTGGGGTCGTTTCCTGATTAGCACTTGGACAATATGGAAATGAAAGTGCTTGCAGAGAGCTGGAAGTGGGGCGGGCAGGGAGAACTACCGTGGTGGTGATTCCTAGGGGTGGAGTCCCCAGATTATAGGGCCTTATGTTTTTTTGTTGTGTTTTTTTTTTTTTTTTTTCTCTTGGAGTCAAAGTCTTGCTCTATTACCCAGGCTAGAGTGCTGTGGTGTCAGCCTAGCTCACAGCAACCTCAAACTCCTGGGCTCAGGTGATCCTCCTGCCTCAGCCTCCCTAGTAACTGGGACTACCAGCATGTGCCACCATGCCCGGCTAATTTTTATATTTTTGTTAGAGATGGGGTCTCACTCTTGGTGGTTTGTTCAGGTTGGTCTTGAACTCCTAACCTCAAGTGATCCTCCTGCCTTGGCCTCAAAGTGCTAGGATTACAGGTGTGAGCCACTGCACCCAGCTGAGCCTTATGTTTTGAACAACACGTGCAAATGGCCTTCCAGAAACTCCTTTCCAGTTACGGGTCGTTTCTCCATACCGTGCAGATGTTTCCTCCTTATTTGTCAAGTTGAGCCAGATTCCCTTGCCTTAACCCCCTCCCTAGAGGGGGAGCAGCCTTGGGGATTGTTTTTCTTATGTCAGGATTGAAGAAATAACACTGAGTAGACTCTGAGGTGTGCTGTGATGGCTGAGGGCACTAGTACCTCCTTTGTCTTCTGTCTCTAGACCTTCCTGCACATAGTGAAAGTTAAGATCCCAGTTGTGCGAGGTATTCCTTCAGCCCTTAATGAATCCCAATTCATGTGTCCTTTGCCAACCCAGAGAGCCCACTCCAGTTCTACGTGAACTACCCCAACAGCGGGAGTGTTTCTGCGTACGGCCCAGGCCTGGTGTATGGAGTGGCCAGAAAGACTGCCACCTTCACCATCGTCACTGAGGACGCAGGAGAAGGTACCATGTGGCTTGCATGTCATGTGTGCGTGTCCAGCCTTCTGTTGAAGAGTTAAGTAGACAGAGTTCCAGGGCAGCTTTTACAAATAAGACTATTAAATGGTAGTGTTTATCTTTTCTCTCACGGAAATATGTCTTTTCTGTCTCTTACCCAAAGCAGAAAATTTTGAAGACTTCTGTGTTCTAATTGAAATCAGATTCATGCTATGAAATATTTTATGTGACTCTTCTGGAATTTCAGTGTGTTTTGGTTGGTGATGTTTTTGATCTGTTTGTACATGTATCTACAGGACCACATGACTTATCTAGTGGCCTTTCTAGATAAAGTTGTGCCCATGCCCACTGTATTCATGGAGATTCCTAAATCTGTGGTTCTAATGGGACTTCCATGCTGGTATCCAGCACCTGGCCAGGAGAGATGGTGCCTGTCCGCCCCCACCCTGTGTGTATGATTGACGCAAGACGCAGTCCCTGTTTGTCCCTTTTTGTCCCATGCATTCTGAGGGTCAAGAGGACTCCAGAGTTACTTATAATGAGGAACTGAGTCATTTGGGGTGTCTTCTCGGTGTGCATTCTCACCGTGTGGACTGCTCTGTCCTGAAATGTACCTCTGCCCACAACTCAATGGAGCGAGTGTGTGAGTGTGTTGCCCCCCGGCATCAGGGCTGTGCTGGATGACTTGTTATTTCTCTTGAAACAAGGAAACTCTCTTTTTCTGATCCCTGCCTCCCTGCACACACTCACAGGTGGTCTGGACTTGGCTATTGAGGGGCCCTCAAAGGCAGAAATCAGCTGCATTGACAACAAAGACGGGACATGCACAGTCACCTACCTGCCTACCCTGCCGGGTGACTACAGCATTCTGGTCAAGTACAATGACAAGCACATCCCTGGCAGCCCCTTCACAGCCAAGATCACAGGTAGGGTTGCCTGGCTTGTGGGGACTTCCCTGTAGGAGGTGCAGCTGCCCCCAGCAGCCACTCTCTTCCTCAGACCAGGGCAGCAGGCTAGATGTCTGTCTGAGTTTAGGTCTCACGGAGACTCCTTGAAAAGGAACCAGGGGTGCAAGTCCAACTTTAGACTGGATAAATTCCTCCACTAGCTGATAAGCCAGGGAAAAACAAGAGCTACCAAAGGGCACTTACTTTGTGCCAGTGTGACTCTAGTTTGCAGAGAGCAAGCACTCAGATTGAGGCATTAAAATAATACTTATTTTGTGAGTCCATGAGCTCAGAGGTACCCGTCTGCATTACTACTAGGTAGAGTTTCTCCTCTCCATTTTACAGGTGAGAAAACTGAGGCTTGGCAAGGTAGTAGCTTAGCCAAGTTCACATGTGGGCATTCAGAGCCAGGTTACCTGATTCCAAAGCCCATACTCCTAACCTCTGTTCTGCTTGCTGTGTTCAGACCATGCTCTCAGTGGGTTATAAGGAAGATGCACACTCAAGGTTCTTCCTTGTCCCCATTGGTGCTTATACCTGTCCGTGAAGCAGCCAGTGGTTCTGTGTGGAGCGTGATCGTTGTTTCCCTGAGAGATGCCCATGGGCATGGCAGGCAAGTGGGAGGTGCCTTCCCCTGCCAGAGACTCCTTTAAACAGTAGCCCATGAGAACTCAGGTCTCCTGGGCTTCCCTGTAACCAGTCAGTTACATCCCTGTAACCATAAATCAGTCATTTCTTGTTGGGTAGTTCTGCTCATTGTCCAAGGCTCGTTTTTTCACTTAACGTTGGGAAATTAGTTCTTGCCTGTTCATCTGTGAATGGCATGTGGAAAGGGGGGCTCTGGAGAGCTGGAGTGACCACCTGTAACAGGAGCCATGCTGGGGGGCTGTTTCCCAGACGACAGCAGACGGTGCTCCCAGGTGAAGTTGGGCTCCGCTGCTGACTTCCTGCTCGACATCAGCGAGACCGACCTCAGCACCCTGACGGCCAGCATCAAGGCCCCATCTGGCCATGACGAGCCCTGTCTCCTGAAGCGGCTGCCCAACAACCACATTGGTGAGCCCAGGCTGCCTCCCTGGCTGTAGCCGGGCCGTCTTGGGTGGGAGAAAAGGACTCCTGCAGTCCTTTCTTGGGAAATTGGTGGCACTTTGGAGCGTGATGTACTAAGCCTGCTGGCTCACACACATGCTGAAAGTCCAAGTGTGTTTCTGCATCATGATGTTGACACTTGTGGACACTTGGGCTGTTGGGAGTCAGGAAAGAAGTCCTGTTTCCATTCTTGCATGTATCTCTCTCCCGCTTCCTCTCCCTCATCCCTTTTCTCCTCCCCTTCCAAACGCGGTCTGTGCTCCTGTCCAGGCATCTCCTTCATCCCCCGAGAGGTGGGCGAACACCTGGTTAGCATCAAGAAGAATGGCAACCACGTGGCCAACAGCCCTGTGTCCATCATGGTGGTCCAGTCTGAGATCGGTGATGCCCGCCGAGCCAAAGTCTATGGCCGTGGTCTGTCAGAAGGCCGGACTTTTGAGATGTCGGACTTCATCGTGGACACGAGAGAAGCAGGTCTGTGGGGATGGTCGTGGGGGAAGGGCCCAAAGCTTGTGGGAGTTGGCTTCTTTTTGCTCAATCTGCTTCACCTTTCATTGTACCAACTCCTTTTTCTTTCTGAGTATCCTTCAAGCTGTAGGTCATTCCACCTGCATCATTGTTTAAGACTCATAACCATTGGTAAAGTAGGTATTGTCTTTGCTTTATTAATATAGATAAAGAAACTGAGGGTCACAGGGGTTATAGGCCCATCTGCTCTGGGATTTCAACCCAGAGCCGCAACAACTCTCAGACCCCTTTTTATTATCTATGCTCCCACCATTGTTCTCAGCTTCCCAGGGTCTCCTGGACTCATCCCAGGCAACGCTGGTTGGGCCCTGGCCAAGACCACGTTCATTTGAGCAGGGCTCTTATGGAAATGAGGCATCTCTTTCTGTTCCCTCTTTGAGATGTTTTGCATTAGATTAGGTCTCTCCCAAGCTTGCCACTTCCCTGTGCCTTCATCTTCTGCCTTGAGTGACAGCCACACTGGTTAATTCCAGACAAAGCGACAGTTCCAGGGGGAGGGGCTGGAGAAAGTCCGGCCCTGAGGAGTAGGCATGATCACTGATCACTCACGTTGTTCACTGCCACATCTGCTGAGCTGGTCGAGATAGCATTGCGGCTCTCAGGTCTGTGGCTGGTGAGAAACCCCCGAGGCAGTGCCTGCTGTCCTGGAGGCACGTGGGCAGAGTCCTCTCCAGCAGGTTGCACGGGACCTGTGTTCCGTGGATGTTAGTAGGTATCCTTGAGGAAAGTGTTCTCCAGTCAAAGCCATGTTCGGTAGCGTATTTCACTATCGTGCTTCTCACCTGCCCCGGGTTCTCCACACAGGTGCCACCATTACTTTCTTTTTGCTGCTTGGTAATAGTTTGAATTTCAAGGGTCGATGTCCTTTCTGCATTCATTGAGCCGCCCCTTCCTGAGGACCTGCCGTCACAATGACCTGGGGCTGCTGCATTGCAGGTTACGGTGGCATATCCTTGGCGGTGGAAGGTCCCAGCAAGGTGGACATCCAGACTGAGGACCTGGAAGACGGCACCTGCAAAGTTTCTTACTTCCCCACCGTGCCTGGGGTTTACATTGTCTCCACCAAATTCGCTGATGAGCACGTGCCTGGTATGTGTGCCCCCGCCCGCCCGCCCTCTGTGCTGCTTGCGCTCTCCGCGGGTGCCGTCCCTCAGCCTCTAGGCTGCTCACGGGGCCTCCTTGGTTCTGGCAGGGAGCCCGTTTACGGTGAAGATCAGCGGGGAGGGCAGAGTCAAGGAGAGCATCACCCGCACCAGCCGGGCCCCGGCCGTGGCCACCGTCGGGAGCATCTGTGACCTGAACCTGAAGATCCCAGGTGCGCATGGGGGGCTGGGGCAAGGGCAGCCGGCACCTCCGGAAACTGAGTCCAGGCAGGGCCCAGAACATACCATCCACATCGGCTGTGGTGACCTTTTTATTTCATTTCATTTTATTATTTTGTTTTATATTTATTTTCTTAGAGGCTCATCCAAGAAAAATAAATCTGTTTACCCTGTTGCATTTTTCTTCTTCCAAATGAAAATAGCTTTATTGTGTCACATGGGAGAAACACAGATATGTTTCTAGAGTTTTAGATTTACTATCTATTAAACAGAATAATGTCAGTGAGAGGACTGGCCCTGACATGGCAATATCTGGAAGTATTTAAGAGGTGGCAGTCAAGTGGCATTCTTCTAACATTTCCGTTCATCTCTTTCATTCTCGCAGTTAGATCGAGGGCAGTGCTGCAAAGCTGGACGGGCCACCTCGAGCCCTTCAGCAGGGCGTGTTTCCCAAGGGGCCCAGTTAGCTATTGGCAGGCCAGGTAGCCTGTCTGAAATGTGGCCCAGGGCCCCGCTAGAAAGAATCCTCTCAAAGAGAGTTTACTGTGCGCGTGAAAGTTTTGGGGCTCTTCTCCCAGAAGTCAGCATGTGCTGTGGAGTTGCGCCGGCCCCACAGAGAAGGAGCAGCCGGCGGTCTTCAGGTGGCCTCCCGGAGAGGGCCCGGTCTTCCTGCACTGTGTCCTTCTCCTGCCCTTCTTGGCATGTTGACTCTCCTTCTTGGCTGTAGTGGACGAGTTCTTGTGTAGACACACCAGCGCCGGGCCATGTATGAACATGGTGAAAGCCTCATGACTGTAGGGTCGAGTCGTGCTCACTTAAAAGGAGCCGTGCTGATTGTCTGTGGCCATGTGGCCTGAGATGGCATGAGTGAGCCCTGCCTCATGTCCCACCATCCAGGCAGATCACGGTTCCCAGCTGAGCCACAGAGCTGGACCCCAGCTGCCTCCACCCTCTCAGACACGTGTGCTCATATCTGTTGCACAGGTGCACCCCCTAGCCACGGTGTCGTGGGTGTCTTTCCACCTCAAAAAATAGACTTTCATATCTTTTTCACAACCCCAGTGAGATTCCGTTTCATGTCTAGGTGTGTCGTCCTTGCATGGGTGGTCTCACTTCACTCATGCTCATTTCCATGCCTCACCCCTGTCGTCAGCGATGCCCTGACATTTGCCACCGCCTGCCCAGGCTGTTGGCTCTGGGACGGATGCCCTGCGTCAGGATTGCTGGTCTGTCAGCAAGACCGCGCCTTGGTGGACGGGCCTTGCAGGCTGCCCTCCAGAAAAGGTGCCGGTGCTGTTGTTCCATGCTTCCCGCTGGGCCTGGGCATTGTCTTTCCTCCTCACTTTGGCCAATCCGATGGGAAAGGTTGGTATCCAATGTTCAGTTTCATTTCTCAGATTACTAGTGACCTGCACTGTGTTTCATTTGCTTTACACATGTCCTTTTGTGAATTATCTCTTCCGTTCTCTTTGCCTATTTGATTCTTGAGGGACTAGCAAGTATCTTTGTTCTAGATGGACATTGACCCTTTCTCTTCCAGCCCTTGACTATTTTATTATCCTTTTTAGTTCCTTGGTACCATTTGAGTCGGTGAGGTGAGCTTTTCCCCCAATTCCCCGAAGGACTCTCTCTCGTCAGTTACAGGGGATAGCTCACCAGCTTCACATGTGCATAGGGCCCAGGTCAGGGGGCTCGCTTAGTCAGTTTGGGCTGCTATACCAAAACAACATAAACGGGGTGGTAACCAACAGAAATTTATTTCTCACAGTTGTGGCAGGTGGAAGTCTAAGACCAGTGCACCACAATCAGATTCTGGTGAGAGCCCTCTTCCAGGTTGCAGACTGATAATTTCTCCTTGTATCCTCCCACAGTGGAGAGCAGAGAGAGCAAGCTCTGTTGGAGTTGCGGGGGGCAGACATACTTAGAAGGCCACTAACCCTATTGTGAGGGCTCCACCTTCCTGATCTCTTTTAACCCTGATTGCCTCCCAGAGGCCTCGCCTCTTAATGCCACCATATTGTGGGGCAGGTTTCAACATAGGAATTCTGGAGGAATGTAAACATTCAGTCCGTAACACAGGCAACCCTCTCCTCAGCTTCCATTCCTTTTTCTGTCCTCAGGTCTCAAAGTCGTGACCTGCTCATCCCAGATCCTGTAGGGCTGGAGGGTGCAGGCTCATCCTGGCTCTAGGTGATGGCAGTGCTCAGCACCCCGCACGAGGCCCTCCTGTCCCCACCGCGGCAGCGCAGGCACAGTCGTTAGCATGACGCGAGGAGCTCATGGGAGCAGACGTGGTCTGTGTCCTGGTGTTGGTGACCTGAGGCATTGCTTTTCTGAAAGTGTGGCCTCTGGTCTTCAGTTTGCTCGAAGCTTTGTTCATGCATGGTTTCCCCTTTGCAATTACGACTGATGTGTGTTCACTTTTTTCTCTAAATGCATTGTGTCTTGTTGCCTCAAAGAAATGCCAGAGCTTCTTGAGAGTAGGGGATGATGATTCTTGTTTCCTGCCCTTGAAGGAAAGAGCCTGTGTCACCTTTGGTCTAGAAACATCTGAGCTACCCTAGTCCTTCTTCTTCTTCCTTTTTTTTTTTTTTGAGACAGAGTCTTACTCTGTTGCCTGGGCCAGAGTGCCGTGGCGTTAGCCTAGCTCACAGCAACCTCAAACTCCTGGGCTCAACCGATCCTCCTGCCTCAGCCTCCTGAGTAGCTGGGACTATAGGCATGCGCCACCATGCCCAGCTAATTTTTTACATGTATATGTATATGTATATATTTTACTTGTCCAGCTAATTTCTTTTTATTTTTAGTAGACACAGGTCTTGCTCTTGCTCAGTCTGGTCTCGAACTTCTGAGCTCAAATGATCCACCAACCTCGGCCTCCCAGCTAGTTCTTTATGTGCTGTAACTGCTGGCTCAGGCTCTGGTTCGAAGCTACCATGTGGAATTAACTCAGCTGCACCCAGGAAGGTTGTAAAAATACTCAGTGGGGCAAGAAGTGTCAATGCCCCAGAATGCTCTTTGTGCTGTGAGGCCTGCGGGCCTGCCCACTCCGTGCTGGCCATAGGCGGGCCCGCATCTGGCCTGAAGGGGATGAGACCTGAGCACCCCACATCCGCCGGCTGCACCGCCTCGGCTCTGCTGCTTGCCCTGTGCGTCTGCCGTGCCCTGCTGCGGCCCTCACCCTAACCCTCCTCTCTCTCCCAACCTCCCGCCCTCTTTCAGAAATCGACAGCAGTGACTTGTCGGCCCACGTCACCAGCCCCTCTGGCCGTGTGACCGAGGCAGAGGTTGTGCCCATGGGGAAGAGCTCGCACTGTGTCCGGTTTGTCCCCCAGGAGATGGGCGTCCACACGGTCAGCGTCAAGTACCGTGGGCAGCACGTGACGGGCAGCCCCTTCCAGTTCACCGTAGGGCCGCTCGGTGAGGGAGGCGCCCACAAGGTCCGTGCAGGGGGCCCTGGCCTGGAGAGAGGAGAGGCGGGAGTCCCAGGTGAGCGCTGCGGGCAGAGTTCTCACTTGAGAAGAATAAGGGCTGCACCTAGGCCGTGTGAGACCCGCACACATTCTGCAGGGAAGGCTCTGATAGGTGGTGGAAGGGCGTTCAGTAAAACAGGGCATCCGTGACTGCATGTAGGGATTGCTTGCTTGTGCAAAGCTGTGCAGGTTTCTTGCTAAGGGCCTTCCTTATTAGTGTGCATCTTGAGGCGAGCAGAGTAATGCCTCTGTTTCCAGAGTGTTGACAGAGCTAAAGTTCTGTGGAACACACTGAAATGCTACAAAACCAACTATAAAGTTCCCCTCCCATGGTCACTGCTGCTGGGAAGATCTATGGGGGAAAAGCTGAACATTCTCATCTTTTTCTGGCTTGATTTAGATGTATTTAAAAGATGCCAGATTTCCCTTGAACTTAGTTACCTTTTTTTTTTTTTTTTTTTTTTTTTTGAGACAAGTCTCACTTTGTTGCCCAGGCTAGAGTGAGTGCCGTGGCTCAGCCCTAGCTACCAGCAACCTCAGTCTGCTGGGCTCAAGCAATCCTCCTGCCTCAGCCTTCCCGAGTACTGGGACTGAAGGCCATTAACGCAAACACAAAAAAAAAAATAGAGAACAAGAAAACTATATAATATATTATATACATATTTTATCATAAAATATTAGTATGGCCAAATTAATTTCTTTCTATTCGTTCTATAGTAGAGACGGGTCTCCTCTTGTCAGGCTGGTTCGAACACGCTGACCCTCCGAGCAATCGCCGCTCGTCAGAGCAGGTACGGATTACAGGCGTGAGCCACCGCGCCTGGCCAGAACTTAGTTACCATTGACAGTGCTTAGGACACCTCAGTGATGGCCATTGCTTGGGTTCTGCCTGGGGTGAGAGAAAAAAGGACAGGGCCAGCAACAGATCAAACCCAGCGCTGCAGTCTTGAACAAGAAGAGGGGCAGGGGCTCTCTTGGGCTTGGTCACTAACCAGGTGTTTCTTTGCTCCCAGCTGAGTTCAGCATTTGGACCCGGGAAGCTGGCGCCGGGGGCCTCTCCATCGCTGTTGAGGGCCCCAGTAAGGCCGAGATCACATTCGATGACCATAAAAACGGGTCATGTGGTGTGTCTTATATTGCCCAAGAGCCTGGTATGTACTTGAGCGTTGCAGGAGGACGTTTTCCTTGTTTGAAGATGGTTAGGTTGCAAGGAACAGACACCTATGGAGCCAGTGCAAGTGGATGAGGGACTTATGTGTATGGGCATGTGGGAGAGCCTCCTGGGGGTCTAGTCACAGGACACAGCCAGCCCTCCAGGGGTGGGGATTCCGCCTTGCTTTCTTAGCCTTTCTCTGTTGGCCTTTCTGCTTCTTGCTTTCGTTCACTGGCTTCATTCTTTCCACTGACCAGCCTCTCTCTGCCCAGCATGCCCATGGCTGGCTGCCCCAGGACAGTAGCCTTGGCGTCCTAGCTCCCCATAGCAGGAATTCTTAAGCTTTTGTGTGCCACTGACTCTTGGCATCTGGTGACTGCTCTCAGGATAATGTTTCAAAACATATGAAATAAAATGTATAACAAAGGAAGTCAATTATATCAAACTGTTATCAAAATTTTGCAAGGACAAATATGTATGCTAGAAACATGTACAAATATATGTATGTCTTCATTAATATATTAAATCATTACATATATTAACTCCCTTAATTTCAAAGTTATGGTAAGTGTAAATGATAGGTCAAGATACCTGTACAACTTTTTTAAAGTTGTATATATTGATATAAAAATATTTGATTTTTAATGGTGGTACAAGTCACAGGTACTTCTAATGTGGTGTGACTTCTTGTTGACATTTCTAAAGAAAGGAAATGGTAAATTTCGGTTTGAGGTTAGTGAAAATATAGATGTGATTTTTTTTTTTCCTATTCAAGTTCATAGATCTCCTGAATTCTGTACACAGACTATTTGGAGAACCCTGTGGACCCTGGTTAAGAATCCCTGACTTTGGCCTGGCGCGGTGGCTCACGCCTGTAATCCTAGTACTCTGGGAGGCCGAGGTGGGCAGATTGCTCAAGGTCAGGAGTTCCAAACCAGCCTGAGCAAGAGCGAGACCCCATCTCTACTATAAATAGAAAGAAATTAATTGGCCAACTAATATATATATATATAAAAAATTAGCCGGACATGGTGGAGCATGCCTGTAGTCCCAGCTACTCGGGAGGCTGAGGCAGGAGGATTGCTTGAGCCCAGGAGTTTGAAGTTGCTGTGAGCTGGGCTGATGCCATGGCACTCACTCTAGCCTGGGCAACAAAGTGAGACTCTGTCTCAAAAAAAAAAAAAAAAAAAAAAAAAGAATCCCTGGCTTTGCCCAACCAAGAAAATCGTATGCCCCTCTTGGCCAGTCAGGCGTGGCCATGGACGAGGGCTGGGTTTCAGCTAGGTCAGAAGCAAGAGGCCACTCTGCAACCACTTTCCAGAATCTCTGAAATGATGGGACTTTCCTGTCCTCATAGGTAACTACGAGGTGTCCATCAAGTTCAACGATGAGCACATCCCCGAGAGCCCCTACCTGGTGCCGGTCATTGCACCCTCCGATGACGCCCGCCGCCTCACTGTTATGAGCCTTCAGGTGAGACGCAAGGAAGCATCCGTCTCGTGGCCACAGGCCGACCAGCGAGACCCTTGGGCTCCTGAGGCTGCTTCAATCCCTTAGGTGCTGAGGCCCCATTCTCGTCTGACCGCAGGTGTTGCCAGCTAGGCTGTCCATGGCAGTTAGCACTCCACAGGGCAGAGGACAGTGGGGCCAGTGGAAACAAAGTACATTCCTTAGTGTTTCCGGGCAAGTTTGTTTTTAAATGTCAATTTAAGAGAAATAAAGGGAGCCTTTTAAGGGATAAGGAGGGCTTTCAAGACAAAATAAACACAAAAATAACAGTCCAGTGATTAGCCTGCTGTTGTTGGCTGCCTTTTCCTCAAGGCAGTCCACTGCAATTTATTTTATTATGATTTATTCATAGCAAGTGTGCAAGGAACTATGTTTAAAACTTTATCAGTGTTACTTCAGTAAATCCTTGCAACAACCTGGCAAGTAGATTCTCTTGACCCCATTTTAAAGATGGGAAAACTGAGGTACAGGAAGGTTTAAGCTATTGGGAACCAGCGAGTATGAGGCAGAGTGAGGTCTCTGGCTCCCAGACATGTGCTCTTAATTGTAACCTCCTTCATCCCCACCCTGACATTGTGACAAATTGGTTGCATGGTCCAGCCTATTGGGGTACCAGGCCACTTAATTCAAGGCTGCATTAGCACCCTCAGCCAAACTAGGAACCACTGGGGATGCCTCTGCGTCTTTGCTCAGGACATGGAAGATAATTTGGTGTCATAAGTCGGAGCAGCAATTAAGTTGTGGAATAACACTAGAATCCCAAAATATGACTTCTGGGAAAGAGAGTTTCTGAATAGCCTTCAGCTACCCCCAATTCTTGAATTGATTAAAATCTAATCTTGTATCTCAGATTGATGATATTGTTGGATCTAGTTCCATGCACTTGGTTTGCATTTGAGACCCTAACCGTACTCCGAGGAAACTGGCACACTACCAGCTGTTCCAAACATGAGTCTTTCATTCAGGGACACAGACAGAACCCAAACCAGAGTCCCAGTCCACAGATTGAAGAGGCCTCATCGGCATAATGCCAAGGGTGCTGACTGGTCACTGTGGTGCAGATGTTTTTCTTGTGTTTCATTTAAAGGCTTCTTAACAGAAGTTTCTTTTGTGGCCAACTTAACTAAAACCTATGGAGGAAGATAAACTCAACCTTTGTTGAGGGCAAGTAGCTGCCTTTGTGCTTCTGGACGATTTCTTTCCGAATCTTCCGAGGCGTTTATCTTCCTCTTGAGGATTTAGTGGCTGGTGGATTCAGGTAATGTAAACAATTCTTCTGTATGAGGGGAGCTGGTTTGGAGAAATCACTCCAGAAAACTTTCCTGTAGGGTCCTCTCGTCACATCCGGTTACAAATATTTCAGGAAGTATGCAGCAGGGTATCAAACTTTTGTGACCAGCTGCTAGGGCAGCAGGGACGTGTTCGTCAGCTTCGCCTCCTGTTCTTCCCAGATCATTTAATGCCTAGTGATATGTAAATTATTTATCAGAGATTTGGTGGAGGCCTGCCCAGCAACATCTGGTGCTCTGTAGGAAAGAGAGGCATGTATTGTTTTGTTTTGCATTTGAGACTTTTTAGAAAATTGCAATCGCTGGTACTCTGTGCAAGGGTGAGATGGGAGTGATCTGGTGATCAGAGACTCCTTAATTTCATGGTCTGTGCTTCCTCGAGGTCTCTAACCCCCAGGGATGCACAGTCCAAAGTAGGTTCTGCAGTGATGGAAATGTTCCATATATCCACTGCAATATGGTAGCCACAAGCCACATGAGGCTATTAAGCACTTGAAATATAGCCAGAGTAACAGAGGAACTGAATTTTTATTTTTAAGTGCTTTAAATTTAAAAAAATCTATCTATAGATATATCTATATATATCTATATATAAATATGTATATATTTATATATATAGATACATATATCTATATATATCTATTTATATATAGATATCTGTATATAGATATATATAGTCACAGGTGGCTAGTGACTACCAAATAAGGCATTGCAGCTTTAGGGCTCTTCTACTAAGATATGGTCACTGGGCCAGCACCCTTGGCATCGCCTGGGAGCTTAATAGAAACGTGGCATCCCAAGCCCCATCCCAGATCCACTGGCCAAGATCCTCAGATGATGTGCTTGCACCTTAAGTGTGAGCCCTGCTGCTTTAGGAGTTATCTTCTGAGGAGTGTCTGCCCAACCAAGTTTAAATCAAAACTGCTAACTTGTAAAATTTTGCTTTTCAAGATTGGTCTGTGTGAAAATGACTAAAATGTTGCTGCTCACCTTTGTTCCTAAACATCTAAACTTCTAGTCCCCTCCTCCAAAGAAGAGGATATAGTTTCCAAGACAAAGCATGAAGAGTGAAACTGATCCAAGGAAGAACAAAAGCTGTACTCCTCCTTGTTGCCTTGTGTGGGGTACAGACAACTTCTAATAAACTGACATTTTTGAGCCTTTCTTTGCATGGGCCAGGCCCTGTGCTGAGTGTTCTGCCTGCATAACTTCATTTACTCCTCACAGCATCTCTCTGAGGTGGATTTAGTTATTGCGCCCATTTTACAGATAAGGAAACTGAGACTCAAAGAGGTTTAGCAACTTAGTCCTATAGCTAGGAAATGTTGGTGAACCCAGTTTCCACTGATTCCTCACTGCTGTGCAGTACTGCTTCCTTTGCAGATGTAGCCCTTTGTAATAAATTCTCTGCATTCCACCTACCCTTGAGATAACAAATAGCAGTGACATAAACTGTGTTCATGTTTGTGTGTGCATGATTTTGTCAGCTGCCAGGCTCCTCCTAAAAGGGAGTCCTTATGTGTTTGACCTAGAAGATATGGGTTTTCTGGCCTGTGCAGGTCTTGTTTGGAATTCTGAGGCTGTAGTCCTGTTGAGTGGGATGTCTGAAGTCTCCCAACCCCCAGGAACTGGCTCTTCCAGCCTGAATCAAGATGGTCTGCATGCAAGACCATGCAGATGTGGTGTCTCTGCTTCTTTACATTTTATGCTAGAAATATGGAATGACTCATCTGCTCTTCTATTGTCAGATGTTATATGGGAAAACATTTTGGGCCTATTTTCATGAGAACTGTCACTGGAGTCTCAAGTCAGGTCAGTGTGTGCCACTGAGCAGGAACACCAAGGGCCGTAACCTGTCTAATGTGTTAAATTCTCAGGAATCGGGATTAAAAGTTAACCAGCCAGCATCCTTTGCTATAAGGTTGAATGGTGCGAAAGGCAAGATTGATGCAAAGGTGCACAGCCCCTCTGGAGCCGTGGAGGAGTGCCACGTGTCTGAGCTGGAGCCAGGTGAGCAGGGGCCTGGGCGGGGCCACACCAGCACTTCCAGCGTGTCCTGTACGTGTGCGTCCCAGAGCGGGCCTGGGCAGCCTCGGCGCTGCCAGTGAATGGGGCTCGAGCTCCTTCTGCCATTGCCAGACTTTTTTTTTTTTTTTAATAAACTAGGGTATGAACATTTGCCAGGAACAGGGAGACTCTACTCCTGGGGATAAAATGCCCTTTCTTTCTTTCTTTCTTTGTCTCTCTTCCTATTTTTTTTTTTTCTTTTCAAATGCTTTATTTTCTGTTAGTTTTCCAGATTCCTTTCACTTCATCATGATTTTTCTCTCATATTTTAACAAAATCTTGCAGATTTTTATTATATTGTCAATCTTATGACATGCCTACACTTTGATCTCATTTTACTTTGAGGAAAAGGTATATTAATGTTCCTCTCTGAATTTAAGAAGGGAGTCTGAGTCTCTAGGGCCTAATGTCAGAAGATTTTTCTTACCCATTCGGTGCCTTGGTATATGGGATTCTGTGATATTAATCAACCTTATTTATTTATTTTGAGACAGAGTCTCACTCTGTTGCCCCTGCTAGAATGCTGTGGCGTCAGCCTAGCTCACAGCAACCTCAAACTCTTGGGCTCAAGTGATCTTTGTACCTCAGCCTCCTGAGTGGCTGGGACTACAGGCATGCGCCACCATGCCCGGCTAATTTTTTCTGTATATTTTTAGTTGGCCAATTAATTTCTTTCTGTTTTTAGTAGAGATGGGGTCTCGCTCTTGCTCAGGCTGGTTTCGAACTCCTGACCTTGAGCGATCCACCCTCCTTGGCCTCCAGGCCGGGCGCAGTGGCTCACATCTGCAATTTTGTTCATTTTGCCAGAGAACATTTATTAAGTGTCAGAGACTTGGAGGGAAGGTAGGGCTGAGGAATACATTATTCCTGCTCTCAGAGAGCTGCTCAGAGTCTAATGAGGACCTGGCCAAAGCGTAATGACGACTCCAAGTGATGGCAAGACCACAGGACCTCACCTGGGTGTGGAGTGGAGGAGGGTGGGGACCCGCGGGGCCCGCTGGGAAGGTGGGGGGCCATAGGACCTAGGGCGGCCAGCTCCATGGGGACGCACCTCTGCGGAGAGCACTGGAGGAAGAGAGGGCTTGGCTGGAGCTTTGGGGAACACCAGCTCTGAAGGGACGAAGAGTACACAGAGCCAGGAGAGGCCGAGAGACTCCGGGGGAAGGAGGAACACAGGCTCTCTGCGTGCCAGGTGGGAGGACTTCAGGGAGGAGGGCCAGACCGGCGCTGTGCGCTGGACGGGTGCTCGAGGCGCCTGTATCACTTAACAGACCGCCCTGCCTTGTGCTGTGACGCAGGTGCACAGCTGAAGCCCCTGCCCCGTGGGGCACTTGTAGCTTTGAGCTTTATTAAGGGGCACTAATGCCAGTTGGAACCATTTGCTTCCCCTTCAAGTGGCTGAGTAGAGAGAAGAAGCTGGTGAGAAGGGAGCTTTCCCTAAAGGAAGGATGTATTCTTCTGAGGCAGGGCCAGAGTATTAGGTGTAGGATTTAAGATTTGGGTGTGTTTCCCAAAGGGTTGAAGCTCAGCATCCTGGGTGCCAGGCTCCCAGGAGAACTGTCACCTTTCAGTGCTTTGAAATTGGCCTCGCAGGTTGGCCTGCTGTCCTTTGTCCTTACCTAACCCAGTGGTCCGTTTCCCAACTTCACCGAGTCTTTGCTTGTTCTCCTAGATAAGTACGCTGTTCGCTTCATCCCCCATGAAAACGGCGTCCACACCATCGATGTCAAGTTCAACGGGAGCCATGTGGTGGGAAGCCCCTTCAAAGTGCGTGTCGGGGAACCCGGCCAAGCGGGGAACCCTGCCCTGGTGTCCGCCTACGGTGCCGGGCTCGAGGGGGGCACCACAGGTAACACGCCATGCCTCTTCTCTGAGTCTCAACTGAGCGGGTGCAGGGACCACACCAGAGGGAAGCCTTCACGCGCCACGCAAGCCCTTCACTCGCGCCGGGGAGCCAGGACAGCAGTGCCCACAGTGGAGGCTTTTGCCATCCAGCGTTGTTTTGGGAGATGTGGGTTGACCTGCGATAGATCCAGAGTGAGGGCTGGTGGCCGTGGCGTCACACCTCTTTACTGTTGGCCGTGGTCCAGATGTCTCCCCCTGCCGACTGTCTTGGCTAGGACGGGATGCCGGTGGTCGGGACACAGCACAGCGCCATCAGTTTTGAGGAACAGAATTCCTCACTCGTCTGCCAGGCCGCCTGGGAGGCCTCCTGTACATCTGCCATTCCTTTAAGGGTTCTGGGCTCCCCGAAACACACCAGGGCGGCTGTAAGACCATAGTGGCCTGTCTCGTCCTCCTGTTACTCTCTGGTCCTAACGGAGGAGAAGAAAACACTAGAAAGGTCAAAAGATTCTGAATTTTTAGACCTGTTACAATTTATTTTATTTTTATTTTTTGCCACAGATGGGACACATTTGACTATAAAAAGTACAGGCAGTTGAAGGATATAAAGTGAAATTCACTTAGGCTCCGGAGCGTCCCTGCCTCCTTCCCCATCTCGGTCTAGGAGTAAACACTGTGTTCAGGGCAGATCTTTAGGCAAGATCTCTCTGTCTTCTGTCTTGGTTGCTAGGTTGATGAACTAGTTGGTTCATTAGACTGGCAGACACAAAGTTTTGCTTTTATTTTACAGAAGTAATCTTACTGCACACTTTTATTGGTCCAGCTTGCCTTTTTTACCTTGACATCTTAAAAGATCTTTGTTTCAAAATATTCAGATCTACCGAGTTTTGGGAGGTGTGCTATAGCTATAGCTAGTGTCCCTACCATGTACTGCAGTTATTCGAACAGTCCCCTAGAGGTGGGCATTGAGTGGTGTCCAGGCCATCAGTGTCTCGGAGGATGCCAGGGTGGGCAGCCTGCCCTCTCAGGCTCCTCTGTAGGGGAGTCCATGTGTGGGCTCACAGGGACACTGTTTGCACTTGGTGTCACTTTGGATCCTCTTGGGAATGCGCCGGTCCGGTTTCTCAGGGCTCGTGAGCCCCGCCTTTAGTCCCACCATAAGGTGGGTGGGTGGAGCAGGCTCGCCTCCCACGAGCGAGGGGTGGCTGGCTGTGGTCTCCTGGCATCTAGCCCTGGGGAGCGAGTGTCCTGAGTGACTGAGGGCTGTATGCTGCCCAGGACTCTGGCCAAAGCAGTGGCCTCAGCAGAACCACCCACGGGGGTGGCATGAGTGTGGCCAGGCTCTCCAGGTGAATCCAGTCTGGCCCTACATGGGGCTGCGGGCCAGCAGCTTGCTTTTTATGAAAGGCACAGTATCTTTTTGCCCTAGGTGACGTTCATTTTACAGATGAGGAAAATGAGACACCGAGAGCTTGAGTCACTTTCCAAACTTGCTCAGCTGGGAGGAGGCAGAACGAGAATCAGTCCAGATCCTTGACCTCAGAGCCTGTGCCCTTAGCTCCGAAGCTTTGCCACCTTGCTAAGTGGCTGGCTTATTCAGAGGCAGTGATTGCACCCCTGACCCACTTTTGGGGTGTCCTAAACCAGGACCCCTGTCCTCCCAGCTGCCCTGGAGAGGTTTCTAGGCAGCAGTGCAGGTGTTTGGTCCCTGGTAAGCCACCCGCCATGAAGGATGGAGGTGGGGTCTTCTTAGCGCTTGGAGCACACAGCAGACCTTGGTTCAGGCCCCACGCTAGCCAGGAGCCATCTCACCCTCTTGCTGGCCCGCGCTGGCTGTGCCCAGGGTCCTCTCCTGCTTCCTCTTGGCAGTTCGCATACCTTGGGAGCGTGGGCTTCAGGCTGCGCTTTGCAAGTACTGGGCGCTGCAGAGAAAAGGAGCTGGTCTTGCAGGGAGGTTCCCAGCCAGGAGTGGAGAGGTACAGAGCATGCCTGTTTCAAACCCTGTGTAAATATTGCTCTTGTCATGGGGAAGGCATCTTGTTTTTCCAGCCCTCTCACTCCCAATCCTTTCCCCAAATACCCATTCTGAGATTACACAGCTGCAGTGTGAATGGAATGAAAAGGTATCTGTGCTCGGCTGCCAGAGGGCCCAGCATCCTGACCTTCTGAACAAAGCAAACTTCCCTGTGTTTTTATGGGTGGGTTTGCTGTATCTCTTGGCTCAAGCTTTAAATGGTCCATTCTGCAGATTTTGGAGCAGGGGAATGTGGGGAACTTGAGGTGGGACTCTCTGCTGGAGGGGGGTTGAAAGGCTGTGAGTTAGACCAGGGAGTTCTAGATTCTTGGGAGCAGTTTTCCTGCAGAAATGGTCCAGGAATCCCAATATGCTCACGGCATACCCAGAAGAGCCTCCTCCCTCCCTTTGCTCCCTCACGCCTTAAAGGGCAAGCTGCTTCATGGATACAATCCCCTCCTCTCCCACACAGCCCTGCCCCGTGGCTGCTGCTCAAGGGGCTTGCTGGCCGTGCAGACTGGCTACTCTGACAAGGGTGAGATAGTGGGGGAACCTTGGGACAGGAGCCCCAGGAGCTTCCAGAAACAGCTGGGTTGTATTTGAGGGTTGCGTGATAGCAGCTCCTTTGTTTCATTGATAACCAGAACAATAATTCCTTCTCTGGTGTGGTAGCTATAAGCAAACCAAAATATTTCCCAGCTGGGCCAGTGTCTGGCAGAGCACAACCCTGCATAGGAAGCTGTGCTGGTGTACCCCATAGAGGCTCTGTCACGGGCATGAGCTGGTGTCTGGACACCCAAGTGGCCCCCACTGACCACCGCACCCCTCTAGCCTGGCAGGGGGCGAGGAAGCGGGGGCTTTGTGGAGCCACTCTGCCCGGGCAGAAGTGCCCCTGTGGCTGTTGGCTGGCACTCACTTTTGGCCCTGCTTTCCTGTTGTTCTAGGGCAGGCTGGCTGTGCCAGAGGCCCTCGCCAGGCCAGCCGAGAGCCCAGGTGTCTTAGGGCTGCAGTAGAGCACCTGAGGCAGCCCCACTGTCCATTCAGTGGCCAAGAGACAGGCCTGGCACCAGAGCCATGCAGACAGGGTTCAGATCGGCTCTGCCACCTTCTAGCTGTGTGGCATGGCTGACAGCCTCCCTGAGCCTCAGTGTCACTTGTGAAAGGAGCCTGTGCCATGTATGTGGAATGATGCTCAGCACAGGCCCTGGGGCCCAAGCGGGCGGGCGTGTGCTCAGTTAGCAGGGGCTGCTGTTTGGCTCCTGTGCCCGTTGTTGGCGTTCACGGCAGAGTGGGTGGGCCAGCAGGTCGCAGCGCCTGTGCCAGCCTTCAGATGGTGTCAGGGGTAAGGAGAAGGAAGGGCGGAGACGCTGGACCTCTGGGCTTCTCTAAGACCACCCAGAGAAGAAAGGAAAGGTCAGAGGGGCCCATGCCTCCCCTCCCAGAGGCAGAGCTGGGCCCTGGCAGCTGGAGTGGCACAGCAGGCTTGCGGCGTGACTCAGGCTTCTCGCCCACAGCCCAGGCTCATGCCCAGAGGAGAGAACAGGGTGTCCAGGCAGCTGGTGCTTGTGGGCGAAATGTCAGCCGTGCTGCTGCCTCAGCCTGGGAAAGCAAGCCATCACCCCCAGGCCCTGAGGTTCTCTGTGCCAGGAGCTCAGAGCTGGTATCCCCACACCATCGGGGCAAGCCCTCCGTGAGGCCAGTGTGTGTCCCCACCACTGTGTCCATGCTCCTGGGACAGCCCCAACCACCAGCGTGGCATTCCCGCTTCCTTTCTTCAGGCGTCCAGTCCGAATTCTTCATCAACACTACCCGGGCAGGTCCAGGGACATTGTCCGTCACCATCGAAGGCCCGTCCAAGGTTAAAATGGATTGCCAGGAAACCCCAGAAGGGTACAAAGTCATGTACACCCCCATGGCTCCCGGAAGCTACCTGATTGGCGTCAAATATGGCGGCCCTAACCACATCGTGGGCAGTCCCTTCAAGGCCAAGGTGACAGGTAATGGTCTCCTCCTTGGGAGTTAGTCCTCCTCCCTGTGGAGCCGGTCTTGTTAGAATAACAACAAAAACTGTGGATTATTTTAGATGTGTTGAATGTACTTTAAATCTTGAACGTCAAGAAATAGTACAGTATGGCCGGTTGTGGTGGCTCATGCCTGTAATCCTAGCACTCTGGGAGGCTGAGGCCGGAGGATTGCTTGAGCTCAGGAGTTCAAGGCCAGCCTGAGCAAGAGCGAGACCCGGTCTCTACTAAAAATAGAAAGAAATTAATTTGCCAACTAAAAATATATAGAAAAAATTAGCTGGGCATGATGGTGCATGCCTGTAGTCCCAGCTACTCGGGAGGCTGAGGCAGAAGGATTGCTTGAGCCCAGGAGCTTGAGGTTGCTGTCAGCTAGGCTGACGCCAGGGCACTCTAGCCTGGGCAACAGCGTGAGACTCTGTCTTAAAAAAAAAAAAAAAACATCTCTACCAAAAATAGAAAAATTAGCCGAGCATGGTGGTGCACAGCTGTGGTCCCAGCAACTCGGGAGGCTGAGGCAAGAGGATCACTTGAGCCCAGAAGTTTGAGGTTTCTGTGAGCTATGATGATGCCATGCACTCTACTCGGGACAATTGCACAAGACTGTAAGACTGTCTCAAAAAAAAAAAAAGAAAAGAAAAGAAATAGTACGGTATATCAGAGGGCAGTGTTTGAAATTTGCAGAATGAGTCTGCAGTGTAGGGGCTCGAAAGCATGTTAGATGGTTTTCTGTCCCTAACACAAAAGAAGAAATGTTTACATGTATGAAATCTTAATATTTATTTAGATAAGGGCCTGAAAAATCCCCTCATTTCTAACCTTCACTTTTAAAATAATCCAAATTATTAAATTTTATAAAAATGTGCCTCTTCCAAACATTGGAAAAAAATACTAAATAGTAGAAGCCACCTCACAGCCCACCACCATAGGTAACCACCATAAATATTGTGATGTGTCCCTTCCACATGTCATGATTCAATGTGACAGAAGGAGTGTAGGTTCATTGCAGAATAACTAGAAAATCCCAATGGAAAAACCATCCTCTCATGCAGAGAATCATTTTTGATACTATATGTCCTCCCAAACTTTTACATTGCTTTTACATAGAGTCTTTTCTTTTTTAAGACAGGGTCTCACGGGCTAGAGTGCAGTGCTGTCATCATAGACCACTGCAACCTCAAAGTCCTGGCCTCAAATGATCCTCCTGTCTCAGCCTCCCAGAGTGCCAGGACTATAGACATGAGCTACCGCATCTGGCCCATGGAGTATTTTATATAAATGGAAAGATGTGAATTCTACTAGGTGGCATGTCTTTCTTTATATGGGGTGGGGGGAGGGAAAGGGTATTTCTAGGCCTTGTCAGCCAAGGCCAGAGTTGCCCATTTGCCAAGAAAGCCAGATCTAGTTGTAGAGGTGGGACCCCAGGAGCTTTAGAAAACATTATGGGTATGAGATAGGGGTATGGTAGCTTTTGTATCCAGGTGTTGTGGTTTGGGGGCTCTTCTGGGGCTTCTGTAAGGGGCACTGGCCTGTCCTCTGGCTGAGAGACCCTCTTAGACCAGCCATTCACACCCCCCTTCCTCCCTCTCTTCCTCCCTTGACCTAGGCCAGCGTTTGGTCAGCCCTGGCGCAGCCAGCGAGACCTCCTCCATCCTGGTGGAGTCAGTGACCAGGTCCTCTACGGAGACCTGCTATAGTGCCATCCCCAAGGCATCCTCGGACGCCAGCAAGGTGACCTCCAAGGGAGCAGGGCTCTCGAAGGCCTTCGTGGGCCAGAAGAGCTCCTTCCTGGTGGACTGCAGCAAAGCCGGTAGGCAGCGTGGGCCTGCGGGGGGTGCAGGTGGGGAGGGCAGCCCGAGGGTCCGTGGGACACTTTGGCCCTCCCAGCTGAGACTCCCTGCAGCGCCCGCCCTCCATGTCACCCAGCCATTCACAAGTGACCATGTCTATTACTTTGTTCTACACTTTAATAGTTTTAAATATGTTCTTCCCTTTTGCCCCTTGATTTTTCCACATGACCTCAGCGTGGATAGGAAAGTTGGCATTATCCCCATTACAGATGGGCAAACCAAATCGGTGTCCTGGCCCCTTTTCTGCCAGATTGATGTAATTGCAGTTTGAACTCAGTATTTATTCGGGTGTCAGTGATCGGTTGTCCGGGCTCTGGTGTCCACACTTGGGCTGGAAAGCTGGCTCTGCCACTTCATTCATTCATAAAGCTTATTAGCCATGTGAATAAGCTGGCTACTTGCTGGACAAGCTACTAAATCTCTTTCTAAAAATCAGTTTCTTCTTCTCTCAAATAAAAGTAATAGTGCCTTCCTTAAGGTGCTTGCGAGAGTGAGTGAGAAGATGCTGTTACAAGAGCTGACCCTACAGAGCCCTCACCACATGCCGAGGGCTCGATCCGTAACTCCTGTACACCTCCCAGTGGGCTCCTGAGGTAGGAGCCATTGTCCCTCCCCGTCTGCAGATGGGGTGCTGCCGTAGGGAGGGGGGGTTCCGTGTCCCAGGTCGCTGGGTAGAAAGCAGCAGGCTAGGGACACGAGCCCACACCTCGCTGTGATCAGCGCGCTCTCCACCGTCAGGGGCCACCGCGTCACCGACACCCAGCTGGTGGTGCCTGGTCCCGCCGCCTCTCGAGTCTGCCCTGGTGCAGCTACATGGAGAAACTGCCCTTTTCTGCCTCCCAGGTTCCAACATGCTGCTGATCGGGGTCCACGGGCCCACCACCCCCTGCGAAGAGGTCTCCATGAAGCACGTGGGCAGCCAGCAGTACAGCGTCACGTACGTCGTCAAGGAGCGGGGGCAGTACGTCCTGGCTGTCAAGTGGGGGGAGGAGCACATCCCTGGCAGCCCCTTTCATGTCACAGTGCCTTAAAATGGTTTTCGTCAAATCCTGGGAGGAGTCTGTGGTTGCTTTTGTAGCTTGTTTGGGCGATTCATTTTATACAAAGTCCTCCAGCCTGTTTGTGGATCTGAAACCCCACCCCTAAAACATTGCTATCCTAAAGTGCCTCCAGAAGTGAGTCTAGGCCTGACTCTGGAGGGACCTGTCGGGGAATCTTAAGACATGCAAGCCTGCCCAGTGGGCTAGGAAGATCTGGAGCACACGCACGCACATCGGAACTCTGGCGCAGAGACCACCTGCTACAGACAGACCAAGCACGTGGGCAAGACCAACATTTTTTGAATGAAATTGGCTAGACTAAGTTACGGGGCACTCTTCAGCACTGATGAAACAAGGCTAGGAGAATGGGGCAGGGGAAAAGAGACCTAGTTTGGGTCATCACTAGCCCAGGAGATGGCTTAAAGCCAGCTTAATCTACCACGGTGTAAGAAAAGGCCCTCAGGTGCTAGCAGCATCGTAATACTGCTCATTGCCAGTCTGCAGGCTCTGTGGCTTCTCACGCTTCTCAACGGGCAGAGTGGACATGGTGGCAAACGGGCCTGAATGGTGCCGAGTGCCTGTCCCCTCTCTAGGATGATTGTTCCGTGCAGCATCGTCACATGACCAGCCTGGCAGCCGTCGTTTTGCTTCAGTTTTTCAAGTCCCTTTCAGGCACTTGGCCTGAGGAAATCCTGCAGTGGTGGGCAGCACTCCACTTGCCAAAGACCCCTCTAACCAGCACTAGCCCTCGTTTTAACACAGGTTTGTCAGCCTGGTGAGTCTTACCGAAACGTTCAGAGTGACCGCAGGCGGGCGGCCTGTTGGCGCCTGGTGTGAGAGGACCGCAGGTGTCGGAAGCCAAACTGGAATCAAAATGCCCACTATAAATTGTATCTTATAACTTATTAAAAAATGTTTGCTCCATAAAGTTCCCCTGGCGTTCTTGGATGGTGTCACTTCCGAGTAAGTGGTTGGAGCCTCAGACTGGCTCTCCCCACTCCTGGCTGAAAGGACACAGGTTAGCAACCCGTTTCAGCAGTGAGCCTGGCCTCCTTTGTCGGGCAGGCAGAGGGGTGGGCCTGGGGGGGTTTTTCCTGATTGATACTGGGAAACACATTCCCCTCCTTCTCCCCTTCCCTCTCTCTCTTCTACAAGAAGGGCTTCTGGTTGCTGTGTGCTCTCAGGACGCACAGCAGCCTGGCCCCCGCGTGGCAGCGCAGGTCTGCAGACTCCTGGGCCCTGGCCCTGGCCCTGAGCTGGAGCTCGGACCTCTGGCTGATGTGTGCGGAAGCAGGAGCCCCAGCTGAGCCCCTGGCAGGGCCGTGTGATGGGAGTTCCTGCTGGGACCCCAGCCCTCCCAGTGGGTGGGGTTGGAGAGAAAAGCAGGGAAGGGAGAGCTATGACCAGGATGGTAATCGGGATGGTGAGTTGTTTACCTTCTAGAGGTGGGAGGAGGAAGGCTGGAGGAGAGGAGGTCTGCCCTCCTGCTGGAGGGAGCAACCATATCTGTGGCCTGTACCATGAAGGGCCGTTTCCTGGACTCCTAGCCTGGGAAGGCCTGTGGGCTTTGGGTAGTCCACTCAGGTTCTGCCGTGGGGTCTGGGCAGGCCACCGTATGGTGCTGGGTTTACCCAGAAGTGCAGGGCAGCATTGCGCTCTCCACCTGGAAGCCCGTCTGGTTTCTGTTGGGGAAGGCAACATTTCTAAGTTAAGACTGTGGACTTTGGGCCGGGTGTGGTGGCTCACGTCTGTAATCCTAGCACTCTGGGAGCCCGAGGCGGGCGGATTGCTCAAGGTCAGGAGTTTGAGACCAGCCTGAGCAAGAGGAGACTCCGTCTCTACTAAAAACAAAAAGAAATTATCTGGACAACTAAAAATATATAGAAAAAATTAGCCGGGCATGGTGGCGCATGCCTGTAGTCCCAGCTACTCGGGAGGCTGAGGCAGGAGGATCACTTGAGCCCAGGAGTTTGAGGTTGCTGTGAGCTAGGCTGACGTCTCGGCACTCTAGCCCGGGCAAGAGAGTGAGACTCTGTTTCAATTAAAAAAAGGACTTTGGGATCAGCACTCCAGACCATTGGCTTTGTGGCCCTGGGGAGGTTGCCTTGCATCACTCTCCAGCAAGTCTCTGTGGGTGGTCGTGAGGGTGCGATGAACTCCCACCTCAAGCTGCAGGGACAGTTCCCCAGGGGCTCCTCCACAAGGCTGCACTGCCCGGCTGCAAGCCAGGCCAGCACCTGGTCTGTGCCTCCTGCTCCCCTGCATGGGGCCCTGGTGGTGCTGCCCTGGGGCACGTTTCCTAGCAATACCCACTGCCACCTGTGCTATCAGACACCTGGGGAAATCTGTGTGCCTCTCTACTGGTCAGTGGCTAGAACCACAAGGCAACTCTTATCTGCGCCTGGGATTGGCTCCCATGGAAACCGCTATTGTTTGTGCAAACACCTTGAAAACTTTGAAACTTGACCCCGGACAGGCGAGGTGCCAGGTCCTTTTCGATTTTCACTGGTTGACTTTGCCCCTTTCCTACTAGGAACTGAGGGCGTGGCGTGGGGAGTATGCAGACAGCAGCCCTGCAGCGGCCCTGCCCCTTTAAGCACAGATGGCCCCCCCACTCCCCCCTTCTTTTTGCAGCCCAGGGAAGCACTCACACGGCTCACCCTCACCGGAAGTGCTGCCAAGAAGGAAACATTTTATTAACATGTCTCTGTGTTTCCAAGGCACTCATAAACATCTGGGCCCCTTGACCACATGTCTAGTTTGGGGACTTCAAAGGGGCCTTGAAAGCCACATTTTGATGAGTTTGGTGTAAAATGAGTAGAGCACATAGGGACTTAATTTCCCCTGAAAATTACACAGCTTTAAAAATTAGCAGAGAAAAGGTTAATGGCAAAATGAGTGCTTGATCCTTGTCATCCTGCCAAGTTCGTATCTTAAAGTGGGGAGCAAGATTGTCAATGGAAGTTCCCTCCAGCAGGAGTTCTGGGGCTGGCGGGAGTGGGGTGGAGGAGAGGGATGGAGTCTTTCCAAGTCTCCATTAACTTGAAAGGGGAAGAGGTTTTATAGTCAGTGTATTTCACTGATGAAAACTCTTTCCCAGAAATACGTCTTCTACAGGTGTTCTTTTCTTCTCTCACAACAGCAAATCATAACTTGAAGAGGGAGTGAAAATGTCACATTGGAGGGCACACTGAAGGCAGGCCTGGATTCCATTTTTTTCTCTGCCTTTGTCCTAAGGATGCTGCCCAAACACATGGTGGGAGGAATCTTTTTAAGCAAAGAGTTCCTTCTCTGCTTTGTGATAGGCTTTTGTCTGGGCCCCCAAGCCCATAGGGACCCACACCCTTTTTCTCTCCTCCTCCAGTGTTCTCAAAAGAAGGCAGGAAATGGAGAATTTATGAGCCTGACCTGTGACACATTCCACCCCTTATCTTACTGTGTTTGGGATTTTGGACTTGCTTATCTCTCCAGAACAAAGCTCAAAGAGGAAAAAATCTGCAAGCCTTTTATTGCCCATAATCATGACCCCTTCCCCAGGCACCAGCATGCCTGTCCCCAGCCTCTCCCTATTGGGGGCTGCCTTCCTTTTCTAGGCCATGGCCATTCTTAGGGCAAAGCTGAACCCCGGTGTCAGAGGAGAAGGAAACCTTGGCAGAGGTGCCAAGTCCCGGAAATGCCAGCCCCACTCGCCCTGACACAGTGGCAGCAGAATACCCGAGTATGTGAGAAGCTCTCAGAGAGCCGTGGGTAGCACACTGCAGGTTCAGGTCTGGGTTCCAACCCCAGCAACGCCCCTACCACTGAGACCCTGTAGGCAATTCTTTCTGTGGGCCTCACATCTGTAAAATGAGAAAATAATGGGAGGCTTCCATTCTAAGATAATACTAACTTTAGAAAGACATGGCCGGGCACGGTGGCTCACGCCTAACATCCTAGCACTCTGCGAGGCTGAGGCAGGAGGATTACTTGAGCTAAGGAGTTCGAGGCCAGCCTGAGCAAGAGCGAGACCCCGTCTCTACTAAAAATAGAAAGAAATTAATTTGCCAACTAAAAATATATATAAAAAGTTAGCCGGGCATGGTGGCACATGCCTGTAGTCCCAGCTACTCGGGAGGCTGAGGCAGGAGGATCGCTTGAGCCCAGGAGTTTGAGGTTGCTGTGAGTGAGGCTGACGCCACGGCACTCTAGCCCGGGCACCACGGTGAGGCTCTGTCTCAAAAAAAAGAAAGACACATTTCCCACACTCAGCACCCCATCCCCCAGCACATCGTCTCGACCTGGCCGGGGTAAATAAACCCTGTCCGACCCAGAGCTGCTGGGCGAGGGGCTGCCTGAGTGTTGGGGAGATGTGGCTCCCCAAGGCAGAGTGGGAGGGTGTCCCAGTGAGGGGAAGAACGGCTTGTGGAGAAACCAATTAGCATGGTAGTTATAACCACAGGCTGGAAGTTCAAATCCTGGCCCTGCCGTGACCTCACAGAAAGCGGTGCCTTAGTTTTCTCGCCAATACAATGGGGTAGTAGCCCCCCGCCCCAGAGTGTTCTGAGAATTAACTGAGAAAATTCACATGAAGAACCTGTCACAGTGTCCAGGACGTGGTAAGGACTCACAAAATCACTATTATTGGTGCAAGGTGACTAAGACGATTGCTCTGCACGAACGTCTATAGTCCAGCAGAGGGCACTTGTCTGTTAGTACAGGCCTAAGCCAGAGACAGGCCCGGGGCTGCCCTGCACCTTCGCAGGGATGGCTAGGTGGGGTTTAATGAGTTAATCAACTATGAGTAAAAAGATTGGCATCCTGAGTAACACTAATGCTAGGCACTGAGTCTTAGTATCACATTTTTTACAGGAGAGTTTGCCAGGGCTCAGAGAGGTTAAGTGACTTGCCCAAGGTCACACAGATAGTATAATGGTCAAGGCTGTATTAAAACCCTGCAAGCCTGAATTCAGGAACAGGACCATGAAGCTGTGTGCTGCTGCCAGCACAGATCAGAACCCAAAGGCGGCTCTCCTAGCAGGCCGTAGGCGGCCCTTGGGCCTAGGAAGGCAGCGCTGCACCTTCCCAGCCTCCTCCGTCCTGGGGCGGGGAGGCGGCGCCCAGGGCTGTCCGCCAGGGGCCGCTTTGGACACGTGGATTGAGCTGTGCGGGGGAAGGCAGACCTGTGGAGGGGAAGGTGCTGGGTGTGAAGAGGGCACACTCGCGGGGCACCTGGACTTGCAGCCTGGGCGGGGCTGCCCGGTCCCAGCGGCGCCGACCCGCCCATGATGGCTGGCCCCGGGCTCTGCCGTTCCCCCAGCGCCCACTCCCGCCTCTCCTCCCTTCCTCCCCGCGCCAGCCACCCACGTGACAGAGCAAGTGTGGAGTGGGACTGTTCCTCGTTCCTTGAGCACCTGCTGTGTGCCCCGAGGTGCAGACGGGGCGCTGAGCGGGACAGGGCCGGGAGCGCGGGCCCAGGAGGGCAGGGCATTTCACGGACTTTGTTCTCTCGCAGCTCCGTGTGCACAGTGGGCCGGCTGAACGAGTGATCGGTGCGCACAGGCTGCTCAGGCATCCTGCGTTCAAAGGGTTAGTCAGTGACCACTGTGAGTGCTCAAAAGAAGAGACATCTCCAGGCCCAGGCTATTCCACTTAATCTGAGCTTAATCTTCCCAAATTTCCCAAACTCCCTCATTGCCCTCATTTTACAGCTAGGAGGCTGAGGCAGAGAGGCCATCTGTACAGCTGTGGCCTTTACTGCCTTTCAGACCAGGGGTTCCAGTCTGAAATACTTCCCCCTCCTTGCCTGGCTAACTCATGTTCATAGTTCAGGTCTCAGTCAAAGAGAACCTCCTCCAGGAAGCCTTCCCTGACCCTCCACCAACCTGGTTACGAGTCTGTCTTGCCTCTGGACTGTGAGACCCCGAGGGCAGGAACCACGTGACTCTGTCCCTCCTCATCTACCTTCTGTACTTGACACAGGGCCAAGAGCGAGTGAAGTTTGTTGAATGAATAGATGAGGGCCCACTCAGAAGAGTGGAAAGGCAGGTGGCCCCGGGGCATTGTGGGTGGCTCCTGCTCACAGGCGCTCACACCGGAGGGCCGGCGGGGAGCCGAGGGCGCGGACTGGCTGGCTCAGTGGTGCTGCCGCACCTGCTTGCCCTCTCTGCCCGCCCTGCCTGCGCCTCGCCCTCCTGGTGCTCGTCACAGGCCTGGGAGGGTTTTGTGTCTGACACGGGGTGTGGGTTTGGAGTCACTTCCAGGGATTCCTCAGTTTCCTCATCTAGAAACGCAGCCTGTTTGCGAGGCGCTGGGTGAGAGTGCAGACAGGCGCCCTGCCAGGCCCTGCACGGCCGCGCGACCGGGCAGCAGCGTCCTGTCGCCGAGCCTCAGTCTCCCACTGAGGAAGAGCCACGAGAGCCTGGTCGGGAGGAGGGCAGGCGGAGGCGCGGCGGAGTGCTGCCTGCTCCAGTCTCGTGGACGCGGGGAGACTCGCTCTCCTGTCCAAGGGTTGCTCCCACTCTCGCCCCGTTGTACGAGCAGGGCCACTCAGCTAGCAGGTGGGGGGCTGGGCCGTGGCAAACCCTTCCGCCACGTGTCTGGAGCTTCCTGAGGGTGTGGGCTGGCCTCTCTTCGGCCCCCCTGGGTGCCCGGTGCATAGTAGGTGTCCAGTGGGGCTTGCTGAATGGGATCGAGGCTGCGGCGCCCGCGGACCACCCAGGGCCCCTGGGGCTGAAGGTAAAGGCCAGAGCCCTGGGTCCCTCCTGCCAAGGCCAGGCTCCCTGCCTGGCACGCTGGGTAGCTGTGGCTGGGCTCTGCTCCCTTTTCCAGCCTGGTCTGTCCTGCCTGTGAGTGGCCACGTCCCCTGGGCAGCCCAGCCCCTCCTCTCTGGCAGGGCCTTGGCAACCTGGCCCTCATTGGCTGCACGTATCCTTGGAGACGAGGCACCAGCAACGCAAACACAAGCCACAGGGCTGTGGGAAGAATCTTTCCTCTTTCCATGAGGCTCCCCCTTTCCCCGAGGGAGCCGTTGACCTCCCAGAACCAGGCCTGCTGGCAGGAGCACATCCAGAAGGAGGCAGCCGCCCGGGTCGCCTGGAAGATCAACTATGGCCACAAGTACCTGAAGGAGGGGACTAGACCCAGGAAGCGGCTCCAGCAGGCCCCATTCAGGCCAGCCCTGGTAGCGGGCCCAGTGCCTGCCACCAGCAGCTTTGACCACAAGGAGGTGCAGGTCGGACGGCCAGAGACCAGGGGGGTCTGGAACCAGCTGTCGGGGGGAGTGGGTGTCCAGGGAGCCCCACCCAAGGGAGACAGAGGAACAACTCAGGGGCCAGCAGGCCAGACCAGGCCAGAGGGCTTAGAAATGAGGCAGGTCCCTTCAAGCACCCTGCAGCTGCTCTTCCAGGGCATCTCGCATGACGGCCAAGGCCGGGCCCTGTACCTCCGGGAGCGGCATCGGCAGAAGCCAGAGGAGAAGTTTCGGTACCCGATCCTATCATCCTGGGAGTACGGCTGGCACGTGGGTAAGGGCCGCCACCATCTTGCCATTCCAGGTCTTTGGCAGCCAGGCCGGGTCCCCACCCCACCTCGTCCACCTCTGCCCTCACTCCTGGCACGCGGAGCTGGCTCCCTGTCCCCGCAGGCACCCCCCACGTCCGGCTTTTGCTCACTCTGGTCGCTCTGCCTGGAGCGTTCCTCCTGCCCCTCCCTCTGCTGGCCAAATGTCACAGCACCTCCTGAGTCCAGAAGACTCAGACGTCTTCTGAGTCCTCCAGGCAGATTCGCTGAGGCCACCTCCGTGCCTCCACAGTCTACAGAGGCGCGGGCCTCGGTGTCCGTCCGGCCTGGGAGCCCTTGCGTCCCAAGACTGCTTAGTGAGCTTTATTAATGCCCTCTCCGCTCCCAGCTGTGGAATGAATGAACAAGTGAACATGACTAGGGAAGGAGAACTTGATTTAGAATCAGGAGATAAGAGTTCAAATCCTGGTTCTATGGCTGCCAACTTGTATGATCTCAGACAAGAACCTTAACTTCTCTGGGCCTCAGTTTCCACATCTTAAAAATGGGAATAACCTAGTGTCTGCCTTCTATGTCACAGAGTTCTGGGGAAATGAAGTGGGGAAAGCACCTGAACAGGAATGATTCTCGCAAAGCCCCTGTGCGCTGGGACTGTCATGTGACCCTTTCATTCGGGACAGCCTGCAGAGGGGGTCTGGAGCTCCACCACAGTGAGCTAGTGAGCAGACAAGCCTGAAGAGTGGTTCAGTCGTCAGTCACTCGACGCGTGTTTATAGAGCACCTGGTCGGTGTCAGGCACTTCTTGTCCCTGGGGAGCAGCACAGCCTAAGACAGGCGCGGTCCTTGCCCTCAGCGGGCAGACAGCAAGCAAATAGATGTGGCGGGTGCAGGCAGCGGCTGAGCTGCACTGCAGTGCTTTTGGTCTCCACTGGGCAGGAATCAGCTGGGTGTCCCTTAAAATGCAGGACTGATCCAGCGGGGGAGGGGTGGGGGGTGGGGGAAACACTGCTCCTGGTGCCCGTGGGTGCTGCTGCTGCCTCCCGGGGCCACACGTTGAGCTCAAGGTAAATTAAAAGAAGGGTGTGGAGACTGCGGGCCTGCGCAGACGGGGTGGTCAGGGAAGGCCTGCTGTGAGGGGGCCTTTGAGCAGAGTCCCAGGCAGAATCTGCTCCGCGGGGTTCTTCTGAGAAGGCCTGACTCCCTGTGTCCACAGAGCGGGTCCCACGGAGGCGCTGCCCAGTGCCTTCCCTGTCCTTTCCCTCCTGCTCGGCCCTGTGCCCTTCCACTGTGACGCCAGTGCTGGTCATAAGGTTGCTAGGTCTAGCAAATAAAGCTACAGACACTCAGTGACCTCTGAATTTCAGATTAACAAATAATTGTTAGTAAAAGTACATTCCCAATATTGCACGAAGCATATACTAAAAAGACTATTTAATGTCTATCAAAATCCCCGGGCGACCGGGCAGGCTGCATCTATCGGCCGCAGCCACGCCAGGGCCTGCTTCTGGTGCTTCCCTGGTGGGGACGGGACCGGCTCTCCTCGCCGTGCTGCTTCAGCCCGGCAGCGTCTGAACACTCTGTCAGCGTCTGGCCTCGCCCCTGACGCAAGCCCAGGTCAGGGGTCTGATGGGAACAGAGGACAGACCCTCGCCAGCCTCTCTCCCCGCCCGCCACAGACGCAAGCAGAGGCCGCGCCCCCAGGCCGCCAGCTCGGCTGCCCCGCAGAGCGCCGTGGCGGCTGGCAGAGCTGCCGTCGTCGTGTCACAGCAGGTCTGCGCAGGGCATGCGGGGCTGACGGCGGCCCCTGAGGAGCCCCACGCGGCGCCGGGAGGGCGCAGTGTCCGTGGACAGCGGGGAGAGACGGGGCGGCGAGTGAGGCTGAGGGTCCAAAGAGCTCATTGGGACTGGCCGCCCATCGCGACAGATCTGCTGCCAGCGCCGGGTGCCAGCCTCTAGTCACTGCGTCACAGGAAGGCCGGCCGAGGGGCTGGGGCAGAGAGGCCAGAGGTGTTCCAAGCTGGAGCAGAGCGGTTCGCTGTTTTAGCCACTGCAGGCGTCGTGGAGTGTGTCCCTCCTGGCCCTCTGCTCTCTGGGTCGGGGTGGAGCTGACGGGGACGGTGGCACCTGCTCACCCCAGCCTGTGCTGTGTTGCAGGGGACGCCGTGAGGCACACCAAGGCGCCAGCGTATGCCAAGGTCCAGCCCATCACAAAGGCGTTTTACACCAAAAGTGGCATCTTTCATTTCCCACGGCGAACAGACCAGCTCATGTGAGCCCGGCTGGGAAGGGGCCCCTGAGCCCTCCTTTACTGTGCCCGTCTGGACCCTCTGGGCACGACGCTGCCAGCCAGACCCAGCCTCTCTCTGCCCACTGTCGAGCCCCGCCTGCCTCGCCGAGTGTGGCTGTCACGCAGGCCGCCTGTGGGGCGCCCGCGCCTCTGGCCCTCTGCTCCTCGCAGCGCCGCCCTCCTCCACCACCGAGGCCTGGGCTTGGGGCGTCTTTCCGGGGAACCGGGGGTCTCCAAGGGCTCCATCGGCAGAGCTGAGGCAGGAGGGGCTTGCAGAGTCCTTAAGGTGCTGAGGGGAAAACGTCTCCTGCTTCCTGTTTCTCTACCTTGCGCCGGACGGTCCCGTAGCAGGGCTGCTTGGTCCCAGTGTGTCTGCAGTTGAGGGAAGAAGCAGTTTCCATTGAGACACGCTGCCTCTCTCCTCCCAGAACCTGTATCGGTCAGGGTTGCCTCACTGCTGTAACAAACAGCCCTCAATCCCTTATTGCTTGAACCAATAAAGACGTATTTCCTACCTCACTGTCCAACCGGGGCTCAGCGGGCAGCACTGCACACGCGCACCTGGGCACCAGCCTTCTCCCGTCCCGTGGCTCTGTCATCTGGGCCTCAGAGCCCTTCCTTGAGCCCTCTCCCTCCAGCCAGGCCCAGAGAAGAGAGACGGAGAGGGTGGAGAGAACATGCCCACTCTCAACCGCCCTGGCCTGGAGCTGACAGATGCCACTTCTCACATTCTATTGGTAAGAAAAAGTCACCTGACTTCTCCAAGTGCGAGGGCCTGGCCGTGTTCTGTAACCATGTGGCCCAGAAGAAGAGGAGAACGGGCTCCAAACATCTCACCTATCTCTGCCACAGTGCCGCCCTGTCCTGTCACCGCCCTGGGGTGGGCCTGAGGCGCAGCCACCACCCTAAACTCAAGAGCCCTTCCTGTTCTGGTTTGCTAGCACTGCCGTAACAAAGTGCCACAAACGGGGCGCCTAACATAACAGAAGCTAACTGTCTCATAGCTCTGCGGGCCAGACATCCAAAAATCAAGGTGTCCCCAGGGCCATGCTCCCTCTGAAGCCTGTAGGGGACCCTTCCTCACCTCTCCCTGGGCCCTGGTGGTCCCCGGCAGTCCTCAGCCTTCCTCGGAGCACTCCAAGCTCTGCCTGAGAGTCTGTCCTCCTGTGGCTGTCTTCTTATAATGACACCAGTTGTGTTGGGTTAGGGGCCCACTGTCCTCCGGTGTGACCTCATCTTAATTAATTGCATATGCAATGATGCTAATTCCTAATAAGGTCACATTCTGAAGTACTGGTGATTAGAACTTTAAAAAAATCTTTTAAAAATCAGTTTTGGGAGGGACACAATTCAACCTCTGACGCTGTCCTTCCGATGGCTAAGCTTTGGTTGCTTAGCCACCTTGCTGGGCCTTCCTCCTCCTCTTGGAAAGGGTTCCCTCACACACCTGCAGACAGCCGGCCGCTTATCTGCGCAGGCCTACCTGATGCTGGTGCGCAGTGTCCGATTGCTTAGAAGGCCTCAGGCATGTGGGGAGTTTAAACAGTCACCCCTGCAACAGCTCTTTGCGAAACCAAAACGCTTGCAGGCAGGTCTTGTTGAATCGGGGCATTTTGGTACCCCTCCCTCCTTACCCGGTCAAAAGGATAGTCCCTCAGGCTGGACAGAGATACTTGGGCAAACTAATAGCTCTTTCCAGGTCTCTATGGGTCTGCCTCTTAGCCTGAAACTTCCCAGAGGAGCTAGACCACTTAAAAAACTGCGAATGCAACTAGCTTGCCTGGTTTTCCTTTAGCAACCTTGGGAGAGTGAGCAAGAACCAATGTGGGCACGTTTCTCCTGAATGTGCACGACAGCCTTGCACACCAGAGCTGCTGGACAGACACCTGCCACGGCTAATCAAACACCAAACACCTCCCTGGGTTCTCTGGAGTCATTTGATCCAATGCAACAAATACTGACCTAGCAGTTCCTGCGGGCCGGGCCTAGGCTGGGGAGTGCAGATGCATCGGCGCCCACGACAGAGTGAGAAGGCTGCGATGGGCATGGCGGGCGTCTGGCGCACGAAGAGGCTTTCTGCGGGAGATCACTGACATTCCTGTTGTCAGACAAAACAATGCTCAGAAAGCCCTTGCCACAGTGCCTCATGCCATTCACGTGAACTGTGTTAACCGTTGCCATGATTGTTGCTGTGAGCAGCAAGTCTGCAAGCTGCTTAGAGAGGACAGGCTGCCACTGGGGCAGCCTTTCTCAATTAGGGTTCGGGAATAAACTAAGCCCTGCCAGAAACGATTCCAGTGACTTTTCTCAGCCCTCCCAGGAACAGCCCAGTGTAGCTGGCACTGTTCCAGAGGCGTGGGGAAGAAGCTGATTCAGCGCAAACGGGCTGTTCCGGGATGTTAGGGCTCAATTCTTTCTGGGAAGCCAGGTAAGAAAGTCCAATGGGGAATTTGTTTTGTATTTAACCACTTCGGCACGGCGCTCACCGGCCGAGAAACCCTGCCCACAGCCGCACGCACAGTCCGCACGGCAGTCGCGCTCGCACTGACGGCGAGTCTGTGTTGGCTCGTGTGGTGAGGAAAGCTCGAGAGCACTGAGAGCTTCTGCTACTTTACAGGCAGCTTCACTTGAAATGTAAATCAGAATAGGTAACATGTACATATATGTTTTCATTACATTATTTTTACTTTTATTTATTTATTTTTTATTTTAGCATATTATGGGGGTACAAGTGTTAGGGTTACTTATATTGCCCATGCTCCCCTCCCCCGTCGAGTCAGAGCTTCAAGTGTGTCCATCCCCCAAACGTTGCACCTCTTACTCGTTGTGGTTGTATATACCCATCCCCTCCTCCCCCATCTATTACATTATTTTTACATGTTCACAATTTTAATAAATGAAAAATTAGAAAAGGCATATCACGCTGTCAGCTAAAGTCGCTGTGCGCGTTCATCTGTGGCTGTCGACTATAGTGGTCAATGTATTTAATCATACCTATATGGTATTTACTGGCATTGTTCTGAGCCTGCACTGTTGAATTCGGCAGTCACGAGCCACATGTGTTCATTGAGCTCTTGAAATGTGTCTTATCCAAATTGTGACATGATCTAAGTATAAAAGATACTAAATTTTGAAGATTCAGTGTGATAAAAAATGTTTACATGTCTCATTAATGATATTTATATGGAATTATTTATATGTTGAAATGATCACACTTAGATAAACCGGGCTAAATCAAGGTTGGCAAAGTTTCTCCATAAAGATCTAGACAGTAAATATTTTCAGTTTTGTGAGCTATGCCGTCTCCACATAGCTACTCAACTCTGCCATTCTAGTGCAAAAGAAGCAATAGAAAAACAAATGGGCATGCCTGTGTTCCAATAAAACTTTATTTAAACAAATGGCTGGATTTGACCTACAGGCTGTAGTTTGCTGATTTCTGGGTTAAATAAACTATATTAAAATTAATTTCACTTGTTTCTTGTAAAATATGGCTGCTAGAAAATTTCAAATTACATTTTGGCTCACATTGTATTCCTGCTGGGACAGGACTGATCTAAGCACTTTACAAATACTAACTCCGGGGATGGTGCTGCTGCTCTGGGAGGGTGTGTGGTGGGGAATGAATTCCTGACAGTCTAGAGCGGTGTGGCTAGGCTCCCTGGCCTGGCTCCCCCACTGCAGAGTGTGGAGCCCAACTGCGGCTGGCCTGTGGCCACCTCCTGGGGGCATCTCTACCTGCTCTGTTTCTAGGTTTGCCTTTTGACTAAAGGGAAGTTCCCGGAAAGGCCACCAGGTGGTGCTCTCAGACCATACCAGAAACCTGCATTCTCTGCCCATTTGCTGTGAGGCTGTGGACCTCAATTTTCTTACCTATAAAATGGGCTTAGACTAGACTAGTGAGAACATAAACTTTGGAAGCAGACAGGCTTGGATTTGAGTTCTCACTCTTCCAGGGCCCCAATATGGTTTTCATGGGCCCTAGGCACTTTTGCCTTCGTTGTTCTCTTCCTCCATAAAAAAATATTAAAAATTATATTTTACAGCCAGGGGAGGTGGCTCATGCCTATAATCCTAGCACTTTGGGAGGCCAAGGCAGGAGAATCCTATCTTGGATCGCTGGAGGCCAGGAATTCAAGACTAGCCTGAACAAGATCCTGTCTACAAAAAATAGAAAAACGAGCTGGACATGGTGGCATGCACCTGTAGTCCCAGCTACTCTGGAGGTTGAGGCGGGAGGATCATTTGAGCCCAGGTGTTGGAGGTTGCTGTGAGCTATGATGATGCTACTGCATACTAGCCAGGGTGACAGAATGAGACCCTGTCTCAAAAAAATATTTTATAACTATGTTGGTATAAAGACAAACATTATATTAAAATTTTTCTTCAACCTAAAAGTTCACATCTTTCCATCTGGCTGTGAAAGAAAACACATTTCAGTGGGTCCTGGGAACTCCATAACAGTACTGTGGGCCCCGGGTGAGCCACCTCTGGGCTCCACCACACTACTCCCCAGCTGTGTGACCTTGGGCAAGTTATTCACCTTCTCTGGGCATCAGTTTCCTCATGTATAAGATGGAGACGACATCAGACTCCACCTCTCAGCGCTGGGCTGGGATTCGGGGCGACAGCGCACGCCCTGCCCTCTCGGCACACTGCCCGCACAGAGCGAGCGGCAACCGCTATTTTTTGTTGTTCTTTAAGGATATTTTTCAGCTTTAACCTCTAGAAAAGTATGAAAGGTCTCAGAAGCAGGAATCTCAAAGCAAATAACTCAGAAAAGTAAAATGAAGTTCCCAGGGTATTTGGTGGAGGAGTGAAGCGTTTCCTAGAGAACTGAGAGGCAGCAAGAGGAGTTTTTGCACATAATCAGCACGTCCTCCTCCTGCCGTCAGAGAACTCATGTGACGCAGGTATGTGTGCTTGTGCCAACCAGCCTGAAGGTGAGCAGGCTGAGGAACGTGCCAGGTAGGGTGACCCTTGGGAAAAGGGTGCGTGTGTGTGCACGCCTAGATTGTATCCTTAAATTCTCTTAAAGCAACTTAATTTCAGTGGCTTCCCTGAATCCTAAAGCTTGAAACCACTGGTACAAGGGTCTTGGGGACCATGGTGACCACACTCCTTTTTCAAAATGTGACCCGTAGGTAAATGACATAGGATTCTGGCTCCTTTGGGATCATTCAGGCAGAAACCATGATGGGGAGACAGCAGCGGAGACAGGTATGGACCTCTCCCAGCAGCTCTGCTTTCCCTCCCACCCACCAAAGGCGCCAGATGCCTTTCCTCCTCCTAGGAGAGGCAAGTGACGCAGACTCTAGGTTGTCACCTTTTCCTGGTTTGGTAGCTGCCCTCTCCAGCCCGAGGGAGAGATCGGAGCCAGGGTTGCTGAATTGGAGGAACTCCCTTCATGCACCTCAGCTCCAGCAGGTACACAGTGAAGGTCACTGGGGGGGGTGCTGTGTTTGTGGCAGGAAAGGGGCGTTGATGACGCTGGAGTGAAGGTGTGTGATCACA